ACCTACAACTATCAACATAGGGTACAAATTCCATAAAATTAATACAACACAATTAGTTCGCCGAATTGAAGATGTCTGACGTGGAATTACCAATCCAGTTTTTAATACTTGTCCTTAATGAATTTGGGTCAGGGCTCGACTCGTATGGTGTCCTACTTTTAAGAGTGTTTTACCAATTTTTACTTTATTTTCCTGCTCCTGTTTTTGAAGCTTTAATATGAAACAACACTAGTTGTTGCTAGCGTTGTTTGTCTAGGAAAACCATTTGAATTACTAGTAGTATTAGGTATGGCTCAACTAGAAATCTAAACCAGATTTTTTGTCTTATAGCCTTATAGCTATTGCCGTAGGAGAACCATACGTATGGGCCGGTTCGACCGGTACCATGGCATCACAAAAAAAAAACGGTATTGCAATTCTTTCATGTCATGATCATTAACCTTCCTTACTATAAAAAGCCGATTACTATGTGCTGTAAGCATAATATTGACTGCCTCGAAAGTCTAATGGTGGGGTATGCGACTGCTGTGCTGAGGTCTCCGGTTCGATTAGCTGGTCGGACTAAATGCTTGTATTATCTGCAAATATTTGTTTCGAAGTTTGTGTGTTAATATGTATATATTTATAAAAAAAGTATATGAGTATTCTATCAGTCAATCTAATTTTCATAGTATAAGCTCTACTTAGTTTGAAACTAAATGGCGTTGTATGTCAGATGTCCGATTTTTTTTTGTAACATAAACTAAGATTAACTTAAAAGTATAAATTATAAAGTACTAGATTTGGCCGAGGTCCCGCCCGCGTAAGTGTCGGTTATCGATGTAAAAAGTAGCCTATGTCTTTCCTCAAGATTCAAAGTATCTCTGTACCAAATTTTATCTAAATCGGTGCAGCGGTTATTGATTCCCAATACAGACGTCCACCCCCCTTTTCACCCCAGGATAACTTCTGTGATAAAAACTACCCTATGTCCTTTCCCGAGACTCGGAGTTTCTCTATACCAAATTTCATCTAAGTCAGTTAAGCGCTTTAAGCGTGAAGAGGTAACAGCCAGACAGACAGAAAGACAGATAGACAGACACACTTTCGCATTTGATGTCCTCCCAGACGTATCAGTCGAAGGCGACACTTTTCAACAAATCCGTTTACGCTCATCATCGTACATGTCTCGCAAAACCGAATTTGACTTTAAATACACGGTCACAAGACGGACAGTGAAGCTCACCCTATGTAGTATAGTTGTAGGAGGGTTTGGGACGAATTTACCGAAGCTGGCGTTTGGCGGCAAGCTCTTAAAGTCGTCATACAAAATTGTAAAAGAAGCCGTCTTGAAGACCGTCTAAAAAATATACAATCGAACTTAGCAGTAGGGTAAAAGCCGGATAGTTGCCCCACTTTTCAAAAAAGCTTTATATTTTTTAAATATTTACTTGCTGAAAATTATACGATATGTATTTCATAACATAGGTCTTTTATCTTCTATTATAGCCTATTTTTGTTAACATAATTAACATTGGTTTTATTTAAATCCTGTTTTATTTGGCCTCTGAAAAAACGGATAGTTGCCTACTGTGGCGGATAGTAGCCTAGCGTGGAAAATAATTCGAGGGATACTTGCCTCGTGCGAGGATAGTCACCTCGATATATGTTTTTTGGGATAAAAATAAATTTATATCAATTTAATTAATCTTTATCATTTATTTATCAGTCTTCATAATTTATTGAGATCTTTTATTAAGTACACATTAAAATATTAATTAACATTATTAAATATTCTTCAGTTTTAATGCTTTAAAATATAAAAATATTATTCAAACTTAAGGTTATTAGTAATCTTCTCTTCCTCAAAGATTTTCCCTTATTATGTTTCATAAACTCTGCGTTATCAGATTCAGTTTCACTGCTAGTCTTATCAATATATTTTTTGGTGTTTTTATTTTTTTGCGGTTTTCCTTTTTTTTTTCTCAATGCTTTTCTTGTTACCAGCTAATTTGTTTTTTACTGTCTAACGTTTTTCTTTTTCTCTGTGATAATTTTATTTGTTTTATTTTTGGACTATTTTATCGTCAGAGTTTAAAATTTCTGCCGATTGTTTAGCTCTTTTAGTCATTACAAGTGCTAAGGTATCTTCTGTCCAGCTGATGTGGCGTGGCACCACGGCTGGTTTTCGCTTGTACTTGCGAGGCATTTTGCTTTCCTAAAATAAATATATAAAACAGTTAACTATTTATTTTGTTTAAAACAAGTTATAAGTCACAGTAAATTGGAAAAAAACAACAAAAGAAAAAAAACTGTGCTTGCTCGATGAAGAATTTACAGTCACTCTAGGGGCAACTATCCGCAAAAGTAAGTAGGGCGACTATCCTTTTTGATGCGGATACTTGCCCTTTTTATTTAAAAAATAAAAAAAAACTGTTGAGTAATAAAACATAATAAACATTGTAATTAAGACTCTAATGCATACAAAGAAACAAAAAGTTGACTGAAAGCACGATCAATAATAAAAATATTCAAGTAAAATTACTTACCAAAATAAGATCAACGCCCGTCAGCGTTTTACAGCGGAAGATTTTTCCTCACACGGACAAAACACGTTCGCCTACTCCGATTGCTTGCATGGCACTGAGGCCTGTGGGGGGTCACTTCTTATTGTAGTAAAGCGCTAACATAACTGATACTCCTATCATAGTGTATTCAAAACCGGGGCAACTATCCGTCTGAGGCAACTATCCGGCTTTTACCCTACTACCATACTAATATTCAAATGAAAATGTGCATTTTATTAAAAATATATAATATTAATAAAATATATTTATAATCAACTTAATGTCATTTATTATATTCTTAGAGTGCTAATAAATTTATTTATCATTACTATAATTTCAATAAACTTGTTAGTAGAAATAAACTCCATAATAGCTCTGCTAAAACCAGTCGTTGATGACTTTGTAGATAAATTATATTGTAATCACTTGTTATTAAGCTTAGAAATAAGTTTAAAGATATAAGATTCTGACGTCCTTGAGTCGTAAAACACGAGAATTGCGCATAATTTTTTATCGTACCAATATTCTTTTCACGAAGTTCGATTTGATAAAATTACAATAATAAATTGATACATTTTACACATGGCCATCTGATTCCAAATTAAGTATAGCTAGTGCTATTGTAGCGCTGGGAATCGAAATTACGACCTTTTAGCTTAGTATTCAGGGTCACAAACCAAACCACTACACACACTTGACTTGCCAGTCCAGTTTGGACTACATATTACATAACCGAAAGTTAAAAGAGTATTGGGTGAGGTTTACAATGACTTCCGCAATAAATTTGTAGCATTTGCCAATAGCATCGCTGAACTAAAATTGTCAAGCTTAAAATTTTATTACAAATTCATCTGGCGTAGTGGTTTATGCAGTCACCTCGCCGCTTCCTACTGCGCTGGGTGTTGTGGGTTCGATTCCCACATGGGACAACAGTTTGTTTGATCCACAAATTGTTGTTCTGAGTCTGGGTGTCCTTTGGGTCTGTTTAATGTATGTTTGTAAAGTCCCCCGCGATACAGGATTTACTCCTAGTGCGGGAGTTGTCTTTTTTAAAGAAAAAAGAAGAAAAAAAGATAAAGAAGACAAGGAAATCCGAGTTTCCGAACGACGGAACTGAAGATGCTACCAATCTACCGTCGGAATGATTAAATAAATAAACAAATAAATAAATTAGGCATGCGTAGGTAGCATTTGAATATAACAGACTTTAGAGGGCAGTTTTTGTGAGTGTGAATTTTGATTAAAATCTTGTATTTCGAATATTAGAAAAACTATAGATAATTACTGCATCGGGATGATTTATTTATTGTTTTAACTATCTCTGAGTAACGTGAGTATCTCTGAGTATCTCTGAGTAAAAAGTTTTGAAAGTAAATGGCTTTTAACTTCAAATCGTTACGAACGAGGATAAGATGTAAAATGAATGTAGTGGAAATGACGAACAATAAATAATCACGGAAACATCACTTTGCCAAACGTCACCTCTTTTGAAAGCTACTCTTTATGCTCTTAAAATTATAGTTATCATCTTTTTTATAATAGTTTACAAAATCTAACAAATAATTTAGAATACAAATAATTTATTTTTGTAAATGAAAAATTACCTATTCATTATGAAATTGATTTTGCCTGATAAGAACGACCATCTGCGCAAAACGGTAGGGAAGATCAGGATGAGGAGAGCTGACGAGAGACCTTAGGAGAGAGAGAAAGAGGGTCGAGAAAAGAACTACTATTGCAGTGTTTAATTTCTGTTAATAAGTATGATTTTTAAAGAATATCAGAACTAAAACGTTTATTACACAAAATGTCTTTTCTTTGTATACGAGTGTATGTCTTTTTTTAGCCAATAATAAAGTTTTGCGACAAGTAAAAGAAAATTGCGTGTACCACATAAATATAGGCAATTGTACGTATTATATACTATCTATAATTTAATTTATATTAGGTATATTGTGCAGAGTGAGAAGTATTCCAAAAGAAAGCAACTTACAAAAACAATCTTAATTTGGATTCACAAGTATGATTGCAACTTTTTAGTAAAATAGTAAAGTATTACTAAGACTAGCAGATTACCGATTAAATTTTCAGTTACACATTACGGTGAATGTTAGATGTTTAATACTTTGCTACGAAATTACAATTTATGATAGTTGTAAGATGGAAGTTGATCGGAACTAAATTGAGAGTAAACTTGTATTACGAGAAATGGCCTTCTGTACTTAATTAAATTGGATAGATTTTCTGAAACGCGACAAACGGTTTGTTGCGAGTAACATTGTAAAAAAACAGAGACTAAACACAACATTAGTCTAATAAATAAAACCCCAAACAGCACATTGGAAGTCTATTTTTCAGTGCATCAGATATGTATAATAAATAAACCAACATTAAAATCAATTTATCATTATAATTCGTTTATCCGAGGTTCTTATCGAAGCCTAACCACGTATAATGTGTAACGACAAAGTGAAATATTATGGTAATCATAGTCCAGAACCTATCATTAGGGCAGCCGTATAATTTTGTATTCGATGACTGGGTATGTACAGTTAGCCACAAACATCTGCACCTAGAAGCATTAATAGTTTCTTGTTAATATTTCTGTTTATAGCAGTACGGCTAAAATCGCATATATCATTTTCGCCAAGCTGTTTACCGAGCTGAGCGTACACTTGTAGAATATGCAAGTTTATTAAATAAACTACATACTACATTTTACTTAAAGGTACTTCTAGTCGCTAGTCTTTTGTAGAGCAGCTGTAAATCATCCAAGTCCTGAGCAGATGCTCATAATTATAACACTATAAGAAAACAAAATTAGAAGTGGTGAGATTTCAAGTTGATTGTGATAATAAAAATTAAATAGTAAGTACGTATTCACCATCGATTTCAGAATTTCAATTCAAATATATAACAAAACTCTATAGCTGATGATATTTTTGTAAGGCTTTACCTTTTTGTTGTTCACTGTACCATAATCTAATAAGATATAAATGAGGTACAGAAGTTTACTTGCATATTCGGCCGTTACGATTTCACGATAGCCTTATTCTTCACAATATCAATCCATTCGTTCTTCTACCCAAAGCAATATGAACTTGAAAATATCATTTTCATTCTTATATTTATTGATTTCTTTGTCAAAAGGTGTGACTAGCAATACAATTGATATAATAGTATCATTTATATTATTAGATGACAGGCCTACGTCACTGCTAGCCCCATATACTTGTTGGAGTAGTCGTGAGTATACATTTATAGTAATTACTAACTGAATTCTGAGGGTTTGATCCCGGTTTATCTAGGTTGGGTAGGAGTTGGTTGGTATATGGTCCCAGCATATAATGGGACTGTTCCATTTGAGACAAAAGGGGATAATGCTTTGTTTATTATAGATACAAGAAAATTTCAATCATCAAAGCCTATAATAATCCACTGCTGGACGTAGGCCTCTCTTTAGAAATGAGGTTTTAGCCTACTATACCACTCTGGCCAGACGGGTTGGTATAGGGTTTGCTGCGGCGGAGTGGTGTTGGCGGTGTCCTTGGACATCTGGTGGCAGACTATCTTGAGGAGCGAACCGTCATGTGCGAGGACCGAGATGGCGTCTTGAGATGCAGGGCCATGTCGTGCGGTGTTCCGCAGGGGTCTGTCCTAGGACCTCTCCTGTGGAACATCGGGTACAACTGGGCCCTACGAGGGCGTCTCCCCCCCTGGCTGGGTGCAATCTGCTACGCGGATGACACCTTACTCACGGCCCGGGGGGCTAACTTCCAGGAGGCGGCGCGCCTGGCCGCCACGGGAGTTTCCCAGGTGGTCGGGCGCATTGAGGCGTTGGGATTACGGGTGGCCCTGGATAAGACGGAGGCCCTATTATTTCATGGGCCCCGTCGTGGTCCACCCGCCGGCGCCTCAATCGAGGTCGGCTCGGTCCTCGTACCGGTCCGGGCCCAGATGAGGTACCTGGGTTTGGTCCTAGACGGTAGGTGGCTCTTCGACGAGCACTTCCGACAGCTTGGTCCGAAGCTGGTGGACACTGCCTCCGCCCTAGGGCGACTTTTGCCCAATTTGGGCGGGGCCAGTGTTCCCACGAGGCGGCTGTACGCGGGGGTTGTCCGGTCAATGGCGCTTTATGGTGCACCGGTGTGGGTGGCGGCTCTGACCGCCCCGAATAGGGCACGCCTCTGGCGCCCCCAGAGGATATTGGCGGTCAGAGCCATACGCGGATATCGCACGGTGTCCACCGAGGCGGCTTGCGCCTTGGCCGGAACACCCCCGTGGGATTTGGAGGCGGAAGTGCTCGCCGAAGTTTATCGGCGAGTGGCTGACTTCCGGGCGGAGAGCGGATTTCGCCCTCCGCCCGAAGACGTGCGCGAGTGGCGCGAAGCCGCTCGCCGAGCCACCATGGTCAGATGGTCGTTCCGGCTGGAGACTCCACGCGCTGGCTTCGCCGCCGTGGAGGCTCTCCAGCCGGTCATCACCGAGTGGGCGGGGCGGCAGCACGGGACCCTTTCCTTCCGGCTGACGCAGGTGCTTTCCGGGCACAGTTGCTTCGGAAAGTACCTGTACTCGGTCGCTAGGGATCGAGTCCCGCCTGCCACCACTGCGACTGCAGTGAGGATTCGGCCCAGCACACGCTGGCGGTTTGCCCCGCATGGGCGACGCAGCGCCGGGCCCTCACTGCAGTCATCGGAGCAGATCTCTCGCTACCGGCCGTAATTCGCTCCATGGCCGGTAGCGACAGTTGTTTTACCGCGGTCGCAACCTTCTGCGAGGAGGTAATCTCGCAGAAGGAGGCGGCGGAGAAGGCCCGGGAGGACGACCTCCACTCGGACCTGATCCGCCGCCGGCGAACCGGGCGGCGGAGGCGCGCTTACCTGCGCCTCATGCCGCCCTGAGTGTGGCCGCGGGTGGACGGGATGGATTCTCCCCTCCACCCGCATTCGGGGCGGCGTCCGCGTGTGCCGGACGCCGCCTTAAGAGAGGAAACTTTGAGACGGAGCCCGCAACAGGAGCGGGCCGGCGCTGGGAGGGGTCCAGAAGGCGATAACTACCTGGACCCCTCCTAAACTGGAAGCGCAAAGAGGCCGGGCACACCGTGTGGTTATAGTCGGTTCGAGTCCGACACACCGCCCCGCCGAACGAGAGCCCCGGCGGGGTGACGGCCCGAGGGGATTTCCACACGTTAAAAAAAAAAAAACAGGGTTTGTTTCAAGTTTTCTCTTCTTTTCTTCAGACTCCCACGGAATGAATAGGGTGGCGACATTCCGTATTCTTAATCCGTCACCACACGGATTGCTTAATATTAATTCGATTCATTACCAATATATTTTTACCAAAATTTCATTACCAATCCTTAATTCTGAAGAAGCAGTTAGGTGATATTGTGTAGGTTTACCCCAGCTTGTTTTTCTTTTAGATAGACTGAGACAACTATCCAGAAATCTAAACGATGACGGCGTGAGTATAGCTACATCTCTACAATACAATAGAACAGAGTATGACTTGCAGTACAAGCTAATATTAGCAGATCTCGCCTGTCCTGGAATCGAAAGTATTTTGCTCCAAGTAAGAAAGTGTAACTATTAGTGCCTTTAGTTTTGATTACACCAATCTAATATTATAGAACGTCGATCAACCTATTTTAGGATCTTCTTTTTAAATACTGTTGTTCTGAGTGTTCATCAATAATAAATATTTCAGACAACTTACACAAGCTAAGCAAACCTTTAACTATGGAACTTAGATTGACTGATAGAAAACTTATATTCTTCTTTTTTCTTTTGTGTTATTTTATACATATTATTGAAAACAAGATATTAAGATTTGTGAACAATATCGATCATGATAAAAATATCAGTTAAATACTGTGTCGCTTTTCACATAACAAACATACTTCAGTGACCTCTAAACTTCGTTAGAGGTCACTGAAGTATGACCAACTGAAGTATGAGACACACCGAACTACTGAGTACCTGCTTATTGTGTATAGCGATTTAAAATGTTCTCACACCGATTAGCATATTCACAACGTCCCAGCATCATTCTTTGGGCAGCAATCCACAGGCATGACCATCTCGCCTGGTCGGAGGATCCTTCATTCGTGTCATCCTTTACCTTTTTTTTTCCATGCGGAAATCCCCTCGGATACCACCTATCGGTGGCATGTCGGACTCGAACCGACTAAAACCGCACGCCGTCTCGGGTACTAATGGCCGGGGAACCAGGTATACCCTAGAAAGGAAGTCCCTGGTGCCCCGACATACCTCGGGCCATCTACAGACGAGTAGACAACCCCCCCCCCCCCCGTGTGGGAACCCCATGTTCCCTCTGCTCCCTGGAAGCGAGCGCGCTTCGCAACGCGCTCGCCGCCACCCTTCTTTCTGCTAGGGTGACAGATGGCCTCACCCGTCACGCCCAGGCCTGCGCTTATGGAGGACGGAGGTCGTTCTGCGACCTCCGACGCCTGAGTCGCCTGCGGTACCTGGCCCGTTCCCGGGCCTGGCGGGCCGGGAGAGTTCTAAACCTCTCCCGGTCCCGCTCCGCCGTCTCCTTCGCGAGCATAACTTGCTCGCAGAAGGAGACGGCAGAGTCATCCTTTTACCTAGAAAAGAAATTTGCTATTGTTACACTTTATATAAATAGGAAGACTTCTTGTTAATTGATTGTGTGATATGTTTCGTGCAGGCAAGCAAAGATGGCTATTTCAAAGCACCTTACCGTTGGATCATGATTAATGACAAGGATGATTTATCGGTATTGGGGAATATTGATATTCTTGTGGATAGCGACGTGGTGGTAGCTCAGAAGATCAGCGACCAGGAGTACGTGTTCTTGGAAGGTAAACTATTATCCTTACATATGTAATTATATATATATACATTTACATACGAGTATATTAGGTACATATGTGTACCGTAAATATGTATTTATCCTTAACATACGTTACGTAATGGATTTGACTTTTATTTTTTAAATCATAAAGGTAGAAAAAGCACATTCTTTCCACAAAAGTACGTGTTATTAACTTACTACTTACGTTACAAACGTATGAAAGTGATTAATAGAAAAAATAGACAGTGGATTGATCATTCAATGTTAACTTATCAAACGTCAAAAGTTAGTAAGAAAAAGAAGTAAGTTGAAGAAAAATTGAGTGCTTCATCGCTTTATCTCGATTATCAGAAGACAAATTCTCAGGCCCGGCACTATGGATGTCATGGAGTACTCTTATTATAACAGATAATGATGAGCTACAAATACCATTTATGGTAAGGTATAAAGATGGACAGGGGAAATCCAAAGTCATTAATATCAGAGACAGTGTACTAAACACAGAGTTTTGAGACACACAGAGCAGACACAATTAAAACTTCTCAAACAGATTAACACAATCACAAAGGAGAACGACAGAATCGGGCCATAAGGCGGGCAGTAATTTTATAAACAAATTAAATTAGTAATAGTTTTATTTTATCATGAATTAATAAATAATCGTGAAAATATGGTTGTATCAAATGAGCATATATTATTAAAAAGCATTATAAAATACTTATATTGATTTTTGACGTATGACGTACAATTTCATTCAATCTCCAACCAAAGAACTCGTATGTGTTGCAAACTACAAAAACGGTGGAAAAAGAAAGAAAAAATACTCGATACTGAATAAAAGTCTCATTTCGAAAATGTTTTACAATCTTTATTTTACTTTAAAAGTATTTTTAATTAAAGATTAATACAAATATATATTTTTTAAATAATCTGTTATTCAAAATTGGAAAATGTATTGCGTTATTCTGTTTTCATATTTTAGTAACACAAGGACATATCTGTCATCTCATGTCAATCATTCGCTTAAGCGGTAACCATCATCAGTTTAGTTTTCTTTGATATCTATTCAATTTTAGTTTTTAGTTAGCATTTTATTAACGTTTAATAAAGTTAGTTTGGTTAATAAGATGCTAATTTTCAGCTTTCGAGCTAAAACTTATTTAAAACGTAATAATGCAAAATTAATAATGTAAAACATATATTTTTAATTACATAACTTAATTACAGGTATTCACGTTAATCTGATTCAGATAATGACTCCATGTCTGAGGAATATTCTGAATCATCAGAATGGCCACCTACTTCTATGATAAACGTATCAGTAATGTCGTCGGTTAAATGGCCCAGATGACATATTTGATCTTCAATTTTAATTACATGGACTACACAGTCTTTCCACCGCTGCGGGGTCATTTGACGAAGCCGTTCTTCAAAAAGGCTTCGTACTTCATTCATTTTTAATGTTTTATTATTTGTAGCGACATGCCCCTTTACTTGAGCCCAGACCAACTCAATCGGGTTTAGCTCGCAGTGGTAAGGGGGCAGTCGCAAAATAGTGACACCCCGTTCAGCAGCCATTTCGTCGATGACATACCTTTCATGGGCTTTTTTGTGCTTTCATTTAATTCGGGCTTTAACATTGTCTCGTCATATGAAATATTTTTGATTGCCAATCTTGGATTTGCCCTTTTCGCCAACTAGAAGTACGTAACGATTCCAGTTTCCTGGTGTGATATGGAGCATTATCTATTACAAGTACTGCGTTTCTTTTTAATTTCGGAAAAATATTTTTTAACCAGTTTTCGTATATATATCAGAAGTCATCTCCTTGTGGTAATCATCTAGCCCCTTTTTGCTTCGAATATTAATAGACCATCATCCACGAAACCCTCTTCGCTTCCAACATGGGACACTACAAGTCGTCTGCCCTTGCCTGAAGGCCCTTTTAACCCAGTGAAATCGTCCAATTTGTTTTTGAAATCTATTTTTTTTTTTACAAACGTAACTTAACAAACCGACAAAACTTAACAAAAAACAAACAAACAGAAACAAACTCAACGAAAATATAACAAATAGCACTTGAAATTGTATCAAGACACAACGGACGCATTCGAACACTTCAGAGGTTGAAGGACGAATAAGGTAAACAAAATGGCGTCCAGTGTTGTTCCTGTGAAATTTAGGGTTGCCGTATTCAAAATCTAACTTTTAAAAACTACCATATTATCATAATTATTTTAAAAATTGCAGTTGTTCGTATGGTGTCAAGTTCCATAATTGCCGTATTTTTTAAGTTGTGCCGTTTCTTAAGAGAAAAGGGTTAAGATTGCCGTTTTAACGCGTACGGGAACAACACTGATGGCGTCTATAATTTTTTTTTTGTTTAATTTAAAGGCATCGAAACAGGGTCGGATTACGCATGGCGTTGCGGGGTCAGATTTCCCTGGCAGTTTGTAGCACGTCGTGCAGCCGTGTGTACGTACGTGAATTTTAAATATAAAACTTTGAATGAAAATTAAATTCGTCTATTATAAATAAAAAGTTACGATTCAACAAACCGGTATCGTAGGTACAACACTGCACAAACGAGCTGGCAACATTATTTGTAAATTTGACATTTGCATGTGTCAATTTAGTCTACGAGATTAAAAAACAGACTATACAAAATAGTAATATTCTTATTTCGAAATTAAAATGCCCACGTCTTGGCCAAAGTCCCGTACAAAGCTGTCGGTGTCCTTTAATTACATTTTGAAACAAGTTGCATGTGTAATAAAAATGAATTTCTATTACTTAAGCAACCTGTTCGTAGACGAGGCAATTCTAGATATAATACTCAAACGTGTGGTCTAGCTATATTTGGCGCTATTGCCGACTAATTGACATCAAACATGTTCTAGAATTTGAAATAAATTGTTGAACAGGTATTAGGTACACTTTTTAGAAGTAATGTGTCCAGTTTGCTGTTGTGCAGCAAATATATATTTCGATATTTAGATCGATAAATTATCTGTTGATAGATTGATCTGTTTTAATAAGCATTGCCACTTTTTTAGTCCAAACAAATTCTTCAATCAGTTAATTATTCTTCAAAGTAAATAGTTTATTTTTAACTCGAGGCATGTACCACACGTCCGTCTAATGCCAAGTTTGAACCTGGTTCGTTGGTGGTTTTCGTGGTTACTACAGTTAGTTAGTATAGTAACCACACCAATACTGACTGACAGTTAAACATATTGGTAATAACAGATTTATAAATATCACACTTAAACACCAATCTGGCAATCAAAAGAATCATTTTCTTTTTTGTTTTGTTTTGTTGATCGTCCAAAATGGTAGATACGTCATCAATATTGCTTTAGACTTTATGTATTTCATGTCTTTTTGTGTAAATTTTATTAGTTTTGTCTCCGAGGAATCTTTCGTACTAATACCGGCCGAAACTTTCCGCCATCGCTCCACACACTTTTTTTTTTATTTTTTTATTTTTTTCCTTGCGGAAATCCCCTCGGATACCACCCATCGGTGGCATGTCGGACACGAACCGATTAAAACCGTACGCCATCTCGGGTACTAATAGCCGGGGAACCAGGTATACCCTAGAAAGGAAGTCCCTGGTGCATGGCTCAACACACTAAAATTTTCATCCCCACCACATGGATAATTGGCGTTTCACTACTGTGCGCTTTTCGAGACACTTTTTGCCTTGCACAACGAATCTGTGTAACAAATTATCGTCTGCAGTATCTCCGGACCGATACGACATTCAAACCTTTCAATAAAACAGCATACCCCTTCCTAAAAGAACTGCAACGCGTCTGTGACTCCTGAGTTGTAGATGTTTACGGGTGGCGTGAGTCACTTTACATCAAGTGACGTCTAAAAAAGTTTTTCCTTTAGTTAATAAGGCATGTTTCGCACACTTAAAGATGAGTTTAAATAACTTAGATGGTTGAATGCTATTGTACCTTTTTTTTCTTGTTGACTGGGCGGAAAATCCCTTTGGATCTCCTGCTCCTCGAGGACTCAGGAGCCAGGAGTAAGTGTTGCTGATTCCACTTAAAACCACCCCGACGGCACCCCCGAATTGACACCTTGCCTAATTAGGCCCTATCCCAGGGGAGAACACTTCCCCCCTCAATCGCAGCATGGCGGCCCGATTGCATATTAATGCAATCAGGCTGCTAATCTATCCTCTACGAATGCTCTTGTCCCTACATAGCTCTTTTGCAGACAACAATTAAGTGTAAAATTGCGATATTTTTATTGCACTAAAATGTTGTTTTGTGTAGTTCCTGTTGCGTGATTTGATAAAATATGACTGCAGGTTTAAAAGACGATCAGATTGACCTTACATGAATTTAAAACTGTCTAATAATTATTTTATTGCCGTTTTTGCTCAATGTACTTAAATAAGTCATCGCCTTCCATGCTTCCTTACTGCTGTATCTGAATAAATAGCGTTTCTCTACGAATTTCTCATACTTATTCAAATAAATAGAAGTTATAGTTGTTTATGGCGGCGCAGGCAACTTCTCTAACTTATCGAAAGAAGAATATCATCATCATCATTCAAATTATGTCTAGTTTTAGGCAAATTGGTAAAAAGCCTAGGTATAATAATAATATTTTAATTGAAACGAAGTTACCCTTTTAACCTCTGATTGTAATGTTAATGTATCAACGTGGTTTTATGCAGTCACTGAGATAACTTTTGTTTTTGTAACTTGTGTGGCGACTCCCACATACGAAGAAACAGAAACATACTACAGCGCCATCTAACGAAGTCACACCGAACTATGGAGTAACTAATGAATGAGAATTGCTAATCCTGTATCGCGAAATGAAGAATTCTCTCGCCGATTAGCATATACAACTTCCCAACATCAACCGTTGGGCCGCGGCCTGTCAGGCATGATCACCTCGCCTGGTCTCGAGGATCCTCCCTTTGTGTTGGAGGGACATGACACCCGTTCCTCCACACTTATACCTTAAATTGTTTTTTTAGTTAGGTATTATTGTTAGGCAAAACAAGTTAACAAACTAACTGGCCCTCTGATAGTGTTGTTTTCATAAACAAAATTTTAATAGACCCCTGATCAGTGACCATAAAACAATAAGTCATCATCATTAGCCTTTAGGAGGTTTTGGCCTACCACGCTGGACAGACGGGTTGGTATTAGGTTGTTTCAAGTTTTTCTTCTCTTTGCAGTGCTGTTAGCCTGCGTAGTTTGCTCCCTTAGTCGGCTCTTACGATACCTACGAGACGAATAGGGGTGCTGATACTCCGTATTCCTAATCAGCCACCATAGGAATCATTAAGTACTTAATACTTAAAAATACGTAAAAATAATAATTTCTTGTGTAAGATTTTCACCCTAATCTGGTTATATGTGCGACTCTGACCTGCTACAAGTATTCCTCGTACTCCCCAATCCATCTACTTTAGCATACCCTTTTTCTTCTATTACCCTTTCACCTACCTATTTTTACTTTTAATATACCTACTCCAAATCTCCCCATTTAATTTATTCCCAAAGTGCCCGGAAAGCGAAATCTGGACTTAAACAAACGCTAGAGAGTGTACCACCAGCTTTTAGAATTTAAGGAGAAAAAAGTTTCAGGAGACATCGTTAATATTTACAATCAATATAGAAAAATAAGTGTTCTCAAATTATCAGATCCGCGTACGCATAGTTATATTTCGTATTGTAAATCACTTCATCTAACTACGTGAGGCCTGCTCATAGAATACTAAACATTAATCTGTGTCGTATAACAAAATAATTTGGATATAAAAAATGTGCTTTGAATATATTTAAAACTAACTTTTGTCCCGAGCTTAACACCCGTCAATAATTATAATAAACCTCTTTGCAAGGTTTCATTTTGCAATCCAATTGCGACTCTTGTGGTTACATATACCTATTGCTTGTTTGTTTCTCACACAATGACCCTACAGAAAAGTGGTGTTAAACAATTCTTTCGTTGCAACGATATTATATACAAACAAGAGGTAGATACGCCACCAACGCACAAAACACGATGATCCTAATTAGGACCCATTTAAACCTTATTAATAGTTTTTCTAACTTATTTGTAGGATTGAAATAAAGATTATTATTATTATATTATTAATAATAATAAAGTATTGTTTAAATAGCTACATAAATAACCAATTATTTTATTATAATATTTAAAAGATGAAAATTGTTACTGTGTGTTATCCTCAGTTGATAGACATATACCGTTGCAGACTTTTAATTCCGTATTACATTATTTTGGTCTATCTCATGAGGATTAGCCAGCGTTTGTGCAAAACAATGTAAGCACACAAAAACATGTTTTTTTACGAAAAATCTTTGAAATTGACGGATTTTCTCTACTATAATATGCATGTATTATACATATTAATAATTCTCTTACGCTTTAATAATTCTCTCTATTAATGAAAAGCGTATTAAAATCCGTTGCTTAGTTTAAAAGATCTAAGCGTACAAGACAGAAAAGCGACTTTATTAAAGATAATAGAAGCTCCTTTTTAACAGCATACAAGATATCAGAAGATGGCGACGTCATTTACACCACTAGAGCAACTTGGCGGTCTCCACAATACGTCGTTTCCAACACCAGTACAAGTCTATCAAAGACAATCATTGACGCAGGTTCTAGAAGAATTAGCAAGTACGGCTGGACAGAAGACTGCAGAACGAGTAAGGTATTGTCATCAAGAAGAAATAACTTGAGAAGACATACACTCACAGTGATGAATGTTGTGACGGACAGCAATGAAACCAGGATACATATGGATGACAGATTGTAAGTTTCCGTATTATATAATATTATATATGTCTATTACGCTTTCACGGCTAAGCTGCTGAACCGATGAATGAAATATCATGTAAATAAATTGATAAGGGCACAGGCTGATTGAAGACAGGACTTTTATGGCGATAAACCACATACGAGCGGGTGAAGCCACGGGCAAAAGCTTGTATCGTATAATTGGTGCCGCTCCCCTAGAGACGCATCCGTTTTCTATACGTCCATACATTCAAGTTTGTTTAATGAGTGCCTTTCGATTTTCCTTTGACGAACTGGTTTCACATCTTTTTTTTTAAAAGACAACTCCCACTCTAGGAATAAATCCTGTGTCGCAGGGGACTTTACAAACATACATGAAACGGACACAAAGGGCACCCAACAAAGGACACCCAACAACAATTTGTGGATCTTACAAAGTGTTGTCCCATGTGGGGATGGAACCCACAACACTCAGCCCAGTTGAAAGCGAGGAGATCACATCGCCGCTTCCTACTGCGTTTAAACCACTACTAGTACTAGCTTTTGCAAGCGGATAGGCCAGCAAAATGTCGGTTATCGCGGCAAAAAGTATGTTACTTTTTGGTAATGTAGCTTTCCCTTGGTGAAAGAAATGATTAAAATTGGTTTAGTGGTTTAGGCGTGAAAGCGTAACCAACAAACAGACTCACTTTCAAATTTATAATATAACTAGCTGACCCGGCGAACTTCGCACCGATATTTTTGTTTTCCTTAATTTTTTTTAAATTCCTAAAAGACTTGTTTTACTATATATGCTCGCCTCGGCATCACACGGCGGTGTACAGTCGCAGAATATGGAAATGACACACTTCCGGTAAATTCAAATAAGTTCGATTATCAATAATTCCATATATTGACATTAGATAATCGAAAGTCATTAACCCGTCAAATTAAAAAGTACCTCAAATGTTACACGTTACGTGATAAGGACAAAAAATGAGACAAAATCTTCCGTTTACAATACGACCATGTAATGAAGTCAAATTATAAAAAAATAAACCCTAACCTATTGTAATGTACAATATTTTTCGTTTTTCCTTCTGAGAAAACAAATCGTCCGATGGTTTGCCGTACAACCTCCAAAAAACACGGCAATTCAAGGTTTATTCTACACACTTCTAACGATTGGCTTTGGGATTTATTAATAGTCATTGCAAATTCAAGGCGCACTGCAACTGATTATGCTAATGCAAGAGTTGTTGCAGCTGTATGATGATATCTCTTCTACTTGAACGATCGATATAGCGATCAGCGTATATTTCAGCTTCAGAATTACCCAGGAAATAAATTTGAAGAAATTTGTAATCATCAGCTGATGGCACCAAAGCTCCTCCACGGTGGTGAATTTGTCCTTGAATCTGTAATATTGAACATAAAGAAATATTTAAAAAAAAACTTCATTTATGAGCCTCAATAGTATTTTCATATATTATAGGCTTATGTTGCAATGGATGTGTTTAATGTGTGTCACATAGTAAAAAACATACCCTAAAAGTTGGATTGAAACCACGTTCTTCAATTATATTTGCACCAAATGATGTCATTTAAAATGCACTATTTTAATTTTGAATAATCTGCAAGAAATGCTTTGATAGAGGTTCTTGCTCTGAAAGTAATGAATTCTGGTTCCGGTGGCGTCGTTAGTTGTGGTAATTTAACCTTTCCATTCGCACCATAATTCTGGCGGTTCGAGTCGAAACCCTTAAAACATTGCAGTATAGACGAATAGTGCTCTTTGCTCGTTCAGTTGTGATAGATCTCGCTTGAGAAATTCTCATTCTGAACACTAACTCTAAACACTCACCTCTAAACACTGCCTACGGTCTTCTTCGGTCTCATTGTATCGAAGATTATGAACTCGACTTGCTTTACGTGTACACCGACCGATATTTTGACGTCTCGCTGGTGGCATTTTTCAAGACGTATCAATAACAATAAATAACACGACGGTAGATCTCTAAACACACATCAAAACACCGTTTTGCTGTTGCTGAGAAGTGGTAATTTTGTATGACGGAGGACCGGTGACTGGGTTTGTTTTAAATTCAATTAAAGATGCATTCCAAGTTCTTACCAAGAGTTGTACATAGAACCGTACGGTCCGGCGATAGTAAATACAATTAAAGATGTAGAGTATTCCAAGGTCTTACCATTATTTAAATAACATGATTCTTTAGGTTATTTCTTAATACTAACTATTAGTGATGTGCCGGATATCCGTATCCGTATCCGTATCCGGGGATATCCAAGGGAAAAGAGAGATCCGTAACCGTATCCGTATCCGTGACTTTTTTGGCGGATCTTTCAATACATATTACATAGATGAAATTCTATATAGGTGATTTTGTATTCACTGTAAAACTCTAAGGTATGTGTTTGTAACACTATAAACAGCAACTTTTTTTCTGGTCAACGTCAAAATGACAAAAATTTGGTCCTCCATTCAAATGACCAATCAAATGTTGTTAGTTTGTATGGAGAAACAATGTTTTTCTTTCGTTTTCGGTGTTAGTCCAGAAGAAAAGTTGTTGTTTATAATGTTACTAATATGCACTTCAGAGGTTTTCAGTAAATTTAAATTTAACCCTGAATAATGGTTATTAGGTAGCTATGAAAAACTATTGAATTCTGTTCAGACTACTTTTTATTTCTTAAAACAAATATTTGGCACCTTTGTATTGCAATCATTTATCGTACTACACTAAATCAACTAGGCAGGTCGTAGGTACTGAAAAAGCTATCTTTATAATGAGATCAATCAAACATCTTTGTATTAGCTTATTAAAATAAGGAAAAAATTTAAATATCAACGGCAAGGCGTCAAGCGGCGACAACTATCAAGGTCACGGGCTCCGATTGAGTAAGAAACTTAAGATCCGTATCCGTATCCGTATCTGCGGATTTTGACACCAAATATCCGTATTCGGATCCGTATCCGCGGATATACTTTGTTAACGATCCGGCACATCACTACTAACTATTAAAACTTCAATTATAACCAATTAGAGTCTAATTTAAATCAATCAAAATATTTTTATTAAGTGAGTCAATCAAATTATTGTTACTAATCTGTTGATTGTTTTTTAAATTTTCTTTTAAACAAACCTTGTCCTGACAATTACGAACACAACAAAAAAGAATAATCTAATTTAGTGCAGCCGTTCAAAACAACATGAGCTTACATACATTTCGGAGATTCATTTTTATTTATATAGATAGGGATGGAATAAAATCACAAACACATGTGATAAATCATATGATTTAATAATAATATCATCACACCTGTGGTTCATTTACAAAACCACTGCTACTTAATTATTATTATTGCGCTGGCCCAAGACTCGCAAAAGGTCTAAAATAAAAAAAAGTTGTAGTCTTGGATAAAGAGAATGTTGATTGATTTTAATGCCAATTTATCTTTGTCTATGACGAAATCACAATCACATGTGTAATCGCTGTGACTAAACCCAATCTCTTCATCAAATTAATATGATTTTAAGTTAGCAATCATTTCCATATCTATTATATAAGTATGGATGTTAATAAGATAGCTATCCGGAGAGCCTGATAGACATCTCAATAGGCAAGTGACAATGGAGTAGTAATATAAAAGATTTTATGAACCAGTCTATTTTACCTACAGAATACTGACGTCTACAAATGTGATCTGCATAATTTGTAGCCTTTCAAAAGGTTAATTTAAGCTTTATCTATATAATTCTTAAATTAACCTCATTAACCTTAAATAAATTCATAATTGCACTACTTGATATTTTAAACAGGGTTTAATAAAAAAAGGACTCAAAAACATTCCATTAAAATGAATTATAAAAACGAAAGAACAGTCCAATAGTAGAAATTTGACTTGTAAAATTAATGTTGATTTCCAAAAATTATGCTAATTACATTCACAGTGTGACTGTTCCACTAGTTTATATACTTTTGTATCTGCTTTACATAAAATATAATGTTTTTGTGTGAAAAATAAATATTTGATAACTTAAGAACCTAACGAAGCTGTATCAGGCCTTATCGGTTTACTATCAAGTATGAGTAGAAAGATGACATCTGTAACTTTTATTTACATTACTGAACTTCTAAGTCATAAAAAAAAAATAGTTTGAAAAAACTGACCGGTTGTCAATAGTAAAAAGCACCGGACGATTTTTTTCAAATTTATTAAAAAAAATATTTTCTATTCTTTAATTTGGTTTTCTATAAAAAGTGTTTTTTAGTTTTTTTTAAATATTTTTTTTCGGTCCTCGATATATCTACAAAGCTTGAACGAATTTTGACCGTTTAAAGTCAGTCGAAATCACGCCCAAAGGAGTCGGTTACAAACAAACATACAAGTAAAGCTAATATAGCGTGTAAAAAAGCGTGTAAATAAAAAAATAACGCTTGGCTCCATAATACTACAGAGTTGAGAGATTTTGTTTAAAAGTGTTTTTTTTTTAATTGTTTGTTTGATGACTGGAGAGGGCGATTTTCTTTAGGGTCTGTTTATAAATTCGTAAATTCACCGTTGGTAAATCTTCTTAAATACTCAATTATTTAAATCAAGCACATGACATAACGACAAGAATTTAAATTATATCTGTAGTTTATTTTCAAAGATTATTTCATTTTTACGGGTAATGATGCAGAAGTAAATCACCCCAATACTGCAAATTTTGGATAGTTTCTTTTATAGCTGGCTGTCGACCTAATGCCAGCCCTCCTTGGGAATGTGGCGTTTTTAAAGGAGATTAAAGAAGATGGTATTTAAATTGAGTCAATCTTTACTAGGGGAATCTATACTAGTATATTTACTAGGGGAAAATATAACGCTATCTCCAGATGGAGAGACGAATCTGAGACTACGGTCGATGGAAAAAAACCGAATGTAACGAAAAATTACAAGAGTTACTTTCGCATTCATAATATTAGTAGGAATTTAAATGTCCTATTTATCTAATAATTCTTTAGTCACCGTCATGTTTTCTTAGGCACCTTCACCAAGACTCTATAGCGAAGATGTCGTACGCGGTGGTGAGCATATGTTTCAACATGCTAAATGCGACAGAGAGACGGATGTTCACCCATACCTGGGGATACAAAGACAAAAATGGACAGTGGCAAGGACTAGTCGACCATCTGATGAAGAAGGAGGCGGATCTTGGTGAGATTTATTTCGTTTTAAGTTGTATGTTTTAGTTTTTTCTTTAATCTTGCAATACGAATTATGTACTTTACTCATCAACAATTATTTAAAAAAAAAACAACACTTATTCTTGATCCGTCACTACACCAAATAATATATATGTAGATCACCGCGACGATAGAGTAGAAGTAAAATTATCATCATCATCAACAGTCTTAAATAGTCAACTGCTGGACAGAGGCCTGAAAAGGAGTTTTGGCCTACTATACCACGCTGGCCAGATTGGTTGGCATAGTTTGCAGTGCTGTTTACTCCCTTATTCGACCCACGGACATGAACAGGGGTGGTGATACTCCGTATTCTTAATCCGTCACCACACGGATTAGCTCAATATACAATGAAAATAAAGTTTCTTGTGAAATGGCTTAAATGTCACGACAATTGTTGATCCGTTTAAGTTTATCAGAGTAACGTTTGACTCAGATTTTAACTAAGCTGTGTTGGGCCCAGGCTGGAGATTTTTATGAAAGACATAATTTATGAATATTAAAAGAAATTATAAGACTACTGAATGCGTGAAGTTATCTGACAAGTTTATTATAACTTGATTTTGATACTTTATTTCTTAATTTTATTGAAATATTTTAATTGCTCCGGATCTAGATAATTAAGTATAATAGTTATAACAGTTAAACTAGCTACAGTTACGTAACACATTAAGATTTATATTAGAATGTTGGGTCAAGGACCTTAAAAAAAAGCAGCAAATTAAAATAAATGACGCAATTATAACCTAAATTTAAATAGAACTATAGATATTCGAACGCCTGGACAGAATTTCTTGAACTGTAGTTAAGAACAAAATCAAATAGTCGATCAAGTTACTATTGCAAATAAAAAAGTTAAATCAAAAGCTATCCATCAGGATACGAGATATCATAGATTGATAGAAACAGAGACATATGTACGTGTCAAAACACTTATAGAACCCTTCATTTTAGTTTTGGGTTGAGAGTTAAAAATAACCTGTTTAGATATGATTAAGTCTAGGAATTTCTAATTTTCCACAAGTTTTGCTATTTCCAAAAGCACTTTACTTGATTGCATCGAATGGCCTACTAAATGTAGGTACTTAAGTTTGAATCAGGTTTAATTTTTTATATGAAATTATGTGGACGTACGGATAACTTAATAGATATTATATAGCTTTAATTTCTTAAAGTTTTGGCTATTACATAATCGTGTTATATCCCGTGTGTATAGGTACATATAATATTTTTTTATCATGGAAAATGAAAGTTAATAAGACAGGTTTAGTGTTATAAAAATTTAAAACAGATTTTTTAATTCTTCTAACATAATTGCTATCCATTATTGAATGAGTTATAGTCAAATTCGAATTCAAACTTTGGGCGATATCTAGTTATCTCTTTACTAATTTATGATTATTCGAGATCGGGTGGCAATCAAAATTTCGGTGGTTTCGAATGTCTTGTCTCATTTCATTAGCCCTTATACTTTTAACTTAAACTGTCAATGAATAGACTTTTGCACTGTAATATGTCAGAATATATACGTGACACCTATAGTTTTAATGTAACCATTTTACACATTTTTATTGCACATGTTTAAAAACTTCGACTACAATATAACACTAAGTATTCCTAATATGCTTTAATATTTGCTGCCGTGCACTAATACTTTATAGCCTGTACTATGACGACCAGATTGCTGATAAACAAGCTTAAATTTTACTATACTACAGACAGAACGAATGGTTGCTGCTCATGATGATGAGCGACTGAAGCCATGATGTCTGAAGGACAATTCTCGTAATAATAAGAAAATCATTGAAAAGTTGAACCGACTTCAAATAATACTAATAAAGAGGACTAAAAACCTAGCAGCAATCGCGGTTGATTTGATGTCATTTTTTGAAGAGTTCCGTTGTCTCCGAAACTCATCTATATCAAATTTAAATGGGACCATTTCGGAATAAACCCCTTTCGAACAAACAAATTATTTTGAAAATCCGTCTGTCTATGACAGATTTATGCCCGAACATACATAAAAAAAATCATCCGAATTGATAACGTCCTCCTTTTTGAAGTCGGTAAAAAATTCGTACAGTCAGTTTCAATCTACTCTGGATCTCACAAATACGAGTCTCTTCTTCTCGAATCTTAAAAGGTATTCTCGTAGTAAAGTTTTAAATATGCGTGTGATGACTGTAATGTGATTATATCGTATTGTGGTCGAAATTTATATCGGTATTCTGCTAGTCTTTGTATTAGCCTTACTACTTTATTACGAGAATCGACCTTCAGGTTAAGCAGTCAGAATTACTAACCACTAAACTCCATTCCATTCAGAATGATTAACAGGTGGAATGATTAATTCTTTCGTTTACTTCAGGAACCCTAACAATCTTCACTCAAGAGCGAATGAAGGTGGTTGATTACATCGCAATGGTTGGGTCAACGGCTGTACGTTTTGTGTTCCGAGAACCCCCCCTCTCCTTGGTTTCCAACATCTTCGCACTACCGTTCTCCGAGTCCGTGTGGCTAGCAATCTTGGTGTGTGTTCTAGGATGTTCTTTGTTCCTGTTTATCACATCTAAATGGGAGGCTAGTGTAGAGATGGTAAGTGTGGTAAACTATGGCTTAATGTTCATTGAAATCTTGAAGTTGATCATATCGTAAGCTGTAAAAAAGCTACTAAGTCCACTTAATAGTAACAATTCACGTAAAAGAAATGTGCTAGGCGGTCCATAATAAAAAAAAAAAGCCGTGTGGTGTCGTGGGACACCCGATAGGAACGAAGTTGTTACGATCGAGTAAAACTGATTAGATACGATTTTAATTACAACGCCATCTATGAAAGCGGCTATTACCTACATATTTTTCAGTTGGTTTCTAATTAAAACAATTTATACATTGGTAAAATCTATTTGAGAAATGATGTCGAATACAATATTTTTTGCTCAACCTAAGAACATAAATTTTAATTTTACTATTCGATAGATGGCGCTGAATGACTGACAAGTGACAATTCAAAATAAAAAGTGTCGTGACCAATTTTCGTAAGAATTTTTGCCGTCTAGCCCCCTTTCACAACGCGCGATAAGGAACTTGGTTCCAACTGTCCTCACATCTCACACACGGCATTCTGATTCCAAACTAGACAGAGCCTGTACTACATTAACCAGACTGCTGATAAACATATTTTAATATGTCCAAATACGTACCTACATATATTTTAGATAAATCACATCTAGACACAGAACAAATGGTTGTACTTATCACACCATTATTTGTCCTGGGTAAGAATTGAACCCACGACCTTATCAGCCAGGATTACTAACTACTAAATCAACAGGCTCGTCATTATAGGCAGTGCATAATTATATTTGATGTCATCATTATCGTGCATTGCAAATATATTTTGATCCCTTGAATAGATAAAACGTAAATCATATCACGACATTCACGATTTAAATGTTCAGAGATAATGGAATAATATAACATATTCTAAGAAAGTCGAGTTTCCGACGCGACGAACGAAGCCGATGTTAGCGCTAATTTAAAAAGTATTTTTGCTTGGTTGTTTAAACGCGATCATTTCTGGAGCAGCCAGCTTAATTTCGATAATTAATTTCTTATTGGAATATTGGATAGACTATTCATTAATAAAGATTACGCATGAACATAGCACTTGCATGTTTTAAGTGTGCAAAAGAACTTTTTGATAAGACAGCAACAATGTGGATGCTATCGTTGGTGTTCTAGATTTAAACCGGTGAAAGGTTCAGATCTCGTTTTGATCAGTGAGACACTTGCTCCTACTGGTCTATGGTAAAATCAAAAGAGATACAAAAATAATGATTTATGAGTCTTGTTTTTAAAAGTATATGGGTCATCTGATAGTTTGTAAGTACCACCGCCCATGAACACCTCAAGAGACGTGTGTGTGTGTGTGTGCTGCAATTTGAGCCGCCTCCCCTAGAATTAAAGGAGAGTGACTCAAATGGCGTTATCCAAAGGATGTCCCTGCAATTTCAGCACCCATTGCAACTGGATGGTTCGTGGGCTGATGTACTCATCTTGATCATCGGAGCGGTTCTACAACAAGGATGTACTTTAGAGCCGAGATATGCAGCAGGTTCGATGTCATTTTTCTTACACACTTTTAGCGAAAGGGCGTTGATATCATGGAGTTATCGTTAGAATTGTAAATACTCGCAATCATTTTCGATAACATTACATTTCATAAGATTTATCTTATACCTAATATAAGCTACTTTTCAAATACTAATAATTAACGTTCATAAAGTTTTAGATATAAATATTTCTATTTAATCACCTTTTAAGACCCCCTCTTTAATTACACACTGTATCATGTGTGAAATTAAAGAATAAGATAGATATACTGGATGTTCAAACTTGCGTAATATAATGAGAATGAATGTAATGAAATAACATCATCACAATCAATTCAGAGGTTTACTAGTTACAAGGCAACAGAGAAACCGTACATTTATCCACACACAATCCTCGGCAATCAGCATCAACAAAAGCCGTGAGCAATAAACATTAACAATAAAATTAAAAAAATATTTGTTATTCTGTATAGGCCGCTGCGTAACTCTGATTCTCTTTGTGGCGCTGACGATACTGTACGCTGCGTATTCTGCTAACATCGTAGTACTCTTACGCGCCCCCAGTTCCTCTGTGCGAAGTCTACCTGATCTGCTAAACTCGCCTCTGAAGTTGGGCGCTAGCGACTTCGAGTACAATCGATACTTCTTCAAGGTGAAAACTGTTATTATTAATATTTTTTATTTAGCAAATAAAAAAACAGAAGTAATCAAGAGAAGTACCTCTAACCGACGTGACGTGACAAAAGTTGCCTACTCCTGATGGTCATGGACCTACTATCATGTAACACGAAACTATGAAATTTGTTTGTTTCTTGTCCTTTCAGAAGCTCAATGAACCAATACGCAAGGCCATTTACGACAAAAAAATAGCACCTAAAGGAAAGGATCCTCATTTTTATACCATGGAGGAAGGAGTTGAGAGAATTAGAAAAGTAAGTACAAATACAGAAGAATACTAAACACAATGAATGGGTGATGCGTCAGACCTAAGCACTCGAAAAAAAGTTCAATTACTTTCACATTCTAGTGCGGGAAATTGTCTTCGTAAAATAATTAAAAAAGCAAAAGAGTAAATTACAAATCTCACAATAAAGCCCTGTTAACCAAATTTTATCGTCTCACTTTTCTTTTCAATCATTTGTCATTTTTTTAAAGACAACTCCCGCATTATTATTTCCTGTGTCGCGGGGGACTTTACAAACATACATGAAACGGACACAAAGAACACCCAGACTCAGAACAACAATTTATGGATCATACAAAGTCGTGTCCGATCTGTTGATCGAACCCACAACACTCAGTGCAGTAGGAAGCGGCGTGGCGACCGCTTAAACCACTACGCTATCCGTAGCAAATCAGTTCAATGGGATTGGTTTCAATCAGGCGTCCGTCCAAGAATAATACAGCCACGAGCCGTGGCAACGTTACATATTGTGTACTAAAATTGGAAAAAATACTGTTCATTTTGCTATAGGAACCGCACAGAAAAAGAAATATAATAATTAAATCTCACGTTGTGTTAGAAAAACAAAGTTATGTAACTTCTTTATTCAACTTTGACATCCATTTAAATAAATTAAATCTAGGTAAGCAAACAGGAATTGTCACCCATTAACATTAATATCAAGTTCTTAAATAAAATATGCTCACGAGTTTAAAAACGTGTCGAAAATACAGACATATACAGATTTATATAATATAGGTTCTAGGTGTTGCCCGTGGATTTGTGGAGTTTCATTATTTAGGTGATCTTGCCAATTATCTGATATGAATTTATGTAACGTTAGTGGCTGGTGATGCACCACTGCATATTCGTATCTTTAGTTACCACACATTTGGGTACAGTTTGGATGTATGCTAAACCAAGTTTTTCGTCTAGTTGGTAAAATTTAAACTTAAAATGTAATGATGTTTTATTGTAATAGGAGTGGTAATCATATTTATTAGAAACTGTCCTGACCTGTTGGTCTAGTCGTTAATGACCCTGACTGAGGGTCTGACTACGCCAGAGGTCGTTGCCATTTGTACTGGGTCTGGGTGTACTTAATCTATAATATGTATGTATTTTGAAATATATATGTATGTTTATCAGCAGTCTGGTTAGCATAGTACAGGCTCTGCCTAGTATGGGCAGACGGTGTGTGATATTTGTGAAAATATTATTATTATTAGACTAGCTTTGGCCCGCTAAAACTTCGATTTTGTCAAGTAAATATACCAGGATAATAAGTCTATATCCTATTCCAGACTAAACTACCTCTGCCTTGGCTGTAGTGGTGTTTCAATAACACCACCAAAGCCAAGGCGTAATGAACATCTATGATCCATTCATCCTTCCACTCAAACTTTCAAATTTATGAGAGTACTACAGATAGATAAAACACAGATAGTATGACCATTTAAAGAAATCTATGTTTACAGAAAACACATTTGAATATACATTTATACATACATAAACAGATAATGAGATTTTTAGGATTGTGCTTTCAAAATTGTGAAAAAAAAAATACCTACATGTATTTATCTCCTTAAGTAGGCATGGCTAGTGAAAGGTTAATTTGAAAAAGGCAACATAAGACGAGGTGGCCGAGAGGTTAAGGCGTTGGACTGCTAATCCAATGTGCTCTGCACGCGTGGGTTCGAATCCCATCCTCGTCGGGTTGCATTTATTTTACAAATTACAATAACTCAGCTATTTTTTATCTGCATGTTGTTTCTATATTTAGAATAAACATTGATAATACAAGACAATAATTACTTGCAAGTAGATTAAGTGGCGCCATCTCTCACCAAGAAGCATTAAATAGACAAAAATAAAATCAATATATATTTGTGTTCTAATTTAGTTTAATATCTATTAGCTTAAATTTGTCTACAAGTAATTCACGTTCGTGAATTTTTCAAGCATTTAGTCATGTTTACAACACTACTCACTACTCTTACCCTTATGACATTAGGTCCACCATGCAACAAAAACAATGGAGTACTCTGAATAACGAACAACAATGAGTACTCCATTGTTATTAACATGTAAATTTAATGTCCAATATTAGGTTTAATAAATTTAATATCATAGTTATTTTACTTTAAAAAATTTAAGATTACTTCTTATATTTTAAATCTTTTTATAAAAAATATAAAGAAGTACATCTGGTAGAAATAAAAGAAAGCGATAAATAACATGCAAGTATGGGTAATGGTTCGTTTAAAAAACAAACATCTGTTCCAGGGTCTCTTCGCTTTCCACATGGAGCTGAACCCTGGCTATCGATTAATACAGGAGACATACCAAGAAGACGAAAAGTGTGACCTAGTGGAGATAGACTATATTAACGAAATAGACCCGTGGGTGCCGGGCCAGAAACGATCCCCATTAAAGGACCTGTTCAAAATTAAGTAAGTTGATTTTGCTGCAATCTCGGTAAAATTTAGTCGATTTTTACTGTAGAATTCGGTTGCAACTTTTGTGTGACACTGAGTTATTTTAAGACAGAAGTCTTTTAATGTAATGTAAACGTTTTATGCAAATTCACTTAAGAAGTCTCTCATAAGTAAATGTATACAAAGAATACCTACAGTGATAGGGTTGGAATTATAATGGAACACTGTTTTTACAGGTTAATTCTCTATCCAATATCTATTCAAATATCGCTTGTTAGTTGAGTAAGCTTAGCTCAGCTTAGCATTTAGAATCTCAGATTTCTCCTGGACCTTTACAAACTTATAGGATCGACCTCGCCTACACGTGGCTTTTTGTTCGTTGCGTGGTCAATTTCACTCAAATATCGTGGGTGATTGTTTACTTCCCATTAAGGCTACCTACCTACCTATTCCACTGAGACTGCTGTCTGTCATATTGATCATGAATCAGTTGCAAGGACTCAGAGCCAAAAGATCCGCAATGGTTCCTAGAATATGACTCTAGCCTATTTAAGAAATAGATAGTGGGAGATAGAGACCGGAGTGATACTACGGCCTCATAGAAAAACCGGTTTAAAGCAATCCTCTCATTACTGCTTCTCATTGAGGTTACTGGCTTAGCCTCTCCCTAATTTTGGGAAAGTACACTTCTAGGGTCAACAAAGCACCTGTGTCTGTTGAGTTGTAGCTATCCATGGGCGGCGGTTGTCACTAAACATTAGATGATCCGTTTGCACTTTTTTTCTTATACCATAACAAAAGTAAAAATAATACTTTTACCAGCTTCCTCAAGATCCGTGAGTCAGGTGTTCAAGCTAATATCCACAGCCGCCTGACAGTTGGCCGGCCTAGATGCTCTGGCACAGTGTCTACCTTCAGCAGTGTTGGCATCACGGATATATATCCAGCGCTTCTAATGACATTATACGGAATGCTGCTAGCCCCCGCTGTACTTATTATGGAGATCATGTATAAGAGACTGTAAGTAAAAATACTTTTTTTTTTTTTATATTTTGCTGAAAGAGACTACAGAAGTTGACAAATATCTCAATTAAAAGAAACAAACAACAATCTTCATAGCACGTTGCGAGACTATGGGCTCTGAATTCTTTAAATGGTATTTAGTAATAATAATTACGAGAGCTGTATATTTAATTTTAAACGAGTACACATAAGCGTCATGACATGTAGGATGCCCACAGGCCAGGTGGAGTGACGATTTGCGCAAGATGGCTGGCAGGAGATAGATGCGAGAAGCCCAAAATCGATCTATATGGGAGAGGTCTATGTCCAGCAGTGGACTGCGATAAGCTAACACGATGATTCTACCCTGTTACTATGATATACCCTAGTTTTAGTAGGAAAGGTCAGACATTACAATATGCAATATGGAAAATATAATGAAAAATAGCATTGAAGAAGAAAAGTTCCCTATATGTTGGAGACACGTAAAGTGTAACGTGTAATGTAAAGTGCTATTATACTCGTAGAACATGTGTTAATTCCTAAAACACCATTTTTAATGACTTGGCTACTAATCGTCTATGGACAACGAGAGTGTTACTAGTTTACCGTTGATTGGTAAAACTGCAGTGATGAGTAAAACATAAGCGTCAAAAACAAACCGACGAGGATGGGATTCGAACCCACGCGTGCAGAGCACATTGGATTAGCAGTCCAACGCCTTAACCTCTCGGCCACCTCGTCTCATGAATGCGTTCCTTAATAAGAGGTTTAAGATCCTTTAATTTCTTTCGTCATTGAAGCGTATTTTTACAGTTTAACTAAATTGTAATGATTGATTATTCTATCAAGTTGTAAGAGCAGTGTAGTAGTCACCTATTCATTACCGGATATTTATGTTAAATTAAACTCAAATACCAATAAAGAACAAATCAAACCTTAGAATTCAAAAGCCAAGGGATCAGCTACTGTTCCACTCCCTTTGATTAGGTCCATGTATATACTTTTTTCCCTTGTTACTTCAGGATAAGAATGAGACAACAGAAGAAACATTTGATGGAGGAAACTCCCATGCCATTTCAACATTAGGACAGCCGGGACAGAAGTCTTGACCAGAAGATCCTGTAGATTTCACAACAGTAAAACTAGTTACTTAGATATAGTTGTATGAGTAGATGATTATATTTAATATTGTAAGACAACCATTATAACTGTTTCTTCACTTATTAGGTTTTGAAAAGGTTTTAAAATTGCCCTAAAACGTAACACGTTACTTATATACCCTAGGATTACACACTCTTTCGCATAATGTTCTACAAACTCTTTTAAATATTTAATGCAATGTTTCGAATTCAAGTTTTTCGTATAATAGTTCAGTAGTTAGTATTTCGTACCAACATTGTCTTGTAGGTTCTAACAGTAGCGTAGCGTAGCTATTTGATGCTGTAAATATAATCTTAATTTTAATAAAAAGAATATGAAATCTATTCCAAATTCGTCTGGCTGTTATGTCTAACAAATTTGTTTATTTGTATTTAGGCACAGATTGGTCATCGCAATTTCCTCCAATACATTTTCTTATGTTTTCATAGATTTATTTCTCTATTCATTACTTGCACACTATTCCACTGCTGGACATAGGCCTCCCATTGCACGCCACTTAGGTCGATTTTGGGCTTCTCTTATCCAGCTCCTGCCAGCCATCTTGCGCAAATCGTCCTTCCACCTGGCCTGTGGGCGTCCTACACTACGTTTGCCGAGATGTGGTCTCCACTGAAGAACTCGTTTTCCCCAACGGTCGTCGGTTCTACGGCTAATAATGCTGTAAATAATTATGCTATTGATGCTTTTTATAATAATATAATTCTTTCTCTATTGCTTTTACCTAATTAAATTGTTTGAATTGGAGAGAATCTGGGTATTCATCAACATTCCACTTGAACCATTAAATTTTGCTATCCGCGCTTTGCTGCCGCTCTTGCTAACCATTAAATTTATTGATGTAAGGAATTTTAAAATAATATATAGAGACATAAGCCAGTTATAAATACATATAAGACATACAAACATAAAATACAAAAGTATATATGTTTTTATGCTATTCTCGCATATTCTGGATGGGAACAAAGAGAGAGAGTATTAATCGTCCAGAATAGACGGTGACAGCATATGCTTCTTCCAAATCCATCGGACCATTCATATACTCTCACCAGCTAGGGGTAGTTTTGACAAGGCCCTTCTTCAGTATACTGCCAGATAATTTAGTGTACGTCTTTCGGGGCCTACACGCACCGGCTCGTCCAGTCACAGGAACTTTATAAACTCTATTAGTCATTCGCTCTTCGCTTATTCTTTCAAGATGCCCAAAATGGTTTTCGGCATCTTAAAAGAATTTGCAGCATCCGCTTCTCAAATCTTCTTTTAGTCTACACCGTTTTCTTACCTTATTATTTCACACTGTTTAAGACCTACACTATAGAATAGAACTGAATAGTAATGATTGAATTTAATGTACTCGTAGAATCTTAGAAATAGTTCACAATAAAACAACCACCGAAGTATTGTTTTATTCATGAACCTCTTTTGAAATAGATATTGATGAGACAACTTGATGTCACCATTGAGTAGCTTGTGCAAACAGCGACGCGTGCTTATGAAATATTCATTGAAACTGTTCAGTAAAATGCTCTCAATTATCTTTTTACAAAAACTGTTTTTGGTATAAGACAAGACAGACGGTCTGGTTTTGTTCAACCTTTTTTGATCGAACCATGTTTTGGTACAAAATTTATTTATTTTATAACTTTACGCACGGCGGACTTAATGCCTAATGCATTCTCTGCCAGTCAACCGGATGCAGAGAAAGAATGAGGGTAGATGCATTTATGGGTAGGTAATAAATGATAGAGATTTTATTACATACCAAATTTGTTGCTTTGAATAGACAAAGCATTTTGCATAGACGACCGGAGTGATACCATGGCCTCATACATAAGCAGAGTTGAGCAATTCTTTCATAGCTTTTCACCGGCTCGGGGTTAATGAAAGCTGCACTTGGCGAAGGTTTTTAAATCAATTTTTAAAAGTTCCCAAAGGCCATTTCATTTAAATAACTACTAATGTTATTGCTCTAGATATGTTCTTCTGGAAGCCTGTTCAGGAGAGTAAATCATAACATAACTCAGAAACGTTACGTTTAATTTTTTATTTATTTATTTCCATGCTGAATGTATAATGTAAGTGCAATCCGCAGAGATTCGACTCATTGACTAGGTGTAAATAATTATACACCTTATTACGTCGTAACAAAGCAAAACATTTTTCTCACTTTTCATTAAATTAATTAATTAAATAATATTGAACTAAATCCAGCTACACATTTTTAACAGAGCTACTTCTTAAAGCAAAATTTGTCTTACAAAGTGTATGATATTACACGATCATATCATGTGATCGTGCAGCATCATGCATGTAAGATACATACAACGTAAAAAATTATAGAAAAAATATTAACATCAACATTGAGAAACGAACACACCATGACCGGTAGGTAATTCTACACATATATATGAAGTACCTGCGAACTCAAGGGTAGAAAGAGACTTTGTAAATAATATTCACTAAACAGTGCTATCATCACAAATTACCTTTAGACATGTTTAAAAGGTTTAATAGAACACAAGTTCACGTTTGTTTAGCCACAACTTTTAATCTTTTTATTTCTATGAATTTTCTTTGAACCTGCTTGCGTTTAATTTTACTGTTAGTTTATCTGGATTGATTTTTAAAATGTTTATTTTAAAGTTCATTATTATTCTAACAATGCAAAATGTAGTTCAAGCGAAAGATAACACCACAATACATTTTATAAAGTTGTTGATTGTGAATGAACAAAAACCTACTCATTTGATTTACGGTGGACTATGTTGGAGGAAAAGTAAGTACCTACACAATGAGGTATTCATTCATATCATAGAAAATAAAGATCAAAAATTAGGTTTCGTTAGAAAGGTCGGGCTTCCCGATGCCAAGTATTTTACATAGATGTGAACTTACACGGATGAATGGGGGAAACTCGCCTCCATTCATCCGTGTAAGCATTATTCCTATTATTTCATAGCCTTTCCTTCTTACCCTAACTTTCCTTTCCAAGATGCTCCCAATTTTCCTATGCAATAGGATTGCCCTACTATTACTTAAATTAGATTAAATTAATTATAGAGTGCAAAATCTAGGCAATTAATATGCCTCCCTCTAAAAACCATCGGGAATGACGGCGTGAATGTGTGCGTGTGCATCTGAATGTGTGTGTGTCTATGCGTGTGGGTGGGTGTTTGTGTGTATGACAAAATGAAGGAGAACGTCTATATTTCTCTGTATTTCATCAAGAATTGCTTGTTTTAGTACGAGAAAGACTTGACTTTCTAATTTGCTATTTTGTTTAACATTTCAGACGTAATAAACAAACTCGTTAAAGAAATGTCGCAGATAGGAGTAAGAACATCAGCATCTTTTGCTCCTAAACCAAAGTACCAAGATCATCAGATTCTGTACCTCACGGATGTCAGCTGTCCTGCGTCGAATAAGGTGCTATCTTATGTAAGTAAAAAAATATATGTCGAGAAATTCAGAAAAAGTGTTCAGGCTTCAAGACAAATTAGAATAGATAAAATACGAAAAAAAGAAAAAAAAGAAGAAAGTTTTGATATCAAAGATAATATGGTGGCTCATTGAAAAACATCTTCCTTTCATAGTCCTACTGCTGTATTATACTAATTGCTGAAAGATTTCATGACGGGACAGGAAGATCCCCTTCTCATACGATACTTCAGCGGTAAAGAAAATCACTGTGACTGTACCTAGATCAGAGATCCAAGTTCTTGTAAAGTTCCAATCCTCATTTATGTTCGCGATCACTATTCAGGACTATAAGACCCTCAGCTCTTAAACGGAAAAAATACCAGTTAAAGATTCGCAAAAATTTCCATTAAATAATACTAGTATTAGTTAATAAACTCAAACTATCGATTCTGTCTATAATGTTTTCCCACTGTTTGGATCCAGGCATCATCGAACGAGCTTTTCCAATTCACCTACCGCTGGCTTATCTTGACTTATACGAAGGAACAATCGCAACTGCCTCAGCTTCAAAATAGTCCCGTTTTAGCTGACAGTGACTTGGTCGTTGCCGAGAGAAATGGAAACCAGTTTCAAATGGTTGAGAGTAAGTACGAGAATAATAGATTAAAAAATAGAAGACTAAAAATATATGTTTGTTTGCCCAACTGTCTGTTACTTGCCGTATGGCCATCTAAAAATTACGGATTAATTAACTTTGCGATGAGTCTTGTATCGAAATAGGACTTAGGTTTTAGGACTTGCAGTGTTCAAGTACCCTCGTAGTCATTAAGCATATGTTTGACAACCGGATGGCGTAGTGGTTTGTGTAATGGACTGCTATTCTAAAGGTCGCGGGTTCTATTCCCGCTCAAGTCAAATATTTGTGGGCATGAACATTTAATGTTAGATTTGGTCTGGGTGTTTCTATGTATAATAAGTATGTATTTACAAAAAAAAGTATTTATGTATTTATATCAGTTGTCTAGTAGCCATAGTACAAGCTCTGCTTAGTTTGGGACTAGATGGAGTTGTGTAAATGTGGTAGAATATTATTATTATTATATTGGACTGCACGAGCATCATGCGATCTTTAAGTAAATTTATCTTGTAGTATTAGTAAAGAGATTTTTGCTATTTAACATACCTGTAAAATAAAATAAACCTGCGGTGTAGATTTATTATTAGCATTTTCATCTTCACTTTGTTTAAATTAGTATTGTCTATTTGTACTTCAAAGTGCACAGACCTGGAGTAAACGGCTCAATGATGATAAGCCCCCGAGGATACTATAATGGCAGCCTGGTGGACGTGAGACCTCATCGGGAGTTATTTCGGAGGCGACGGAATCTGATGGGACATACCGTTACCATGTCTAACATTATTCAGGATAGCAATACGACGCGGGAACACTTGCCGAAGGAAGATCGATTGTAACAATTTTTTTTTTTATACTATAATGTTGCTTTTGCCCTAGCTTTGGACGTAATAATGTAGATTTTATCAAGGTTTTATCAATTTAATTTCAGGTATCAGTTTCTATTTCTCAAAGGTCATCATCATCAACAGCCTTTAATAGTCCACTGCTGGACATAGGCCTCTTCTTAGAAAGGAGGTTTTGGCTTACTACACCACGCTGGCCAGACGGGTTGGTATAGGGTTTGTGTCAAGTTTTCCTTCTTTTTGCAGTGCTGGTGTCCTACGTTGTTTTGCGCCCTTAGTCGGCTTTTACGAGACCCACGGGATGAATGGGGGTAGTGACATTCCGTATTCTTAAAGGTGCTCTAATATTATAGGTCAGGTAGGTCAGGTATTAGAAAAACCTTTTTTATATACCTGTTGCAGCAACATTTCCTAAACGCCCTATCAGATCCACCTTAATTTTATACTCTCCTTCTAGAATTTCTACTATATATACATATATAAATGTATGTGCGCATATAAATACGTATTTATTATATCTGTTAGTATCATTATTACTTTTTGTATGTATTCCTTATTTAAGGTAAAAAAATCATTTCACATGTCTTGAAAAATGAATACTCTGGGTACTTTTTGGTTTCTGTGCATTTACCATATTTTGGCCCTAAGGTCGACTGGTAGAAATTGCCAACGGCATTAAGTCCACCTTTGTCACGTTTGTATGTGCTTTCAGAATAAATAAATAAAAAATTGGTTTGTAACATATAATTCCATATGGAGTTAATACCATTAGAGTTATTTTTTCCAAAGATCTCCCGGCGGGTGAATTTTAACCACTTTGAATGCTTTAGTTTATTTTATTAAGAGAAGTTTATTTTAAAATAAGGGGCTCCGGACACAAAAAAATCTATAGAAATCAATAAAATTGAAGTGTCTGTTTGTAATGTCAAAATTATAGGTTTTTTTCATGCACACACGATTATCTGCACGATACCTATGCCTAAAAATCAGTTAATTTTTTTTTATGTCTATCTGTTTGTTCCGGGTAATCTTAAACGTAAACTGGACCGATTTCGATAATATTTTACTACCAGGTAGCTGTCTAAATAAGGAATAAATTATGATATTTTTCCTCTCAGCCCTTTTAAAATTTTGCCCGGTCCGGGCATCGAACAAACTAAGCGCTGTCTTAGTGCGTTTTTAAATTCCACGCAAACAAAGTCGCGGGTGCCAGCTAGTATAGAATAAATGAAAACCATGAAGAAAACTAGAAATTTTACGTATTTCAAACTACCATCTAAACTACCTCTATCTCAACAGCTTGTCAGTACAAGCTATTGATATAGTCTTGGAAACTGAAATATGTACATTGAAGCTTTTTAATAGATAGATCCCCGAAATCGAAAGGTGAAGCTACTAATTAAGATAAAATAATTAAGTTATGAGAAATTTTCTTGATCTGATATTTTAATTATCTATAGAACAAACAACAATAGAATTGGGGAGGTAAGTATTAAGTAAACCATCCCTAGACTGTGATGTGAGTGAGAGAGACTGCAACACCGTTTATTTTTCTGGTATTGACTTATGAGAAAAAAATATTCTCCTCATGCATTAAATATGTAGATTCAACCTTTTATCAGGGAACTCCAATACGACTCGATAACAAAAGCGTGTTGGTCAGCAGCCAAAATTGGGTTCGACATGCTGAATGCAACAGCTCGGTACATCTTCAGCTACCGCTATGGTTATAAGGTTAATGGCAACTGGTCCGGGATGATTGCTGATCTTAAGGAAAATAAAGCTGACATAGGTGAGTTTTAATTGTAAGCCCTCAATCAAATGTCAAGTAAGATTCCCCAACAGAAATCTCGTCATATAAATTTGCTGGATATTACAACATACTTTTACGTACTTCTATTTAATAAGCCATCCTTATTATATATCAGAACATACAATGAAGATCTCTGTCAATGTGTGTAGTAGGAATTTAATAAGAAAAACTAAATGTAGCTTCCTTAGCTTACTAACTTACCATATCAAAGTCATGATTGGAACATGTTTGAACACACGTATGCTGGCAAGCTTAAAATTGACAGGTGCGTAAGATACACATTCCTCTATGGCGGCAGGAGTCTGCCGAAGAACACCGTGTGGTTTTAGTAGATTTGATTCCTGGACCTTGACTTGCCGACAGAACCCAATTCGCGTTACAGGAATACGACTATTACCTGCTTGAGCTATTCTAAATATTACTTACACTCCTAAATCCATCCGTATAATCCCATTTAATAAACTGCCTACTTTTTACTATAATACTACCTGTGTGACATCAGTAGCAAGTTTTTCTTATCTGAGTGATCCTAAGATATATTTGGTGATCATCACGTCGATCTAACTCTTTGAAAATACATGCACGATTTTCTTTTCTTTTAAAAGAGAACTCCCGCATTAGGAATATAACCTGTGTTGCAGGGGACTTAACAAGCATGCATGAAACGGACGCTTAAACTACTGCGTCATCCGTGCAGTCATTAATTAGAATATATGTATAAAACATCTTTACAGGAACCAATTGCATAATTTTCCGTGACCGTTTTGACGTGGTAACGTACACTGATACAGTAGCTCCAATGAGGATGCTGTTCATCTTCCGTCAGCCGCCACTGGCATACGTCTCAAATGTTTTCTACCTGCCATTCTCTACTCGTGTTTGGGTGACCATTGCCATATGTACTGTAATCGCTACTTTTACACTTTTTTTGGCCACTAAATGGGAAAGTGTTATTACGACGGTAAGTAGAAATGTTTTTGAATACATAATACATAGACTTGCCTAATCCAAATTATTAGTAATAATATGAGCAGATAATAGCACTAGTTTTAATAGCACTTGGGCCAACAACAACACATCATAGAACGAACATACGGATACGCGATCCCTGGGCCTTTTGCTCCTGCAGGCCATAGGTTATATATAACAGAAATCAACCCAAACTTTTTTCAGGGTAACACATTTCTCCGACTCCAAAAAAAATTGGAGAAGTTCAGGAATATGATGATTACGTTTATAGCACTAGTAATTTTTAAGTATTGTGAGAAAAGATTGATAGTTATGGTATCATGGGATCATCGTGATATTGACTCCAATAAAAAAAAACACTCGTTTTTTCACAAAATTAAATGGAAAATGAATATAATAAAAATTATTTGTTTCACTTAACGTTGTTGTGATCTACATCAGTGTCCAAAACAAAAACAGATTTTTCCTTCTAAAAGACAATTGCGTTTTGCAGAAATATACCCAACAACAATTGGACGGCAGTATTGGTGACGCATTGCTGCTTACAATGAGTGCACTTACTCAACAAGGCTGTTACATCGAACCTACGAGAGCTCCAGGTTTATTTCGATGGATTACGTGAAAATTTACAAAACTGACTGATCAAACTAATGAAATTTACTGATCGCTCAAAAACATTCGTGTGTTAAATTTCTTGCAGGTCGTATGATGCTGTTTGTATTGTTCACGGCCCTAATGGCGTTATATGCGGCATATTCAGCAAATATAGTGGTTTTGCTCCAAGCGCCGTCGGATTCCATTCGTAATTTGCCACAACTCGCCGCCGCCAAGATTACTCTTGCTGCCAACGATGTTGATTATAATCACTTTGTTTTTGTTAGTCATTTGTGATATTCCAAATATAAATATCATACATCTGACATCTCACCTACCATCTGACGGCCACCTCTATCACCGCGCAAGTTCATTAGTCAAATTAAATGGCGTGCAGTGCAGGGAACCCTTGGCTTCATAGTACATAATTCCGTCCCTTTTCATGAAATCAATCCCCTAGTTTGCAAGAAAGCGATACGAAAATTGGTACTCATGAAAAACAAAAGTTAGCTGTGGCAATACTACATAGGCAATAAGTGGCAATACTCAGCAGCAAATTTTTAGCATCTAATTGCGACACAAACCCAGTTGACTTAATGCGGCAATTATGATTTTTCTAACCACTGAACATTTCGCAGATATTTGTGATCTTAAATCAGATCAGAACGAAGTCGACAGTAAAGTTTGGATTTTAATTTATTTTCAATTAACTTCTCTTTTTTCATTTTATTTTAAATAAATGATGCTAGCTTTGGCAATATTTATTTATATAATGATGCAATTACTGGTCTTGCAGTACCCACAACGCCCTGGTCACTGATGGATGACTAGTTTACTTAGTATGGGCTCGTGTCTCCCATCCAAAGTATTTTTTTGTGGTTATGTATCGATATATACTGTGGGAGAGAATTTAATGAATTTATTGTTATTAACAGCCGTTTGCCGTCCTCTCTCCTGAACTAGTTAATACAGATATTATTAAATTAACCTTTCAGCACCAAAATAATGGCACTCTCGGAACTTCGATTCGTGAAACAGTATTTCCAGAAAATGGAAAACCAAAGCTGTATAATTTGGCTGAAGGAGTTGAGAGAATAAGGAAAGTTAGTAGATTATAGAAAAGGCTCGTGGTGTCTGATGTATAAAAAAGGGTATTCCTTTAATCTTTTACTTATATCCCTGTTTATCCAGGGTCTCTTCGCATTCCATTCGGTAGCAGAACCAGTATACCGTCAGATTGAAGCTACTTTTCTAGAGAGTGAGAAGTGTGATATATCCATAGTTGACTTTCTTGTTACTTTCGATTCCTTCGCTCCTGTCAGGAAAGGATCTCCATATTTGGAACTGATCAGAGTTGTGTGAGTAATAAATAATTTCATCATCATCATCATCAACAGCCTTTGATAGTCCACTGCTGGACATAAGCCTCTCCTTAGAAAGGAGGTTTTGGCCTACTATTCCACGCTGGCCATACGGGTTGGTATAGGGTTTGTGTCAAGTTTTCCTTCTCTCAGCAGTGCTGTTGTTCTGCGTAGTTTTTTCCCTTAGTCTGCTCTTACGACACCCACGGGATAAATAACGGAATAAATAATTTGTTATCAATGAACTACTACAATCGATCGATATCTTGAATTTTTCAGTGAAGAACATTGTAACTTCTTCACCAAAAAGTGAATTTTGGTGTGGACTTTAATATATTCTATAATGAATTTATAATAGTAAGAAAATATACAGTAAGCTTACTTATAAAATCAAATTTCAAAACTAGCAGAAAATTTGCAAAGATTATCAAACTACACTTAAGTTCCTAAAGAAGAAGTGAGTAACAAATGTATAAAGAAAGGGTAGCAAGCGACAACGTCCTTGATTTGTAGGTGTAAAATTTCGCCAATAACAATAGGAACTAAAAACAATCCACAATTGACTTGCAATACTTCATTTAATATGAGTATTTCTTCTCAGGAATAAACAGATCCGCGAATCTGGGATCCAATCTGCAATTCGCCTCCGTTACCTGGTCACAAAGCCCCACTGCACCACTAAGATGTCTTCATTCAGCAGTGTCGGCCTTATGGACATGGGACCAATACTCATACTGATGCTGTATGGAGTCGCTGTTTCTGTTGCCATAGGCATTGGCGAGATCATCATATACAACTTGTTAGTATGAGCTGAGATAAGTTATTTATACGGTATACTTAAGTAGCAACGAAGTACAAAAGCTAGAAATTCTGCTCCATAGTGTTCACGTATTTAAAACTAGCTATAGTTTCGTTCACGTAAAAGGTATTTTTCTATTCCTTGGGAACAGTCCGTTTTTGGATCAAATATACTTTATGCCATTTCCTTACTGTACCTACGACTAACGTAAGACCATTATTTTTACAAAATTAGTTCTTAAACATTCCAAAATATGAAATTTAATAATTTATTCTGTTAAATTTCATGTTGAAATCTCAATCTCTCAAACTTTAGCCGTTAATGTGTTCATTTTCTATATCGATGTGTTATAACCCTTCTTGTTACAGACTGAAAAGACACAAGAAAATTTCAAGGAAGCAGATAAACACCGTTCGTTTCAAATAAAATACTAATTTAGGACTTGTTTGAGATCACAGACACTGATAGAAAAAAATCTTAATCAAAGAGTTAAAACGCACCCTCATGCAATCTGATACACAACAATGAAAGTTTGTATTGAGGATAAAGGAAATGTGTGAATTTTAAATATGCATGTAGAATAAAATATAAATCAAAATAAATCCACTTTACACCAGTAAATTATTCTGCGTTTTACTTAACGTCATATCATTGCCATGGGTTTTGTTGCATTGCATCGAGTGAGTGGCGTACAATAAAACTAACTTTTCTTAAGGGGATGTTTTCCTCCTACATCCCTGCTACTGTAACTCCTGTACACCAGGATCTAGAGGAGTGACCCACGAACACACCGAGAAATAACACTCAGGAAGACCTACAAAAAGTTAAACTGACTTGGAACCCTTGCAATTTTGGATAAAATTGGTCTGGTGTAAATACCAACGTCATATCAAATAAGTGCTTTATTACAAGTTTTATTTTACTAAAAAATAATTGGTTTGGGTACATTCTCTCTAGTTCAATAAAACTGATTTGAAATTTTTGATTTAGGTTTCATTCATTAATAAGCATGACCTGACTCTGCACCTAATAATAGCTCCAGACGAGGGAAGTCCTCAAAAGTCAATAGTACAAAGACGAAACTTTATATCCTCATTATTAATTAATGAGACAACTTGGGTGATGTCACCATTGAGTCGCTTGTGTAAACAGCGGCGCGTGCTTATGAAATATTCATTGAAACTGTTCAGTAAAATGTTCTCCATTATCTTTTTACAAAAATTGTTTTTGAAGTAGGGCAACACAGACGGACGGGTTCTTTTCGACCTTTTTTGGTTTAATAAATTGAATACTTATTTTTTTTAGGGTTTCGTTGTCCTAACAAATAATCCCTATAGTTTCGCCATGTCTGCCCTGCCTGTCTGTCTGTCTCCGCTTAAGGCTGTTTGGCGCTGAAGGCAAGAGACTATTTGTACTTTAAATGTATAATTTTTCATGGGCGCATATAGTATTAACCAGGCCATTTAACATCTTCATAACATAAAAGCTAAACTGTTGTCCTTAAAAATATGAAGTAAAATCTTGATGAGATATATTTGGGAAGTTTCGTACAACAACAAACACAAAATGCGTTAAAGTTACGTAAATGAAGTTGGTATTTGTTTAAAATGGGTGGTAATAATCTACAGAATCCGCATTGTACGTGGCCCGACAAGCACTCCGCCGATTTTTGTAAAACGGTTTTTGATCCATCCATACAAAATGAATCACTTATATTATTGTTTATTGTAAGTTCTTTTGAAATCGTGATACAGCAAGTGCCCATGACGAGAGTAAAATGATAGGGATATCCATTAATGAGAAACACAACTAACCGTTGCATTCAAATTTGTCTGGTTTTTATCCTTCATTGATTTGTAATTTCATCTCTTTAAAATTTCCTCCAGAGTCGAATCTTTACGGCTGGGATGATTCATCTCTGGAGTATGCCTAGGCAACTTAATAAATCGGTGCGAAATTAGTTAACACCTTATTACGTAATGAGAAAAGTCGAAATTTATTAATTGAGGAACTTACACAGCATGAACGGTGGATACACGTAAAACTATATAATTATCAATGTATATATGCTTACAGATATAAACACTCTTCGTAAATAATATCTATCTAAACAATCTAAGTAAATAAAATTTAACTAAACAGTATTATTATAACAAATATTCTTTACTCATGAAAGGTTGTATTATCTTTAATACAAGAATAATTCTCTTTGTTTAGCCACAACTTTTTAACTTTATATTTTTATATGAGTTTTCTTTGAGCCTACTTGCTTTTAATTTCTTTTGTCGGTTTCTTTGCTTCCTAGTTTTATTTAATTCCTTTTTGAAATGTGTGTTTTAATTTTTATTATTATTCTTACAATACAAAATGTAGTTCAAGCGAGAGATAACACTACAATAAATTTTATAAAGTTGTTTATTGTGAATGAACAAAAACCTACTCATTTGATTTACGGCGGATTGTGTTGGAGGAACAGTAAGTAATGAATTAGTATAAAACAAGTTCTTCCGTTTGGTGACGGATTAAGAATACAGAGTGTCACCACCCCTATTCATCCCGTGGGTGTCGTAAGAACCGACTAAGGGAGTAAACTACGCAGAACCACAGCACTGCAGAGAGAAGGGAAACTTGACACGAACCAACCCGTACCTTACACCAACCCGTCTGGCCAGCGTGGTATAGTAGGCCAAAACCTCCTTTCTAAGGAGAGGCTTATGTCCAGCAGTGGACTGTTAAAGGCTGTTGATGTGATGTGATGTGAAGTTCTCAGAAGCAGTCTTAGTACGGGTATAAATTCCGACAGCAGTATCCCCTTTTATTTTTAGACCACTAGGCTAGACTACCAGGCTACCGCCAAGCGGCGGTAGCTTAGTGGTTAAGGCTTGCGATCTCGAGACTTGCGATCAAGAGGTCGTGGGTTCAAATCCTGACCAGTACACTACCGACGTGAACCCACTTCTAACACAAGCAATTAAGCTTACGTACGTGTGGAAACCCCCTCGAGCCGTCACCCCACTGAGGATTTTGAAATGGTGTGCTGAAGTGGAACTAACTAAAACGACACGAGCGATGTGTCATACTGCGCGTTTAATATACTACGTTAATATTAGGTCAATGGACGAGCAGCTTTTTTCATTCGACCGATCTTTCTAGAAACATTCTAACCAAAACTTAGTTTGGATCTAGAAAATTTAGATAAAAATTAAAATTTTCTTTTTACTATACTGATTCTGGTGCAAGAGATATTGATATTCATATACTACTAGGTGTACCTTTTTTTTTTTTTTTTTTTCCGTGCGGAAATCCCCTCGGATACCACCTGTCGGTGGCATGTCGGACTCGAACCGACTAAAACCGCACGCCGTCTCGGGTACTAATAGCCGGGGAACCAGGTATACCCTAGAAAGGAAGTCCCTGGTGCCCCGACATACCTCGGGTCATCTACAGACGAGTAGACGACCCCCCCCCCCCCGTGTGGGAACCCCATGTTCCCTGTGCTCCCTGGAAGCGAGCGCGCTTCGCAACGCGCTCGCCGACTAGGTGTACCCTGCCACTCTTCGCTGTGTCACATTATAATTTCATTGATGAGATGTGAGAAAGAAAAGAGCGGTAAAACGTAGATAAAAACCGTCTTTGTAGTGTGATGTGTGTCAAAATTTAAGCTCGATCGGTGCCTTTTGATTTTTTAAACGCACACAAACCAACTCAACATTTTTATAGTATACATAGATAGATTACACTTCACTACCACAAATAAAGAAATAAAAAGAATAATTTTATTAATCTGGTCTTTGTGGTTTTTTATTTCGTTTCATATTTCAGATGTACTAAACAAACTCGTCAAAGAAATGTCGCATATAGGGGTGAGAACTTCAGCATCTTTTGCTCCTAAACCAAAGCACCAAGATCATCAGATTCTGTACCTCACGGATGTCAGCTGTCCCGCGTCGAGTACAGTGCTATCTTATGTAAGTTAGAAAAGAGGTTGCTAAAGAATTCACTAGAAAAAGTGTTAAGACAGCAAGAGACACATCAGTAGGTAAAGTAATTCAGTCTTATTCATCTAGATAAAAAAGACAAAACGGTACCTATTGTATTTATTTTGACATTGACGATAATGCGGTGGTCGGTAGGATCGCTCGTTTGCTCATATCTAAGAGATGATGAGGTTTTAAGTTACTAGCTATAAGAAATTTATAATACTTTTCCATAGTAAGTGTGCTTAGAGATCGAGGTGGAGGCGCTGTTAGCTGAAATACAGGTTTCTAGCCTAGTTCAGCAACAGATGCTTATACCGAACACAAATTGTATTCAAGTCCAGAATTATTTAGCAACCACTAACTATATGTATTGGATTACTTGTTGTTATTGGAACTAAGTGTATTCGTTCATTCATTCAACTGGTAAAATATCTTCTATCAAACCTAAATCTCAAGTTCTTTTAAGATAACTAGACTATTGTTCTTCTATGTTATATCTATGTTAGTATTCCCATTGCAGTAAATGTAATAATGAGGTTAGGTAGGGGATTTCCATTATTATATGCTATGTATTAGGACTAGTTATGGCTTCTTTCTTTTTTGTTAAGAAAATCACTTTGAGTATACTTAGAGATCGGTAAAGTTCTCGAAGGTTCATGAAATATCCCAATCCTCAGCACGGCAGCGATATGGATTATGAATTACAAGATTATGTTACATGAAGAAGCGCTCCGTGCCCGTATTTACAGAATAAGTTCAGTAAACAAAAAGCCAATAAATAGAGCTGATAATGTACAAAAAGGTAGCAGTATATATTTTTCAACTATTTGATCCAGGCATCATCAAAGGAGCTTTTCCAATTCACCTATCGCTGGCTGATCTTGACTTCTACGAAGGAACAATCGCAAATGTCCCAGCTACAAAATAGTCCAGTGTTAGCTGACAGCGACTTGGTCGTCGCCGAGAGAAATGGAAACCAGTTTCAAATGATTGAGAGTTAGTATAATATACACTAAGAAATTATGATTTATTTTTAAAACTTGCAAGGATCACTTGGTTAAAATTACAGGTTAATAATCTGATGGGACTTCGGATATCATTTCCGAGGTCTGGTCCCCAAGTTGGTTGGGGCAGAGGGTGCGTTGGCGCGGCTGCTGCCCAACATGAAGGGACCCGATAACTCCTGCAGGAGACTCTACTCAGGGGTTGTGCGGTCCATGGCCCTTTACGGGTGCCCAGTATGGGCGGGAGCCCTGAAGGCCAGCAACGTCGCGATACTGCGACGACCGCAGCGAGTGCTGGCCATCAGGATCATAAGGGGGTACCGCACGATCTCCTTTGAGGCGGCGAGTCTCCTGGCCGGAACTCCACCGTGGGACCTGGAGGCGAGAGCAATTGCGGCTCTGTAAAAGTGGCGCAAGGAGGCGCGGGAGTTGGGTCGGTGTCCCGAGACTCGAGAAATCGATGACCGGAAATCCCAACTCCGCCAGGTCATCATAGGGGAGTGGAAGGAACGACTCGGGCAACCGAGCGCCGGGCACGCCGTCATCGCGGCGGTAAGACCCGTTATGGAGGATTGGCTCGAGAGGCGTCACGGGACCCTCTCATACCGACTGGCGCAGGTGATCACTGGGAAAGGATGTTTCGGGGATCACCTGTGTCTGATCCGCAAGGAGCCAACGCCTGAGTGCCACCACTGCGATGGCCAGACACGGCTCTCCACACGCTGGCAGAGTGCCCGACGTGGTGCAGAGGCGAGACCTCGTGGCGGCCATCGGAGTGGGAGTTCTCTCGCTTGATAGCCTGATTGCAGCTATCGTGCGGAGCGAGAGTGCTTGGAACTCTGCCGTCTCCTTCTGCGAGCAAGTTATGCTCGCGAAGGAGACGGCGGAGCGGGACCGGGAAAGGTTTAGGACTCTCCCGGCCCGCCAGGCCCGGGAACGGGCCAGGTACCGCAGGCGACTCAGAGCAGAGGGAACATGGGGTTCCCACACGGGGGGGTCGTCTACCTGTTGTTGTAGATGGCCCGAGGTATGTCAGGTCGCCAGGGATTTCCTTTCTAGGGTATACCTGGTTCCCCGGCTATTAGTACCCGAGACGGCGTGCTGTTTTAGTCGGTTCGAGTCCGACATGCCACCGATAGGTGGTATCCAAGGGGATTTCCGCACGGGAAAAAAAAAAAAGGCTAATTAACATCTTACGGTGACTCTTGTTTTGAAGTTATCGCTTATTATTATATATATATATATATTTATGAAAATGTAATATATGTTCATAAAAATAAAGATAGCTTTTTGAAAAAAATTACCCCCCTTTAAAAAAAAAAAAAAACTTTAGAATCAGGCCCCAAAAAAAAAACTTTTTTCAAGGGTTGATTTTAAATAAAAACCCAAAAAAACGGGTTGCAAAAATTTAAGGGGGATAAAAGGGGCTTGGAAGGGCCTCTTCTTTAAAAAATTTGGGGGAAAAATTTTTTTAAAATTTTTAATTTTCTTTTTTTAGTCATTTTTCTTTTTTTTTTTTTTTTATTTTTTTTTTTTTTTTGTTTTTTTTTTTTTGTTTTTTTTTTTTTTTTGGTTTTTTTAAAATTTTTTTTTGGGGGGGGGGAAAAAAATTTTTTTTGGGGGGGGGGGGGGTTTTTGGGGGGGGGGGGTTTTTTTGGGGGGGGGGTTTTGGGGGGGGGGGGTTTTTTTTTTTTTAAAAAAAAAGGGGGGGGGGGGGGGGGGGGGGGGGGTGGGGGGGGGGGTTTGGGGGGGGGGGGGGGGGGGGGGGTTTTTTTTTTGGGGGGGGGGGGGGGGGTGGGGGGGGGGGGGGGGGGGGGGGGGGGGGGGGGTTTTTTTTTTTTTTTTTTGGGGGGGGGTTTCTTTTTTTTTCCTTTTTTTTTTTTAAAAAAAAAAACCCCAAAAAAATTTTTTTTTGGGGTTTTTTTCCCAAACCTTTTTAAAAAAGGGGGTTTTGGTTTTTTTTCCCTTTTTTTTAAAACCCCCCCGGGGGGGCCCCGGAAAAAATTTTTTGGGTTTTTTTTTTAAATTTTTTTTTTTTTAAAAAAACAGAGATTGTTGTTTTTTTTTTGGGGGTTTTTTTTGATTAAAAAAAAACCTTTTTTTTTTTTAAGAAAAAATTTAAATTTTTTTTTTTTAAAAAAAAAAATTTCCAATTTTAAAAAAAATTTTTTTTTGGGGTTTTTAAAAAAACCCCCTTTAAAAAAACCCCCCGGGGGGGGGTTTTTTTTTAAACCCGGGTTTTTTTATTTATCTTAAACTAAGTAATTATTTCAATGTCTAATTACAGTGCGCTTTGTTATATTAATTAATCTGTGGGTAATCATCTGTTTCTTCAATTTGTTTTATTCAATAATTTCTGTTTTTACTTCGAAGTGCACAGACCTGGAGGAAACGCCTCAATGATGATAAGTCTTCGAGGGTATTATAATGGCAGCCTGGTGGACGTGAGGCCTCATCGGGAGTTATTTCGGCGGCGACGAAATCTGATGGGACACACTGTGACCATGTCTAACATTATTCAAGACAGCAATACCACACGAGAACATTTGCCAGAGGAAGATCGTTTGTAAGAACGTCCATTATAATGTATAGACCACTGACATTGAGTTGGGTACATAAACCAAGACACCTGTGGTTAGCCGTGTCGATAAGAACCCTGTCTGCATTTCGTATCAGACTCTCTATCCAGGGAGCCTCTTAAGGCGTTAGTCGAGGCTGTCTTATTGACTCTTACTCGTAACTTTGTATACACATACAGTTAAAGTAACCACTATCTGCTGATCTGAGTCTGGCTCTACCGCAGAACTCTTTCTGGCTTTGTAACTTGATTAGAGATTTTATTTATGAAACTACAATTATTTCAGGGAACTCCAATACGACTCGATGACAAAAGCGTGTTGGTCGGCAGCTAAACTGGGGTTCGACATGCTGAATGCAACAACTCGATACATCTTCAGCTACCGCTACGGTTATAAGGTTAATGGCAAATGGTCTGGGATGATTGCTGATCTTAAGGAAAATAAAGCTGACATAGGTAAGTTGTTGTAAACTATTAAAGGAAACAGATATTTACGCACACTCAATTGTGGGTGACCAATGCCGTGTAATCCTACTTCAGTCTATTGTTGGCCACAGAAAAGATAAATCTGACTGTATCGTCTGGTCTATTGGTAATCAGAATGCTGATGAACAAATATTACTAAAAACATACATGTTAAAGATAAAGTACATCCACAAAAAATGATTGTGTGTTGAGCACGATCATTAATTGTTATGTGTCTGGGTGTAGTTTATCTATAATATGAATGTAATTAGAAATATTTAAGTATGTTAATCGGTAGTCTGGTTACTATAGCACAGGTTCTGCTTAGTTTGGGCACGCAGACACGCACAGACATACATCTCGCACACGTGTGAGATGTATGAAATTATTTTTATTACAACTCCCGGATTCATCTGTAAAAGCAATATCGTGACTGCACGGAAGGCATAGTGGTTTAAGCGGTCACCTCGTCGCTTCCTACTGCGCTGAGTGTTGTGGGTTTGATCCTTTACATGGGACAACACTTTGTGTGATCCACAAATCGTTGTTATGAGTCTGGGTGTCCCTTGTGTCCGTCTTCCCTTATCTTATATTTCATGTGTAACGCCAACAATCGTGCCTTCCGTTTTGGAGATTATACTTAGTTGGCAAAATACGAGTTGCGAAAGCTTAATCTTCCCGGAATACGTACTGAGTGAGTGTATAAAAAATATCTTTACAGGCACTAACTGCTTAATTTTCCGCGACCGTTTCGACGTGGTCACGTACACCGATTCAGTAGCCTCAATGAGGATGCTGTTCATCTTCCGTCAGCCGCCACTTGCGTATGTCTCAAATGTTTTCTACCTGCCATTCTCCACTCGGGTGTGGGTGACCATTGCCGTGTGCACTGTAATATCTACTATCACAATATTTTTGGCCACTAAATGGGAACATCTTATTACGACGGTAAGTTAAAAATTCTTCTCCTGCTCTCGTAATTATAATATTAGGTGATTTTTGAAGAATTACTTAGTGTTTATATAATTACATAATTTTTATATTGTCATTAGAAAAAGCTAATAACTAAATCACTATCAGTGTCTACTTGTAATATTTTTAAGATAAAACAGAAAATGTTTTTTTTTATTTTTGTTTGACTAATATTTATATATTTACACCGATTCGGTTTCAGTCAATAATGAGATTCGGTACATATTGAATGCCAAAATTGTTTGATACAAAACAAGATATTTTTATTAATAATTGTATTTTGCAGAAATATACCCAACAACAATTGGACGGCAGTATTGGCGATGTATTGCTACTTACAATGAGTGCACTTACTCAACAAGGCTGTTACATCGAACCTACGAGAGCTCCAGGTGTATATTTCGATGGTCTTTACGTACTAAGATACCTAAAAAAAGAGTAACTATCTCCTTGGAATTGTTTTCCCTTTTTTGGTCTCTTTTTTGGTTAAAGGTTTGGATTAAAGGTGCCTAATTCATGATAAGTATTAAAAAAAAACAGAATTTTTCATATTTTTTAACCCGTATAGGTGGATTTACCTAAGTTACGTATATATACCGTATATATAAGGGCAAACGAGCAGACGGGTCACCAGTTGGTAAGGGCCTACCGTTACCCATTGAAGTACTCAGCTCAAGAGACACAAGCGCGTTGCAGCCCTTTAAGTGCCCTCTGTCCCAGAATTTTCACTCATAAGCCGGTTTTCTGTGAGGTCGTGTTATCACTTCGGTCGAACCGGCCTATGACAAAGCATGACTCTCCCACGAATAAAATTACTCTCGTCTTGCAGGTCGTATGATGCTGTTCGTTTTGTTCACGGCCCTAATGGCGTTATATGCGGCATATTCAGCAAATATAGTTGTCTTGCTACAGGCACCATCGAATTCCATTCGTAATTTGCCACAACTCGCCGCCGCCAAAATCACTCTTGCTGGAAACAATGTTGACTACAATCACTTTGTTTTTGTAAGTAATATCTGTAGTATTCCAAGTAGACAGTGGCCAGAGGTGGATTTCTTTCGTCTAAGGTGAAGAAGAATAATCTAAATGCAAACCTAAATAGTTATCTTAAACTTAATAAGCAATTGACGACCGGATGGCGTAGTGGTTTGTGTAACGGACTGCTATTCCAAAGGTCGCGGGTTCGATTCCCATTCAAGTCAAACATTTGTGTGCATGAACATTTAACGTTTGATTTAGTCTGGGTGTTTCCATGTATAATAAGTATGTATTTACAAAAAAAAAAGTAATATGTATTTATATCAGTTGTCTAGTAGCCATAGTACAAGCTTTGCTTAGTTTGGGACTAGATGGCGTTGTGTGAATGTGGTAGATTATTATTATTATTTTATGTGAAATCTTCAGTACGGAAACTATGTTGTTCCAATCAACTTTTTTCCCAAATGTGAATCGTTGAATGAATTGAAAAGAATGACGTCAACAGTAGTTTGATATGCACCTACCCATAAGGTTCCGGTCACTAATAACTAGGTAGTGAAATTTTTTTTTGGCTCTACCACAGCTCTACACAAAATCCTTTGACAGTTTGTCTTTCAAATACATGACATTGGCGAAATTGTGGTTACATTCTACCACAAAGCCATTAATTAACCAAAAGTTGAAGTTGAAGGAGGTAGTGACAGTACTCACAGTTAACAACCGTTGGCTACCCTGTTTTATGAAGAATATAGAAATATATAATCAAGAGTTTAACTTTCAGCACCAAAATAATGACACACTCGGAATTTCTATTCGTGAAAGAGTATTTCCAGAAAATGGCAAACCAAAGCTGTACAATTTGGCTGAAGGAGTTGAGAGAATAAGGAAGGTTAGTAGGCTCTTGCAAAGGCTCCTATCTGATCTTTCCAAAACTCCATTTGATTTTTATACCTCATAACTTTTATGCTTCAGGGTCTCTTCGCATTCCACTCGTTAGCAGAACCAGTATACCGTCAAATTGAAGCTACTTTTCTGGAGAGTGAGAAGTGTGATATATCCGTCGTCGATTTCCTCGTCACTTTCGAATTCTTCGTTCCTGTAAGAAAAGGATCTCCATATTTGGATCTGATCAGAGTTGTGTGAGTTATATTATATCATCCACAAACTACCGTGAATTATCTTGAAAAAATATCTGTTTTTGGGATTCTAGGCATACTACTATTAGAAACTACCACTTATTACATTATTAGATACAGCATAAACAGTTAGAGACAAGGGCCTTTAATTTTTACTGTACAATTTCACCAGTTTTATAACAATAATAATCTTTATTTACTCATTAAATATATTTATTATTATTAATTAAAGGATCCGATGGTCACGTTCATATCTGACACAACCCAAAATCGACATTTAATCGAGTACCTAATGTATTTCTCTTCAGGAATAAGCAGATCCGCGAATCCGGAATCCAATCAGCAATCCGCCTTCGTTACCTGGTCACAAAGCCCCGCTGCACCACTAAGATGTCTTCGTTCAGCAGCGTAGGCCTTATGGACATGAGACCAGCCCTCATACTGATGCTGTACGGAGTCGCTGTTTCTGTTGCCATCGGCATTGGAGAGATCATCACATATAACTTGTTAGTATACGCGGAGAAAGCTCATGCTGTATATTTTAGTAAGACATGCTTAGCTGGATTTTTAGAGGACTCTGACTTCTGGGCAACAGCCAGTTCAAGTTACAGGATCCTGACCTACTCCAGCTATTGCTTGCACTCCCCAATCTATTCGCATAAGCAATTTCCCTTCCCTACTACTGCCTTTCTGTCTTAACTGCTTTTCCTTTCAAATTGAACTCCTGGTGTCTGGTTGAGGGTAATATAGCAAACAATCGCAGTTGATAGAATGTGGACATTTAATACACCTCTGCCTACTCCTTCGGTATGAGTGTATGTTTACTGTCAAATGTTAACTACAGTACAAACCCAAGGTTTTCGTCTTTCTCCTGCAGTATTAATTTAATAAAGACTTGATTCCACGATATCCCTTATCACTCAACCAATGAGCGCGCGAGTCGGATAGTGGGTGTCAGAAGTTACACATCAATTATGCGACTAATGTAAGGCTCGCTTGTTATCAGTATTATTAAAACATAATTATAATTCTAATTAATGTATTGTGTCATAAATAAAAAGTTCTTGAACATTTAAACATGAAATTTAATAATTTATGCTTAGTCCCTAATGTCATTAATTCTCTTCTATTATTGTTATAAATATATTAGAAATGTTTGTTACAGACTGAACAGACACAAGAAAACTTCTTCGAAGAAGCAGATAAACACAATTCGTTTCAAATAAAATATCACTCTAGGTGTATAAGATTTGTTTTTACTGAAGTGACCGAACCAGCGGACGGGTCACCTGACGCTAAGTGACCACAACACAAGTGCGTTGCAGCCCTTCGAGTGGCCTCCCCACTCTTAGAGTTAAAGGGAGGGAGGGAGGTTAGGCGACCAGTAACCTCTCACTCGGGAAAAAGCAATGACAGTATTGCTCAGCACTGGTTTTATGTGGGGCTAGGTCGAACCGGCTTATATGTGAACATGGCTCTCCCACGGCCAACATATCACAAAGACTGGTATTTTTTTTTATTCTAGAATGAAATTTATTTTTTAATTTTCATACAGTTAGACAATCCTTTAGATTAGTTTAGATCTAAGTCCAAATGTTCAGTAGATGTTTTTAACAACTTCCACCTAATATGCAAGGAAAGGTTGCAGCGCTTTGGCAGTTGTGTTTTTTTTATATACAAATGAGAATAGCATGGATTTCAAATATACACACTATACAACTATACAATACACGAATAAATTCATCTGTGTTTTGCCTAACGTCCTACCAACGTTCGCAACGATAAGTTTTGATAATAACGAGCATGTCAAGCCATCCCAAAACATAGCTCTGGCTCTGGAGACCATACCAGTACGTTGCCGGAATGTCGCGGCGTCGGACAACGCAAAGTTATACTCGTAATAATATAATGCCCTAATGTGAAGTTTCATCGCACTACCAAATTACACTACCAGTAGTGTCATAGGGAATACTTTTCTGTTCGGTCATTTCGGGCAAGTAGTCATTTCAGGAAGTACTCATTTTAGGAAAGTGTCATACGTCCTTCTGAAGTAAGACCGTTCCCCGGTCAGTTGTGCAGAGGGGAAAAATATTCCCCATGACACTACCAGTACTATAATTTGATAGTGCGATGGGTCAGGAGGATGTATGACCGTTCCTTAAATATCCATAACATATTGATTAGTAGTGCAGAAGGGAAAAAATATTCCCAAGACACTACTGGTAGTGTAATTTGGTAGTGCGATGGGTAAGAAGTCCTCACAACCCTATGCTCTTTGTACTATTACGTGGCTATTACGCAACCAAATGAGTTGCTCGGTTAATTGATGCAATTTTTTTGTAAGTGTAAAAACCCTCTTCCGTCGTCGTTTGCATAGCACTAAGGTGGTCTCGAGTAGTTGCGTATGGGACTAAATACTTCTACTTTTTATTATTTGAGGCGTGGAAACTCTCACCATTCCTCACCTCACTATGAGACTCGTACCGACTAACTTCACAGTCTTACTTTCCGGTGTACGCTAAAAAGAGTCCATGTGAACCCCAATGTATTCATTTGTTTTAGACTGTGTTTTGTTTTTGTGAAATTGTGGTAGTTCTTGGTGCCATGTATGAACTGAAATACCGTTGCGAAAACAATACGGAACATTAACGGCGTATACGAACCTAATACTGCTTTTGCATAAACACGGTCTATTATTGGTTCAATCGTTTTAGATCTGGAAATGTTAATTTTAAGTTGTAGAACGAGCCTCGCGGTCGGCAGGGAACTATAGTCGACAACGTTAAATTGAAGGCGATAATGGAAGCGGATCGATCCCAATCTACGGCTGATCTGAGCACTACTGAATCGGCATAGAAACAAGGGAATTCTGGATCGAATTGTTACCTTCGCTGGAAAGTGGAGCCTGTACGACAACCGAAAACGTTCGTCTCAGTGGGTGGATCGGGATAAAGCACCTAATCAGTGCGCTAAAAAAAATTTACCCGAAGATGATGATGACTCTCTGGTCTGGTCGGATTGAGAAGCTCTCAATTCAACAACCACGACTGGTCAATCGCTCTTCCCCATTCTTTTTTTCTTTAAGAAAGACAACTCCCGCATTAGGAATATTTATCTTGTTGGACTTTACAAACATACATAAAACGGACACAAAGAACACCCAGACTCAGAACAACAATTTTTGGATTACACAACACTTTGCGCATGACCAAGCGGCGTGGCGACCGCTTAAACCACTACGTCATCCGTGCAGTCCTTGCTTCTCTACGACAACGCGCGAGCTCACACTTCATTGCAGATCATCGCAAAGCTACAAGAGTTACAGCTGGAAGCTTTCCGTCATCCACCGTACCTACCGGACCTTGCCACAACAGATTTCTACTTTTTCGAAATTTACTTAATTTGTTAAGTGAAATAAAATTCAACACCCGAAATGCAGTATGAAACGCTTTCGTTGACTTCGTCGCGTCTGCTGGATAGGAGGCGACGAAGTCAACTTCTACAGTAAACAAACTGTCGTCAAAATGGCAAAATTATATAGATAATTTGGGCCAGTAGGTATACCTACCTACCTACCTACCTTTGATTAGCTAAAATAAAAATAATAAAAATTACATTTTATCCAACTTCATAGGTAAAGACCTAATACTAACACTCCCTAACGATGCGTTTCCACTGACGCGCAGCTGGGTGGAGTGGAGAGGAGCGGACTAAGAACTGACCAATCGCCTTGCTCATAATCTCCCCTCCAAATCAATGGAAACAGTGTAAGTGGAGTGGAGCGGAGTTGAGTGGACTTTCAAATAAAGTCCATGAATAACCGGCCCCGAACTGAATAGAGGAGGCTGTGGTGCCAAACGGATCGCACGAAGCGAAGGATAGCTGGACTGTTTTCTTTTTGTATCCAAATTATATGTGGAAATCAGTTCTACTTCCGAATCTTCATCTTTTAATAGAGATTTAAAAGCGCTCTTTCTTAACTGACAACACGAAGACCTTCAAGAGGTTGAATTTAACTGATACCCGATCAGTCAAATTCAACCTCTCACACGGCTCAATGCAGCTTTGGTTTGCTCAGCTCAACTCCACTATACCCGCTCTTCAATGGGAACACTCACCACTTTTCACTGCTTGCTCAGCTCAGTGTAAACGCGCCCTTAATGTTCCTTTTCCTTCTAAAATGCGAGGCAGCTACGTGCTCGAAAGGATATAAAAATTAAAATCAACATTTACTGCCAAAATTCTTTTTTACGAAGTGCAAAATATTTAACATTTTTTCTAACATCAAAGATAAGTAGCTACATAAAAGATACTGAATCAGTTATACTTTGACTGGTTTCTTTTTTTCCGATTTTTTTTTATGTACCCTTACAGCGTTGCCTTTGCGGATCGCGTCAGCTTTTCTATGCCTCTGTATATGTACTTGACTTGGTTCTATTTTCTGTGCCAAAGCTTCTGCCGGCTTGTCCAAAGCAGACAGCCTCCTCCTTTTTTGGCTTGGTATTTTACTTACCGGCAAAGACTTCGGTCCCACCTGCCTATTATTCTCAATCGTCGCCGTGTGGAGTATTTTATCTTCGTGTTCTATACCCTCCGCTTTATTTCGTGGACGTTTCATTTCATCTGACTTAGCATCAGGGCTGCCTATGTGTCCAGCAGAGAGATTCATCATCATTACTCGAAGATCTAATAGTGTTTGGCCTTGATAATTTACGTCATCTTGTAACTTGTCTAATTTCTTTTCGAAATGTTTGAAAGAATTCATCATACGTGTGATGGCATCTAATGACATTTTGACCAATTTCGTATACAATAGGTACCTTTTACAATGATTATATTAGCTCAAACTTTACATTTGAATATTAGACTTTTAATTTTGATGACTTCTCATTTGTCATTTTGAATTTTTTTGTAGTTAATAAAGTGCAGCTTTGTGACTAGATTCAGAGAGAAAATAAAACTTGACATGTGTTTTGATTTTTTTTAGTTGTCACGTACACTTTTACTATCTACTATTATATATTATATTATAACCTTGATGCTTTCACTAAGACCGATTAATCGATTCCTAAGTTTTCAGTATAGTTGCAATGAGCACGTTCTAAAGTACTTAATTAAATAGGGAATTTGGAATTGCACACTTTTTTTCGGTATAGGAACCCCGGCACGGTACTATTATAATACAGTACTCCAACTTCATACAAACGGACGAAACGCGAGCTATACCTACGCGCCTCGATCTCGGGGTGCGCTCGGGGCGCAGACAGTCACGGCTGTACCGCAGTGTCGAACGGACTGTGTGTTGTTTTTTTAACAATAACCGCGCGATTTTTTCTCTAAAAATCAGTTAATATGACGAGTAGGAAATATTGTGCTGTATTTGGTTGTATGAATTCGTCAATAACGCATCCAGACATAAGTTTTTTTAAATTACCTGAAAACTCTGAAAGGTAAGACTATAAAATAATTTTACTTACTAGTAGGTAGGTACATAATGTAAGTCTTTTTAATGGATAAGTATTTCCTTTTATCTCACGAAAAAAAAGGTGTTTGGGTTAATAAATAAAGCAAATAGAGTAACGGAAAGTTATTGAGACGAGTGAAATAGGTAGTGTATCAAAATTTATAGGGAGTGAATTGAACACTTCCTATTCAATATACAAAGTATTTCATTTATTTATATAAAAAGGATATTTACAATCACAAATCTAAATAGAAACAGAAAGTAGGCAAATATAATTAAAATGCTGGAGACGGGCAGCCCTAACGCATGTTTACGTACCGCGCGGCTGTAGGCATTTATTTCTATCATGCGGCCGAGTTACAATACTGTATTATAATTGTACCGTGCCCTAGGTATGTTTGGATTCTGTTACTCTAATACTTACTATAAGTTACTTACATTCTCTACTGTATCTAATGAGCTGAAATCGAGGTGTGAATCGGTATAATAGCAGTTAGCATCTATTATATTACAAGGATTAAATTTTTTTCATTATCACTCGTTCACTTCTGTGGATCAGCATTTATAGCATTTCGCATTTAGCATTCTTAACGCCTCTTTATTGAGAAATTTTCATATTCCGGTTAGACGAAAGTCTTGAGCTTTACAATAGCTTTGGCTACCATGAATACAGTATTCAATTCTAAAAAAAGCCTCTCCTTTGTCATGACTATATTACCACGGCCTCACAGAAAACCGGTGTTAAGCAATTCTTTCGTTGCCTTTCACTGATTTAGTGAGGTTACCGGAGTGTGACTTTTGAGTTGCAGGTGTCCATTGGCGGCGGTATTTGCTTACCATCAGGTGACCCGTCTGCTCGTTTGCCCCCTTATACCATAAAAAAAAAATTGTATTCGGTTTTGTAGGATTAAAAAGGATTTAAAGTCATCTACATCTAACGGAAAAGGAGTCGGGCGTATCGTCCACTGCATCTTCATACGTAGAATAGTCACACTGTACAGACGGTGTTAAAATATCTAATAATAATTAAGTTGAAATTGAAACTTTGAAGTTGAGGTATTACAGTAAACCTTTGTAAACTTTTTTATCAAGAATCAAATTGTTTGATCATTATAGTTAAAGTAACAAAAATAAATTATGGAAAAGTAGTTATGCATCTAGATGAGAGCAGTACGTTTGATAGTTTGTCATTTTCTAAGTAACTCTAAAAAATAAAATAAAATATATTAATTTAAAGTTCAGCCACTGGCAATATTGTGTACCTACTGTCAAAAGTTGTCATTAACATCATAGTTGTCAAAATAGGAAGATAGCGTTCCGCAATGGGTGACTCCGCCGCCGAAAATATTCAAAAACTAAACATTGACGCAAAGGCAGGGTTTTAAAATACTATATTTAGTTTGAAACAGTTAATTTGTAGGTTATGTAAAAGATGTTTAAGTTAATTGGTATCCGTGGAGGCTACGTGGTCCGCTGCAAGGACTACGCGTATGCCACATGGGTCTGTAGGCTTTTCGTCAGCATTTTAAACAGTAATGTTTAGTTCCGTGTTATTATCTTTGTATGCTTTCTACATTGGTTTAGATTTTCTTGCGTTCCATAATACTTTAATTATTTGGTTTCTCAAAGTGTGCGTAGGTTACTTTTACCTTAGATGATTAATCGATATGATAGCACCTGTACTAAGATTGCATCAGAGTTTCCTTGAAAGTAAAGTTCCGCGAACCGTAAGACGTTAAATTTAAAAGTGTATATGTAGAAATTCAGGGAAAAAGTTTTAAAACAAAAAGCTTTAGATTTACAAATAATGTAAAAACAATTGCAAAACTCTACAAGTACCCAGTACATATATGTTGACCTGATGGGCAGGGAAGTAGATAGACAGTTTTGATTAGCAGACGATTATCTTTAGTTATTATAAATTCATTTGTTTCTTTCAAGTTTAAAAACGTTTAAAATCATTTTATAAACTTCTTAAGTATACTCCATATTTCTTCTACAGTCACAAAAGAAAGCCATGAAAGAAAAGAAAAAGAAACCAGAAGATTCAAGTGGAGTTTCCGAACTAAATCCATGGCCTGAATATATTCAGAAGCGTATCACTCTCTGGGACAAATATAAATCACAATATGTAGAGGAATTGGCTAAGAAACCAGAGTTGAGCATTGTGGTTACGTTACCAGATGGGAAGACAGTAGAAGCTAAGGCTTGGAAGACATCACCATACGATGTTGCTAAAGGCATCAGGTTAGTACAGTACCCTTGCTACTTTCTCCTAAACCCAAAATCAATAAAAAAATGTTATCTATGGTATAAATCAATCTGAGTGGTGTGCAATGGGAGAGGCCTATGTCCAATAGTGGACTGTAATAGACTGATGATGTTGCTCTACGGTTAGTTTAAATTGGAACAGCCTCTTGTCTATTAAAAATAATAAATAATCATGAATAATATGTCTATGCTTAAGTAAAAAAGACATAACTAAAACAATACACAGTAACTCTTACTATTTATGCCATGAAGAAATCAAGAATTTAAAATTCCAAATTTAAAAATATTTGTCTAAGCTTTTAGTCCTTTATGTAAATTGATCAATGAATCAACTCAAATCAGTTTAGGTTTAAAGAGCTTAAGGACTTAAAGTCCACTTATAACTGAATATTAAGTCTCCTATATTACCTACTAACTTTGTATTGTACATAGTCTATTAGTTTAGGTTTGAACAGGTGTGTGTTTTCATATACATCTGTTTTTATCTTTTATGTTATTTGTTAAGGTGTTGTACAGCCACACTCCTTCAATTAAATTAGTTTTTCCTTCCATTTAGTGTATGGATGAATTGCATAGTTTGTTTGTGTTTTTTAAACTATGTGCTGTTTCTTTCTTCAGTAATTGAATATTGGAGTTTGTTCTCATTAAACATCTAAATCATACATTTTGTAAGAAATAATGGGGTTATAGTTAATGTCATACCTAACCCTTCATACCTATTACCTAAGCTAAATCATAGATTTTAATATTTAGTTTGGTAATGAAAAAAATTCATCTAAAGTAATGAATTTCATTTTTTACAGTTTGTTTTTCTTGAGTACTATTAAAAAAAGGAATTTAATAAGAAGGAATCTTATTGTCAAGTATACAGTATATTTTCTTTTGGTTTAAAAAAATTGTCTGCATTAAATTTGACTACGGACAATAAAAAAAGCCAATATGAGCCAGTTTTCATCTAATTAAAGCAAATGATGATCCCATATTCCTGCTCTTTACAAAAGCATGTTTTGTAGATAGAAGGGTTAAAAGTTGTCAACATTTTGTAATGAAATTAAGTCCAAGACAGACAGACGTAAAAGAATAAAAGGTTTCATATTTTCCTTGCATACATTGACATTCTTTTTTTACCTCCTCTAAGTGTTAAAATGCAGAAATTAAAATTGTATGTACTCTATTGCCATTAATGTTATTCTAGACATTCTTTAAGTACTATTAGTAATGACAAGTGGGTTACTCTTTTAATGTACATAAAACTTTTGTTCTAATCTGCAATTAACCTTTTAAGTCAGTGTCTTAACCTGTGTTATACTGATTGCTGTTAAGATAAACTAACTTTGTAGTCCCATTATGAACCTGGCCCATTATTGGGTTGGCAATCCATGATTCGAATCACAGGTTGTCACAGGCTGTAGTTTATTAAAATGCTGTTCTTATAAAGCAGGTCTAGGTTTTATTATCCAGATGATATACATTCCGCCATCTACAATATAAATGACCTCAGTAAGACCTTTAATATAATCTGACTACTGACAAAAAGAGTGGTATAAATTTGACCTGTATGCATGAATGCCTGAAACTATATTCTCTCGTGTCTACAAAACGGTTGAACAATTTTAACGAATGCTATGTCGTAAGAAATGTCTGAAATAAATAAATAATTAATGTGACTGACTATTGTTGTCAAAATATGCTATGAATATATAAAATATATCGAATGGAAACTGGTCAAGGCTTTTATTAAGGGGTGAAACATCCTGCATCATAGGGGGCAGCTGCCTCTGTTAAGAGATTGTATTAAATAGTAGGAGTTGCAATTTATTTATGTGTCCAAGAGGTCTTATTTTTTTTTTAATGGAAGTACAGAAAGTTAAGAACTTTAATGGTTTCAGTCATAGTGATTTACCATAGTTGTAATATTTTTAAAGTTCAAAAACCTTAGTCACTATGCTCATTTAATGTCGATCAGCTAAATTTTAACAAATTGTAACATAATTAATTATTTGCCTGCACACAAGCGAGTTCTGGAGCCAATAGTAAGTATACAATGCAAGGGTGGACTGATTTTAAGTGGCTTTAACTGGTTGTGTTGTTGTTAAGTAAGACACTGTTAACACACATTGACAGTCTGATAAACCGTGTCATCTGTGGTTGGCTTGAAGTTACTTAAAATATGCCCCAGAAAATATGCTTTGATTGTATTATTGTTTATCTTTAAACAATAATTTATGAATATATTTATACAAATTAAATAAAGTGTACATGTTACTCTGCATGTGTGTTGCTTGGCTGTGCCCTTTATCAGCCTCTATTTGTATGTCAAGGTCAAGTTGCAATTTTTAATCTATGTGACCTCAACTGTGTTTGTAATAATTTATATGTTTGATAAAGTGTTTTTTTTTTCTATTTAACATTGTTTAGAAAATAATCAATGTGTTATGATTACCCAGCAAACTAAAAAAAAAAAAAACAATTTAGAACAAGTTTGACTTTTAGAGAATGTCAGTTGTTGATAATTTATAATGCTTTCACTTATGATTTTTATATTTGAAATTATGTCCAGTTTCTAAGACAGTAGTCTCTTTACTTTATTGTATGAATAATATTTTCACTATCTAAAATCTAATTATACCAGTAAAGCCACTTTGACCAGTTACACCCTGCATCACCATCCATAACCTTAATCTTGATCTCTTCCCATCACAGCCAAGGTTTGGCAGACGCCACCATCATAGCCAGGGTAAACAATGAGTTATGGGACTTAGATAGACCTTTAGAAGGAGACTGCAAGTTAGAGCTGCTGCGATGGGACAACACAGATGCTCAAGCAGTCTTCTGGCATTCTTCTGCACATATGCTGGGAGAGGCTATGGAAAGGGTATGTAAATATATATAATAAGTTTTACATTTTTATATTTTTGTCGTGTGGCAACATCACATCAACAGCAGTTTTATATACTCTAAGTGCATGTTCAGAGTACCTAAGCAACTACACTTATTATCTACTAGTATCTTAGGGTTCCGTGCCCAAAGGATAAAACGGGACACTATTACTAAGACTCCGCTGTCCGTCCGTCCGTCCGTCCGTCTGTCACCAGGCTGTATCTCATGAACCGTGATAGTTAGACAGTTAAAATTTTCACGGATGATGTATTTCTGTTGCCACTAACAAAAAATACTAAAAAATAAATATTTAAGTGGAACGGAACCCTTCGTTCGCGAGTCCGACTCGCACTTAGCCGGTTTTTTATTTTTGAGAACATAAACTTAACATTTTGTTTATAAGCTGAACCCTATATGAATAGTAAATAATTTTGTTTTTAAAGCTTCGCACGCTTACACGTATTATAAACACACATTTCACCTACTGTATTTTTGTCCCTTCAATAAGGCATATTGTTCTATTTATAAATAAAGTAAGGAAACGTCGGTAAGAAGGGAAGGTAATGGTAGGAAAGGGAATATTGCTTTAACACTAGATGTTACCAGAAAATTTGAGCCTTAATTTTATTATGTTAGGTTTTTCGAGATGAATTTTGTGTAAAAATATGTGTTTGTTAATGTTTAAATATAAAAATAAGTTGCTTTTTCTAGGTCTATGGAGGATGTCTGTGCTACGGGCCGCCCATAGATGAAGGATTCTACTATGACATGTATTATCCAGAGAAAGGGGTTAGAAAATTTAATTTAAAAAATCTTTGTCAACTTTTTTCGTTGTTTTTTTGTTAAGCAGCTATTTAATGAATTAATTAAATATAAGTTATGAATATAATGGTCGAATTAAAAAAAAACAACTAGTGGGTAGACATCATTTTTTAAAGAACAGATGAGAAATTGAGTAAAGCTGAGAAATTATTAATAAAGGAAGTAGACTTGTAGTCAAACTATAGAGACTATTTTTAAGTAGTTATATTTTCACAGATTTCATCCACGGATTTCCATGTACTAGAAGGTTTAGTAAAGAAAATAAGCAAGGAGAAACAGCCATTTGAACGACTTGAACTAACCAAAGAACAGCTGTTGGAGATGTTTGACTACAACCCGTTCAAGGTGCGCATTTTGAAGGAGAAGGTGAACACTCCGACCACTACGGTGTACCGGTGTGGGCCATTGATCGATTTGTGCAGAGGTCCTCACGTCAGACATACGGGCAAAGTCAAGGCTATGAAGGTTACGAAGGTATGTTTCTGTATCTTTTTTTTTATAGCATGGGCAAACGAGCAGACCTGTAATCTGATGTTTAGTGACTACCGCCGCCCATAAACACCTGCACCTTTTGAAGCCCCAAGAATCAGGGTGGAGGGAGGTTTGAACTCCGGTAACCTCGGTTACGTGGTAAAAACCAATGGAAAATTGCTTAACAACGCTTTTCTGTGAGGCCGTAGTATTCCTCTTGCAGAGCTGGTCTGTCTCTGCCGGTTTCCTCCTCTTTTCTTAACTTAACCATTGATGCAGTGTGTAAGGGTTACAGCAAGTCTCAGATAGGAAATAGGACTGAGATATGACTGGACGGACAGCGTTCGGGAAGCTGCGTAAAATTTACTTGTCTGAAATACTCAAGACGTGTCTCAAGACAAGTCTTCGACCAGTTTGTGTTGCCAGTTATGACTTAGGGCACAGTGAAGAAAGCTCCAGGTCACCCAAAGAGCGATAGAGAGGCAATGCTCGGAGTTTCTCTGCTTGATGGAGTCAGGAATGAGGAGGGCATCGAAATGATGACCTATGGGGCGAAAAGAAAACTAATTAGCTCACTCAGAAATGGGACTAAGACCGATTAGCTCACTCGGAAATGGGACTCCCCGCAATGGCATTGGCATTCCCCGTATATCATCATCATCCATATCATGAGACCTCGATTGTGTTTTATTTACGGTTATTTATATTTAAAGTGAGAAGATGGGAAGATGATCTGAAATTGACTCTAGGTCCCCTTTGGCTAAGGATTGCAACCGACAGGAAATAGTGGAAGACGTTGGAGGAGGCCTATGCCGTAAGGCACACCCAACTTAGGGACATATTATGACTAATGTACTAGGGACTATTGAGTAGTATGAAAAACTGTATAACTTCGGAATTAAAGACTTATTTTCTTCTTTCTTCGTTTTAAAAGACAACTCCCGCATTAGGAAAATATCCTGTGTGGCGGGGAATCTTACAAACATACATGAAACGGACACAAAGAACACCCAGACTCAGAACAACAATTTGTGGATCACACAAAGTGTCGTCCCATGTGGGATTTGAACCCACAACACTCGGCGTAGTAGGGAGCGGCGTGGCGATCGCTTAAACCACTACGCCATCCGTGCAGTCAAATTTATTATTATATTTAAATGTACCTAATAGATTGATTATAAGAATAACTTTGTTTCTGAACTATACTTAGTAGTAACTTAAATAGGTTAAATTCATGGGTGTTCGAGAGTATCACATAATATTATCTTATTAGTCATTAAATTATAGAAACGATAAAATTAAGTAATGACTCGTTTGAGCCACTATCTTCAAAAACCGACAAAGGGAAATTCCGTTATATTAGTAATTGTTTGCAACTTCCTTTTTAGAATTCCGCAACTTACTGGGAAGGCAAAGCTGACGCGGAGAGTCTTCAGCGCATATACGGAGTGTCCTTCCCTGAGCCCAAACAGCTGAAGGAGTGGGAGATCATACAGGAGGAGGCCGCGAAGAGAGATCATCGGAAGATTGGTCGGGTACGTGTTATGTTTTTTTTATAATGAGTTTTATGTGTCAAATATTTAAACAAGTTACCTTGAGGTATGAACGACTAAAGGTAAGGTATGGGAGATAAGGGGGCGTCCATTAATTATATGAGTCATTCAGGGAGAGGGGAGTCGAGTAGAATCTCATCTAATCTTACTTTGGGGAGAGGGGGAATTTTATTCCGCAAGAAACAGAGTAACATTTCGAAAAAACTGGGTTAAATTAAGTAAAACATGTTCCTCCACGGAAAAATGGCCTAGTGTAATACAAAAATATTTATCATGTTATTGCGAGTGCCGCGAAGTTACACAGTAGGCCGTCGTTTATTTAGGCGCCATCACCAACCTTTACACTAAAACACATTTTTAAAAATCTCACGTAAAATTGGGGGATGGGTTCTATCAAATCTCACAACATCTCACCAGACGGGGAGAGAAAAAGACAGATAAATAAGAAATTTGTAAACATTTTATTTAATAGAAAAAAAAGTATTTTCAATCGTAAAAAGGGAACTTTTCTTTATTGTTATAGGAGCAAGAGCTATTTTTCTTCCACGAGCTGTCTCCAGGTTCGTGCTTCTTCCAGCCGCGTGGTGCTCACATCTACAACACTTTGGTTAACTTTATCAGGGAACAATACAGGTAAGTAATAAAATCATATTTAGCCATTATAGATTACTATGTTATACAGATAATAATAATATAATAGATATATATAGATAATAATAACAAACTAGGCAGAGCCTGTACTATGGTAACCAGACTGCTGATAAACATACTTATATATTACTAAATAAATACATACATATTATAGATAAAAACACCCAAACACAGAACAAATGACTGTGCTCATCACACAATTATTAGTCCTGGGTGAGAATGAAACCCACGACCTCTGGCGTAGCAGTGAGGGTACCAATGGACCAACAGGCCAGTTGATAACAGATAACAGAAGTGCTTAGGTCCAAGCACCTGATAAAAAATCCCTTAAAGCTGGAGTTCTTCATTATTATTACACAATGAAGTAGTATTTTTTGTTCCCTAAATAATGCCAATAATTTTCCCCTCAGGTTTCGAGGTTTTCAAGAAGTAGTAACGCCCAATATGTATAACTCGAAGTTATGGCAGACATCAGGCCACTGGGCTCACTATGCAGATAATATGTTTTCTTTCGACGTGGAGAAGGAAACCTTTGCAGTGAAGCCTATGAACTGTCCTGGACATTGGTATGTTTAACTCTAAAGAAGTATGATTTTTGAGAGTCAATTTTGACAGTCAAAATAAAAGCTGTCAAAACTTGTACAGCTTAAATCCCGGGGGTATCTATTCGGAATTTTCATCCGCTTTGATCCCCAAGAGGATTTATTTTGAAGTTTTTGTAAACACAAAGTCCACTAAGATCCCCTGCTTAAATCCCCTGGGGTATCTATTCGAAATTTTATCCGCAGCGATCTTATTACTATTAAGTGTGATCCCCTGGTGGATTTATACGGACACGACGTTTATTCTCAGCAGTATTATTATCCACCCGGTTCATTTAGTCCGACCAGTTAAAATTTAGGTTAAATTGAAGAGAATAGACATAAGTAGCTATCTCTATATAAAAATCAATTAACGAAGTATAGATATGTCCTCATCACTTTGTACTAGTTGCACGTGGTTTTATATAAAACATTTTACGAAATTACTTAAAAAGTATATCATAAAATGTTACAAATAAAATTCAATATTCGTTCGTACGTTCTATTGTTTATCATATAGACAACGGGTAATAAAAAAAATTATATGATCGAATCCGGAGAGGCGATTTCTAGTTTCGACACTTAAATACGTATTCACTAACAATAAATATTCCTACACAACTCAAAATTCTTTGAAAACTCCATTGAGCCATTTATTTAAAATATAATTTAAATTATGAGTATTTAGCAGATTGGTGTCAACAAAAACTTTCAAATTAATCCCCTTGAAGATCAAAATTCCAAACAGATCCCGAAGGGGAGAAAGATACAGAGAGATTCGTACACAAAAACAAGCGAAATAAGTATTAGAACGAAAAAGACTTAAAAGTTTGTAGTACAGCTCGGATCGTATGAGTGTATGAGACGTTCCCCGCAGTCTACTGTTCGACGTCCGCACTCGCTCGTGGCGCGAGCTGCCGCTGCGGCTGGCGGACTTCGGCGTGCTGCACCGCAACGAGCTGAGCGGCGCGCTCACCGGCCTCACGCGCGTGCGCCGCTTCCAGCAGGACGACGCGCACATCTTCTGCGCGCCGCACGACATCGAGGCCGAGATGGTACGCGCGCTTACCGAGATGCCCACACCCGATATGCCAACGCTAACTGCACCTGCCTGACACACTAAAACAAAAAAATTTAGGCATCGAAATTGTACAAATAACCAGTATAAAAGAACTCTGATAATCAGCGTGACAGAGTCGCAGAATTATTTGCCCATGATGACGCGTCTGATGACGCGCATTACATGTTACATATACTATCACATACCGTGACGATGCAGGCGTGGCAGGCAGACCACGCCAAAAAACGATCTGGCCCTCTGCTTTAGATGTTTTACATCAAAATAATAATAATAAATAGTAAATATAGAATCCATCTAATCTAACAGATCTATTTGTGTGCTAAAGATTGTGGATTCGATTCACGCCTGGGACATATGCGCGTTGTTAACCAACAAAATATATTATTTTTATATTTGTTATTATATAAATGTAGTATGTCGGTTATCGCGGTAAAAAATTACATATGTTACTACGCAGCTTTGCAGCAGACTGTGCAGCTTTCACATCACTTTCACATTAATAATATAAGTATGAATGAAAAAGGTCTGCGTAATTTAAAATCACATGACTGTCTCAAAATTGTCTCAAGTAATTATTACTATTTAACTCGATCGTATTGAGATTTATATGAATACCAAGGTTTGATTTTATGTTGGTAATGGTTTTCACTAATAATACCTAATTTTATACTATTCTTTAGGACGGATGCCTGCAGTTTTTGGACCACGTATATTCCACGTTCGGCTTCACATACCAACTGAAGCTATCTACGAGACCAGAGAAGTTCCTCGGTGATATCGCTAAATGGGATCAGGCCGAGAAGGTATGTTTCTATTTGTCCGTTATTGTCTGTTAAGGTTTATTTTATACATTTCAATAGAGTTTGACTATGGCAACCCAATTTGTCTATGTTCAAAAAGACTCCTTTCGATTTTATAATTTAAGATTTCCTCGATTATGTATTTATTTTTTATCCATTCCTAACCGTTCACGCTATTTGTGTATGGTCACAACTCCAGTCCCAATGATCGTAACGAGATGTTACATAACCTATAACTTTTCTCAATTAATACAGTATACAAAAAAATATTCAAATGTAATTGCTAGTTTTCGAGATTATTTAATAAAAACCTATTAAGTTTAATGAACTTAATGTAAATAAATTTAATAGTTTCGCCACGACTAATATATAATCTTAGACTTCTTTCAAAAGTATTACATAAACAGTATTTTAATATTACCTGACCTCTCCATCCCCGTGAGTAACAAAACCTAGCAATGCCCTAATAATAATAATAATAATAATTTTATGTTCAGACATATACAGTCCATAGGTTGTTTAGTAATGGATTAGAAACAGAAAGTACTTAACGTCTATATTAGTATTGTTAGTAACGGCACTTAATAGTAGAAAGGCATTCAACTATGCTTTCCTATTGCTATTGCCACCCAATCCTATGCTTTAAAATTATGGTGTAATTTAAAAAAACACATTCCTTTTTTTATTTTATTAAAAATAATACAGACTATTTGTGATCATTAAACTAACGCCAAGTAAAACGCACGATGATAGAAATTATCTGTTTGTATTTATCAAATTAATAAGAATTGAAGCATTCCACATTTTTCTCCTTCCTAAAAGGCCGGCAACGCATTTGTGACTCCTGAGTTGCAGACGTTCATGGGCGGCGATAGTCACTTTCCATCAAAAAAAAAGCAAAAAGCGTAGCATTTTATCGTTTTCTCTACCAATTAATTGTTACCTAAGTACATAAAAAAAGTTTCGAAATAGTCATTTCTTTATACCATAGAAGAATTCTTTATAACTAGCTACCATGACTATATGCCGATTGCCTCATTTTAGAAGTCCTGATGTATGACGAGGTTCAGATTGCCATCATTTACAGCTGTCTGGCCAGCGTGGTATAGTAGGCCAAAACCTCCTTTCTAAGGAGAGCATTATGTCCACCAGTGGACTAGTATAGGCTGTTGATGATGTGATGACGATATGGTATAAATTTAGATGACCTTTGTGGTCTAACGCTAAGAATTTAATGACACTTGCACCTTGCGACTTTGAAAGTCAAGTAGGGCTTTATTATGGTACAGTCACAAAACATGCATCGCAGCCCTCTTCGATATTATGATATTTATATATATATATTTCGATATTGAATATTGTGTAAAAGTTATTTTTTAAATTTTGCAGGCTTTAGAGGACTCCTTAAACAAGTTCGGACGTCCTTGGCAGTTGAACCCTGGGGACGGCGCGTTCTACGGCCCCAAGATCGACATCGCCATACAGGATGCGCTGCGTCGGTCCCATCAGTGCGCCACCATACAATTGGATTTCCAGCTGCCTGAGAGATTTAACCTTACTTATGTTAGGTAAGTGTGTGCACTGTAGTAGTGTGTTATTAGGTACATAGCAAAATCTGACACTTCAATGTGTGAAGATTTTCCAAAAATCCTGAATTATATGAGTATTCTTTGTTACCAGTGAAAGTGGTGATAAGAAACGTCCAGTGATAATTCATCGCGCGATCCTGGGCTCCGTGGAGCGAATGATTGCAATATTGAGCGAGTCGTACGCTGGCAAGTGGCCTTTCTGGCTCAGTCCGAGACAGGTCTGTGTTGTTCCTGTTGGACCCATGTTCGACGAATACGCTGTACAGGTAAATATGGAACTTCAAAATTCTACTGTTCGTAAGATTTGTATGAAATAAAAACAAAATACCAGCCTGCTGTGTTATACTGTGATTCTGTGATATTCTACCCTATTCTGTTTTTGTATACAGGTGAACGAGAAGTTATTTGCAGCAGGATTTATGTCTGAAGTAGATACAGACGCCGGAGACACACTCAACAAAAAAGTTAGAAATGCACAGCTTGCACAATTCAACTACATCTTAGGTAATACACTTTTTATTAGTATACTAGAGGTATAACTTATAAGTAGGAAACTAGTGAAAAATAGTGTAAGAACACTTTGACAAGGAAATTGTAATAACAACGTCATTTCAAAAATATTAAAAAAAACAAAGGCCTACCAGCCTACCTTGCGGCAGCCCTCACTTAAGGCTACTGATTTTGCTTGGTTTTTGTTTTTTTTTAACAACTTAAGAATAAATCATAGTTAACTTCTTAAATAGTATTGTCCGATAGCCCTTTAATACCAGTCACTTCATTTTTATAAGCAAAAGCAGCAATAAAATGGTGTTGAAAGCCTTTTAAAGAATTAAAAAAAAACTGCACATAGTGTAAAAATTATGATGGCATATTCAATTTTATTTTAATAAGATAGGATTGAACTTTATGCTCATTTTGCCGCCAAACATGACATTGACAAGTATACACCTAGGTAATAATATGTACTGAAGTAAATGTTAATTTTATTTATTTCCTTTTTGTTGTCAAGTGGTTGGCGAGCGTGAGCAGACGTCGGGCACCGTGAACGTGCGTACTCGCGACAACAAAGTGCACGGCGAGATGTCGGTGCAAGCTCTGATTGATCATCTCAACACTCTTGTTAAAGAAAAAACTCTCTCGGAAGACAGCGAGCTGCCCAAACAATAGTATTCTGTAACAGTGGGTCATGTACGAAGTTTCTTTATAAACCATTGGAGTCATCGGAAAGCCGTGAAAGTTGATATTTCGTGACCTATGAAGATGGCTATGTCCGTTTTTTTGTTTCCTCCTAGCCACTAAATTAATGAACCGCTTCAGATATATTATAAGTCATCAGATTCTTTTTAGTGATTCTTCAAGATAGCGAAGTTTGTTCCCAAAATTGTGGGTTTCACATATCAAGGGTTTTTAACAGGTATATTAGTATTTTTACTACAGCCAGGATATTTATTTTATTAAACGATTTTTTTATTTTAATATACTGTAGTTCCTAGGTCATCTGTATATATTTGTGCTATTATTGTGCAGTATTCGAAGATAATATACCTTTGTAGCTAAATAAATTTATGACATTTTAAATATGTGTAGTTTAAATGAAGTGGAATTAAATGCAAAATCTTTAGACATGTTTAGTCATAATGTTCCAAGATGCCAATACATTTCAAGTCAAACAAGTAATTGGAATTTGTTTGCAACAGTGGTGGTTAAAATTATGTTCAGTAGACTATTGTGCAGTATTAGGAGACAAAATATTATTTACAAAATATATTTTTGATCAAGTCAACTTCATATGCTTTAGACATATTTAGCCAGTTTTAGCCATTATGATCGTTGATTGACATACAATATTGGCAAACGATTTTAAACGTTACTGGAATATGATACAGACTATTATCATTTTAAGTCTTGTCTCATTTAAAATGAAGATTATTCCAATGGTTTTGATCATCTTGGTACGTGATTGCATCAAATATGAGTAAGAAAAAGAATCTTTGACCATTTCATTTATTTATTTAATAGATTCATAAGGAATCATACTGAGGTTTATATTAAGTTTTATGTATCATGCGATATAGGTACGCAAAAAAGTGTATTTTTTTTTTTGTTATACTACAATGTATTAATCAACGAAATAGAAAAGGCCTGAGTTTAGACCTACATTGCCTTTATATATATATTTGCCTTAGGCATAAAAGAAAAAAAATACATTTTGTGTGCTCAACCTCATTTGTAAAAAGGAGGTTATAATTAATAGCTCCTTGACAATCAAAACTTAAGTTTTTTAAATAAAGAATTCCTCTTAAGCGGTACAATACAGTACATGTAAGAACATGTTAAGACACAGGGTTAGGCATTTCCAGAAGGCCCTTATGGTTAAACCGCCGTAAGCTTGGCCCTCCTGATGGTTTGCGGGACGCGGGGCGGGTGATGCGCTCGGCTATACATGACACGATGTACTAACTCGATATCTTCAGATTTATTTGTTTGAGATTTAATCTACACACGGTGTAATAAAAATCGAATTTATTTCCATGTATTATAAAGTCAGTGTATTGTAAGTTTTTATGATCAATTGTAAAATTTAATACTGTAAAATAATTTTAATAAAATCACCTTCTCTTCATCATGTAAATTATATTCAGATACAATTTAAAAATTAAGTAAAATAATAAATATTCTTTATTAGAACTTTAACAGTAGAACCTCTGTAAGCCGAACTTCAAGTTTTTAAATCTTTTTGTGATGCAGAGTCGGCAGATTATCCATGTTGCAAAATAATACCGTGTGTAGCAGTCTTAAGAAAAATAACACGTACGGCCATGCTTTCACGTCAGTCACTGCCGGCGGACAGCGACGCACTAGCTAATTGGTTGAATGCACCCCCGCCCCGCGTCCCCCAAACCATCAGGAGGGTCAAGCTTACGGCGGTTTAACTATAGTTAAGTGATATTTTCATTTCTAAAATAATTTCTATAATTTTCGGTGTATTAGTAAATTATGAGTAGTAAATACTTTTTCGAATAAATGTCAAACAGAATTGCTGATGTTAAACAAACTATTTAATAATAAAATTGTACAAGACGATTGAGAAAATTGATCAATGGTATTATGAAACGTAAAAAAACGAGGGATAAATGATTAATGGAATGAACAAGTTGAAGATTCAAACCAATCATCATGCCTTTGGAAACTCGTTGAATTAAATATTGGGCAAAAAAATACTTGAATCTAACTCAGTTGAATCTAACTAACGATCTTGGTAGGCCGTCATATAAGTAATGCTCATGACATAGTGTGAAGAATACTTAGAGGCCCAGGTGTGGAATACACTACTCGATCGTCATGGTGACCGCGTTCGGCGCTGCGATTGGCCCGCACCGAAATTTGCACCAATCGATGCGCTGAACGCGATCGCTGTCGAAGGCGAGTTAATGTGAAATAAACTCGGCCCTCTGTTTTCTCACAAATTGGTAGTTATTATACGACCTTCAAACCTTCAAGAAAAGATCGTACTCCTTCCTAAAAGGCCGGCAACGCGTTTGTGACTCCTGAGTTGCAGACGTTCATGGGCGGCGATAGTCACTTACCATCAGGTGACCCGTCTGCTCGTCTGTCCCCTCTAACATAAAAATAAAAGTTACACGAGTTTTTTAATGCGGGGTCATAACTTTTTGCATTTGAAATTAGAACGTTTATAAAATCCATTTTTAAGTTCCCTTGCAACAAGGACTGATGCGTTGATTTTCTGAATATGCATTTAATGTGGTATTTTTTAAACAAAAATTGATTTTAAAATAAACTGTTTGGCGCTTACTGTTTGTTTTTATTTCTGTCAAACTACTTCATGTTATATTGAATTTTGAAAACTGTAACTTAAAGCGACAATAATGTGCGACAAAATTACTTAAAAATAATATCGCTTCTTCGAATCCTTAATTAAAAGAGGTAACATCTCTCCTAGTAGAAACTAGGGATGGAATAAAATCACAATCACCTGTGATAAATCATATGATTTATCATAATATAAAATTTTCGTGTCACAATGTTCGTTCCCGTACTCCTCCGAAACGGCTTGACCGATTCTCATGAAATTTTGTGCGCACACCCGATGTGCGCACAAAATTTCATGAGAATCTGACTCTGGTCTGAGAATCGGCCAACATCTATTTTTCATACCCCTAAATGGTAAGGGTGACCCATCCCTAATTTTTTTTTGTTTTGCAATACAACTTTTGCCGGGTCAGCTAGTGTATCATATAATCACAAATGTGTCTAATTTACGAAACCACTACGACTTATTATTATTACTAAAAAAGTCGTAATCTTTGATAAAAAGAATTTTGATTGATTTTGATGGCATTCATCTTTGTCTATCTATGACCAAATCTCAGTGACTAATACCAATCTTTTCATCATATGATTATGATTTAAAAGTAGAAATTATTTCCATACGTAGAAAAAACTAGACGATTTGAATATTGTTTATAATCTTAAAATATGATTTAAGAACGGTACAAAGAAAATTGTAATATTTTAATTTCAATAATCGACTAGAAAGGTCAGAGGATCGTCGCGCTGTTTGATGCTCATCTATATCAGTTCCATCCAGTTCATCAGTTCCTTCATAAAATTAAAAACATATTTTAAATAGTATTTTTTATTGTACAATAAAAAATCATCACAATTCTAATATCAAATATACAGATCGTCTAAATGTAATAGGGGGAAGTCCCCTAGTGCCGGACACATAAGGTTTTCAGGAAATAAAATTAAAACTATATCGAGAAATATGTATTTATTTATGAATTACTTAAATTAACAAAACATAAAATCAAAATCAAATAACAAAAATACAAATTCTGCGTAAACATAGTTTAGGAGTGTTAAATAAGTTTTGGTAAAAAAATAAAGGACTTTGACATTGGCACCTAGTACCAGACGGGTTAATCTTCAAACCCCAAGCGCCGGACATTCTAAAACTTTTAGCATCTATCACATATGTAGGCATCTCCACATTCTGGAACGTCTGCACATGCTTTATGAGCCCATTATTGGCATCTGGAGCATTGTATCCAGTCCTCGTCGTGGTCTTCTAAACACACTACACAAGTCGTTTTTTCTATATGATACTTCAGTTAACGGCTCCTTTTTGTTGTCGTTATTGCCACGTTTGGTTTGTTTACTCATGGGGAATCTTCATAGCTTCAGCCAAGTCGTAAGCTAACTTCAAAAACTCGTTTTTCATCAGGGGCAGACATCTATTAGACAAATCTCTTATGTGGTCCACTAAAACTTGCTCATACTCGGGTGAGAAGGTTTTTGTGAATCTACCAACTTTTGGTTGCAACGTGACTTCTTTTCCACTGCTCAATGTCGTTATTTTATCATGTAGAGTACTTTTTGGAACATTGTAACGTGACGAAGCTGCCCTCAAACTCATTTTTTTGGACAGAATCTTGTTCATCGCAGTTTTTAAACTTTGCTGATCCCATTTTCCTTTTTTTTTCTCTCTTGCATTTTCAAATATCTCTCTCCTTCTATCCTGTAAAACAACAAACAATCATCATTACAATAAGTACAAATGCTTCATAAAAAAGCTAACCTATAAACTGTCCGGTGGTAAGGGACACCTTTGTGTCCGAAAGTAGGGGACAGGAAACGTCCAAAATTACGTATTTCATACTAAAACTGTTTAGGTATTTAATAAAAACTTTCACAATTTAATAATTATAGTGAAACACTGTCTTTATTAACAAATAACAAAAACAATTAAGGATAAAAACATAGCAGTAATACTTACTTGAAATTTACGTGACGCAACGCTTTCCCACCAAAAACAGCAATTCACGGCTTCCACCACGACTGTGCGCCTCACTGGCAAATCGCGTTGCGTGATCCTGTCTCGCTACGTTCCCCCGCACCCCTTTCACCGATTTATAAATAGATCGCGTTGACGTTTGTCAAAATAGTATGAGTGTCCGGCGCTAGGTGCCGTCCGGCGCTACGGGACTTCCCCCTACGTGTTTACCTATAGCAGTTGCCTTATAAGAAGAATAAATAATATAAATTAAATAGCTCCATTTATTGTTAAGCCTCTCTCATTCTGCAATACAAGCAAACTTTGGCAAGTTTTAACATTTTTGCGACTTAGTCTCAAAAGTTTTGAAACAGGGTTATGGTATTATCCAAAAGTGTGGTCAAATGTTAGGCGCGTTTCGGTCAGAAATAAATATTAGTTTTAGCAAAAAATATTTGTGAAATTTAAATAAAAATATTCATTTGCAGAAAATGAGGTCACAATAGGTTAAAAGCACAAGACACATTTCGCAACATTTATATAGCATGCAATTTTTTTTAAATTATAATATTAAATTATGAAAAAATAAACATTAAATTGATGACTAATTTGCTATTAAATTAAATTCCAATTGAAATATTAAAAATCATATTAAAAACATTTACTACGTACTTAAGTCAATTTAAATGATTTTGTATTTTATTATACTGTCATTTTTACAAATATTTAAACATTCCGTCAATATGATTGGTGTTAAATACCAGTAGTTTCTTTTATGTCAGCCCTCTGTCTCTCTTCGGAGGTCGTTCTGCGACCTCCGGCGCCTCAGTCGCCTGCGGTACCTGGCCCGTTGGCGGGCCGGGAGAGTCCTAAACCTCTCCCGGTCCCGCTCCGCCGTCTCCTTCGCGAGCATAACTTGCTCGCAGAAGGAGACGGCAGGGTTCCACGCACTCTTGCTCCGCACGATAGCCGCAATCAGGCTATCGAGCGAGAGAACTCCCACTCCGATGGCTGCCACGAGGTCTCGCCTCTGCTCAACCCACGCCGGGCACTCTGCCAGCGTGTGGAGAGCCGTGTCCACGGTCTGGCCATCGCAGTGGTGGCACTCAGGCGTTGGCTTCTTGCGGATCAGACACAGGTGATCCCCGAAACATCCTTTCCCAGTGATCACCTGCGTCAGGCGAAATAGGGTCTTTATGCATCGTCTGAAAATAGCTTATTGGCAACAACGCGTGAGTAAGTATAACCCGGCAATCTCGTGCTCGACCGTCCCTCGGGATGACAGACAGTGGCGGGGGCGAGGTAACGCGTCATTCTAGCACACGGCTACACACGATTCCCTTCCCCGCTACACCAGCCGCTACCCGCTGACATCTTGAGTACCTCGTCCCCGCCACCGTCTGTCACCCCGCAGGACAGTCGCGCACGACGTTGACGGACTATAGTAACCCTAACCAACGTACGAAAAAATCGAATGATTAATCACCGGTCTTTCACAGTTCACTGTGATTTTGTCCCATGTCTAATACCTATTATGGTTGTGAACAAACAAGCTTATAGCTGCTTACAATCCCCTGCACTGTATTTAAAAAAATAAAAACTAACTACTTATGTATTTCATAAAAATATTTACTTTGTTTAATTAAAGTTGTGAAAAGGTTCTTTGTCCAACTAAATGTCATTAACTTTACAATGATGCGGCTAGTGGATGGGCTGGGTGCCCTTAATTTTGTCACTATAGTCCATTCGCATTAAAAAAAGAGTGGCTGAACAAACGTAAAGGTGTATTCACGGTAAAGTAAAAATTTAAATAATTTACATTTGAACAATTTATATTTCTATGGATTTAAGTTTATCTACCTGATCATAAATGTTTTAGTCACTATTTTCTTAACACGAATGGACTATAGCGCAATGATCACCACCTCCTACCAGCCGGCCTGAACTTCACTTCTTGAAATACATACATGAGTAAAACCACAAAAGTTTCTATTCTAATTTTAACGTAGGTAAGTTAAAGCTGGCTTCTTGTAACGGCACTGTTGAAATAATCTCATTGTGTTTCTATGCTACTATTAGGCGTTATTTCAAGGTTAATCCGAACCTCATTTGCGTAGAATAAGCAAAAAAATACACTTAAATAAATAATGTCTGCGTACAAAAATATACAATACAGTGTATGTATTGTGATGTTAAATATTAACGCGGTGTAGGTATTTTTATTTGAAACTGTAAATTAATTAAACCTGTATTCCCACATCCAAATTATACACAAGCCACCATTGTTTTAAAACAACTATATCGTTAAGTGTGCATAATTACATAATAATATTATAAAAAATAACTATTATATATCGCTTGGTATACAAAGGTCGTAAGTAGTGTATTAATACTGTGTACTGTACGTCTCTTTGCCGCTCAGTAACGGAGCGTAGTCGACGGATTGTGAGCAATCCACTGCCTCTTCTGTTGTAGCCGCTGTCTGATCCTGTGAGCATTTGAAGTTACCACATAGCGAGTCAATCTGTAAAAGAGATGATATTATTAATACTTTTGTACAATAATAATTTCTGATACCGACAGCCTGTGCCATGGAAACCAGACTGCCGATAAAAATACTTATATATTTCTAAATACATACATATTATAGATAAATTACACCTAGACACTACATATGATAGTGCTCATCACACAAATATTTGTCTTGGGTTGGGTAACCTCCGTCTAAATTCGGAGACCTAGACCAACAGGGCCGTTAAAATCTATAACTTATGTATAGTTCGGATGACAAAACTGTTATTTGGCATCTCGGAGCAATCTCACGATGAGCCAGGAGGTGATTTGTACAGCACCTCTGTTGCTACATTTTTAAATACCCACCGTGTATAACAAGATGGGTGCGGCGATGGCGGCCCCTGCGAGCACGTCCCACCAGTGGTGGCGATGGTCCGTCATACGCGACACGCTGCACAGCGCCGCTGTGGCCACACACGCCAGCTGCAGCGACAGGACGCCCTTGGACCGCGGCGAACTTGTTCTACGGTACAGGTAGTACTGACAAAATACACATACAGATTAGAAACATTTTTACGGGTAGCTGCAAATTAATTCTTATTACATACTAGTTTTTGCCCGCTTCTCCACTCGCGTGTACCCACGGGCGGAGCCGCGGGCAAACCCAGTTTATGATTAGAGAATTCTATAATAATGCAGAGATACATCGCTTTAATGTATCTCTTATGGTTTACGCAGCGTAAGCGAGTAAAGCTACCAGTAGGCAAGATTTTTGCGACCTCTTCAACAATAATCGTTATATTTCAGTCAATTTACATAAAATTTTAATGAATTATACACCTAAACCTTCCCCAGGAGTCACACTATCTATTGGTGAAAACCGTACAAAAATCCGTTCCGTCCGGTGGTTTTTGAGTTCATCGCGTTCATACAGACAGACAGGCGCGGCTGGGGGATTTCATTTTATAATATGTAAGGACATAAACTCGTGCGTATATCGCGCCTGAAGGGATAAGCAGAGCAGACTATAAATTTAATCCAACTTACGTAAGCAAACAAGCCATCAACCGGGCAATTCAGGAATAAGATAGGAAAATTGAGAGTTCAGTTCAGTATTAAAATAACATTTTCGGACATCTGACACACAACGGCATCTAGTTTCTATGTGAACTGTCTACTATGAAAGCTAGATTGACTGATAGAATACTTGTACACTTTTTTGTAAATACATACATATTATACATAGAAAACACCCAAACTCCGATCAAATATTTGCAGATCATACAAACATTTGGTCCGACCCCGGGACCGAACCCGTGACCTCAGCACAGCAGTTGCATTGGGGAATTTAAGAAATAGCTCCAGGGAATTCTTCGAAAATAATTTCTGATGTAGAGATGCAATACTAGAGGTGCAAGGAAGTGTTTAACTAAAGTTTGGTCTCTTTTCGGAAGCATACATAAATGGCACCCAGATAGAATAAACTATCCCAAACCCAAAACTCTTGACTCAGCAGTGAGGATCACGAACCAATAGATCCATCAAAATTTTAGAAACAAGTTTTTCCTTACTTTTTATGCTATACCATACGTTTTGCAAATAAAGATTACTCTTACAGCTAAAAATATTCCAGTGTGTACTGCAAGCGACGTGTGGCCGGATGGAAAGCTCCTGTCTGACTGACTCAACCAATGGGCCTTCGAGCATGTGTAGCTTGGAACGTATTCTGACCTACAGAAAAAGGAAAACGCAAATTGTGTAAGATGTACAAGATAGAGTAAAATATAATTTTACTTAGTAATTAGTGTAACGGATCTCTTATACCGTATTTATTATTATACAACTAATGTAGGTTTTACAAGCAGTTTTTATCGTGGGAGAGCCTTCTGCACATATGGGCCGGCTCGACGGCAGTGATACAACAGCCTCACAGAAACTCGGTGTTTATCAAAATTTTCATTGGTTTTGACCGAGTGACTGAGGATGTCGGAAGCCCAACCTGCCCGCCCCTTAATTCTGACTGGGAAGGCACTTCAAGGGGACAATACAATTGTGACTCTTGAGTCACAGACGGACGGCAGTAGTCGCTTACCATCAGGGGACCGATAGCTTGTTTACCCTTTATATCAAAAAAAAACCCGTTCCACTCTGGGAGTGCCGACAGAACTAAAAGGTGTCGGTAACGGTAACAGTGTGGCGAGTTCAATCGCGAGTTTTTTTTCATCCCAAAAAATGTGATTTTTGTTACATAAAATACATTACTTTGTTTGTTTAAATATGCCCAACGCGCCTAAAGAAGTTTTCACTGCAAAAACGTTAAACAAGTTACCTACGTAACCAGTTACGGGGCAACTGAAAAAACGTGTGTGAGGTGTATATTTTGTGTTCTAAACTGTTAATAGAGCAGAACATGTTTTGCACTTATTAGTGTACACCAGCTCGGTCATAAAACGTTAATTGATATAGTTTGCCGCAAGGTTCCTCCTTTAAATACGAGTACACCTGCGGATCTCCAGCTCCTTGGGGACGTAGGAGTATGTAGTATTGCCAATAAACCACCCCGACGGCTAGCCTCAGGGACTCTTCTCTGTGGAGGACTAAGTGATTTTAGGACTTCCCCGAATAGGCACCGCGCCTGACCAGGCCCTATATGACATTAAATATCTAAGAAGCTTTTATTTTAATAACTAAATACTACTTTTTAAAAAGTAGTATTGTGGTAAGCAGTGCCGTATTAAGCCAGCGCGGGGCCTGTAGCCAATACTATCAAGGATTGTTTTAGGTTATCAAATATATATATATATATATAAATATATATTAAAACTGTTACAAACAAACTTTTATTGATTTAATTTGGGCAAATTTATAATTAATATTACTGTCCGTGTGGTGACGGATTAAGAATACGGAATGTCACCACCCCTATTCATCCCGTGGGTGTCGTAAGAGCCGACTAAGGGAACAAACTGCACAGGACAACAGCACTGTGAAAAGAAGAAGAAACAAACCCTATACCAACCCGTTTGGCCAGCGTGGCATAGTAGGCCAAAACCTCTTTTCTAAAGAGAGGCCTATGTCCAGCAGTGGACTAGTATAGGCTGTTGATGATGAGACTGCGCTACTTTTAGACTACCTCGAATACAGCGTGAAATCGAAGTTGCCGTCCAAGTTTTTTTTTAGGCACTAGACATTATTTAATGACTCCATTTTTGCAAAAAAAAAATGGTAGGTCAAATTTGCAACACAAAATATTTCATCCCGAAGAAAATATTTAGAAGCGTGATTCAAACATTCAAAACGTAAATAGTGAGAAAGAATGCATCGGGGGACGCGGTGTGATGGGGTGAGGAGGGTGCAAAAACCGGAGGACGGCCGGTACAAATCCAACAATTAAATAATTAATAGGGCAGTAGGCCGCGTCTTGTCGCATCGGTGCATCCTCCGGTCGGTTCTTCCGTGACGTCACCAGTGCAAACAATGTTTTCTTTCTAATCGCGAGTATTACGAAATGGTGCATTGTTACATTCATAGTGGTGAAAGCCTAAATGGACACGGTACATGCACAACGCTTGCACGAGTCGGAAAGTATGCCACGACTCCGAAGACAAGGTATACTAAATCCATCGGTGCCTAACAGCCAAACGATTTTATCCGCAAATCAGAAGCTGTTAGACTATGGACAGTTTATAACCCCGTCACACGCAAGGAGTACTGCAAGGTCAAAACTGGCAATAGAGGTCGAGAAAAAATCCGACTTCTTTGAACGGAATCCTCGAGCAAGTACACGGGCCCGCAGCGCAACGCTTCCGCGTAAGCCAATACGCATACAATAGTATGGATATGCGTCATGCACGCTTACAGGTTATCAAAAAGTCCAAGACTTAGAAGAAACAGAGGCCTTACCTCGTCGACAGTTCTGCGAGTGGCTTATCGCACACCCCGGTGCTAATATTTTTTGAACAGACGAGGCCTTGTTTACTCGTGTGGGTTTGTACAACCAACTTAAGGAATATTGGTGGTCATATCACAACCCATGCGTCGTTAGACAATATCTAAACTACATTTTGAATATAGATATCTAGAAGACTACATTTTGAACATTAATTAAAATAGATGTAAAACAGTAGTGGTAAGTGAACCTCTAATTCCTTTTTTATTTATTATTATTTTACTAAAGATTGATGTATTTTTTACTTATTTCAAACTTGCCCTTTAATTAAGTGGAGTTTTAGAAGTTGGATGTTATGTTAGGTACTTTATTAAATGTAGCGAAGTATGCGATACCGATGGAGAGTTCATTGACCCTTGCGCGCGAGTTCTTGAGATAACTTTGTGATGCTAATTACTGAATATTTTTGTACCATGTGATACTAAACTAAAAAGCCGGTTCCTCATAAAGTTTACTAAAGATTCTTCTGTGTTAATATTTACGTCAAATTTAAAGTCACCCTTGTCCATCCGAACGTGTGGTGTGGCTCCATCTCAGCATTCGCATTTTGGCTATCAGGCGTCTCTCATCTGTTCTCCTAATGGGCCACCTTCGGAACAACACAAGACGGCTCGTTTGATGATAGTCCTATATATGCGTCCTTATAGTTTTAAGTGGAACTGGGGTCAAAATTCGTTCCCGTTAGCTGCCACCACTTAATCCATCCCGTATTGATTCGATGTTGTACAGTTCGATAGATTTTGCCATCACATTGTAAGTGGGAGCAGAGGTACTTGAAATTGGAGTAGATTGTTATCGCCATCCCATCCAACGAAATGGTGTCAGGACTAGGGAGACCGCCGAAATCGCAGAACATGTACTTTGTTTTAGATTTCTATTCACAATATGGTCATTATTTCCGTTTCCACTCATTTATTTACACAGCTTTGAAACTAGTCTGTAAGCTTGATAACGGCACTCTTCCTTTTTATTTATTTATTTATTTATCAACTTTATGCACATAAGTACAATGGCGGACTTAATGCCATAGGCATTCTCTACCAGTCTACCTTAGGGTGGTGTGGAAATGAGTGTGGAGGTGCACTACCCTTTGGTTGAGAATTATAAAGTGGACATAATAGAAGTAATGATAGCAATACTGAGCAAAAAGCAATGAAATAATATATAAATACCAACGTATACATACAAGAATACATACATTCATATTCATATATATTGTGTTATATATATACACATACATATATACCATAATATATAAAGTATCATATTTGTGATGATTCCGCTACATTCCGGTCAAGGAGAGCCCGCACCTTCGCCCTAAACGAATTACGACTGGTGGCCATTAGATTAGATATCCTGGGCAAGAGCATTCCATAGAAGTACAGATTGAGTGAGGAAGGAAGAATGAACACACGCAGAAGTGTGGGCAGGGCATAAGAGTAGAAGATTATTTGTAGAGCGAAGGGTTCTGTTATGATTGGAGCACAAGAACTGGAAGGAGGATGTCAAGTATGTACGCGAGTTAGGAGAGTTGAGAATAGTGTAGAGAGCCGTTAGTGCCCGCAGGTGACGACGCTGACGAATTGGGAGCCAATTTATTTTAAGACGAAAGGAGGAAATATGATCATATTTACGAAGATTAAAAATGAATCGAATGCAGTTATTAAGAAGACGGTCGTATTTGTTGAGGAGATCTGCATTCAGGTCGTAGTAGCACACATCACCATGATCTATAATGGGAAAAATTAAAGTTTGTACCAACATCGCTTTAATCTCGGAAGGTAAAAAATTCTTTAGTCGGTATAACACCCGCAGGGTTCCTGTAACTTTCTGGCTGACATTAGTAACCTGGGTTTGCCAATTGAGGTTGCAATCAATGAACAGTCCCAAATCCTTCACAGTAGAACTTAGGGGAACGATTGACCCGTTAAATACTAGGGATGGTAGTTTTTCTTGATCTAGCCTTCTGGTCATACGTGGACTGCCTAATATGATAGTCTGGCACTTTGTGGGGTTCACAGTCAAACCGAACCTATAGGACCAACCGCTAATAGTCTCCAAGTCGCCGTTTATCATGGCAATAGCCTCCGTTATATTATCTACAGCAGCATTATAGTAAAGTTGCAAGTCATCAGCATAAAGATGGTACGCACATTGAAGATTCTGAGTGATGAGATTGATCAAAATAGAAAATAATAGTGGAGAGAGAATGCCGCCTCTGGGGACACCAGAGTCAAGATCACACCATATGGAGGTGGATTCGTCGACACGGACGGTTTGCTGGCGCCCTCGAAGATATGAAGAGAACCATTCCAGTACATCAGATGACATCATATGATAGGAAAGGATAGATAGAAGGACATCGTGACTAACGGTGTTAAAAGCATTTGAGAAATCAATCAAAGCCAACACGGTAACTTTGGAGTCCTCAATTCCTGCCCGAATGTCGTCGGTCACTTTCAGGAGTGCAGAAGTTGTGCTATGGCCAGGCCTAAAGCCCGATTGAAAAGGGCTTAGTAAATTATTCCGATAGATAAATTGTGATAACTGTTGATGTACACACGTCTCGAGCACTTTGGATAAGAAGGGAAGTATGGAAATTGGGCGTAAGTGATTTATAAGGGTAGGGTTAGAGACCTTAGGGAGGGATATTACAAAAGCACTGCACCACAGTGAAGGGAAAGTCCCTGAATCGAGTGAATAATTCACTATATGCGTAAGCGCGGGAAGGAGATGTTCGAGGATAGGTGTGATCATACGACGGTTTATGTTGTCACTTCCCATGGCGTTGGACTTAATGGAGAGGATTATCTTTTTTATGTCACCTGATGCAACTGGAGAAAATTGAAAGGAATTAATATTTGGGCGAGGAAGGTCAGCCAGGTACTTTAAGGTTGCCGTCTCCTTCTGCGAGCAAGTTATGCTCGCGAAGGAGACGGCGGAGCGGGACCGGGAGAGGTTTAGAACTCTCCCGGCCCGCCAGGCCCGGGCACGGGCCAGGCAGCGCAGGCGACTCAGGCGCCGGAGGTCGCAGAACGACCTCCGTCCTCCATAAGCGCAGGCCTGGGGGTGACAGGTGAGGCCATCTGTCACCCTAGCAGAAGCAGGCCGGGGTGGCGGCGAGCGCGTTGCGAAGCGCGCTCGCTTCCAGGGAGCACAGGGAACATGGGGTTCCCACACGGGGCGGGGGTCGTGTACTCGCCTGTAGATGACCCGAGGTATGTCGGGGCACCAGGGCCTTCCTTTCTAGGGTATACCTGGTTCCCCGGCTATTAGTACCCGGCGAAGGCGTGCGGTTTTAGTCGGTTCGAGTCCGACATGCCACCGACAGGTGGTATCCGAGGGGATTTCCGCACGGAAAAAAAAAAAAAAAAAAAAAAGGTACTTTAAGGTGAGACACTTTGTTTGGTGTTGGAGTGGTGAAATGTCGGTTAATGTCATCCAAATCAAAGGTCGTTGAAGAGATACTTTTCCCGGATTTACCGATGCCCAAGGTACCGAGGAATCGCCAGATTTGGGAAGGCGAGGAATAATTAAGGTTTTGAATAATATGGCAGCGTTTAGCATTGCGCACCACCTGATTACACGGACATCCACTGACATCCAGGGAGCAGGAGAGCGTTTAATTTTAATTTTCTCTTCTCACTCTTCCTTTTGATCCACGTTATTTGAAATGTCTTCCATTTTTTTTTATAGTAGTGAAGCCATATAAAGGCGCCTTCGTAGTATCAGCTCGAGTTGATGAACACCCAAAAATTGCGAAATATTTAATTCCGAATTTAAACATTCCGATTTTCAAAAATCCGAATATTACAATTTCGACTATTCAAAAACGTGTCGTGTTTTTCTTTCCCGAAAGTCATAAATACGTATTTTCAATTTTACGACCTTAATTTGTTGGTACGAATAAAAAAAAACCGTACTGTTGTTGGACCGCAAAACGATACTCCGATTGCCAACTTTCCGAAAATTCATTGTTAAAGTTTGACGTCCGAATGGCGTAGTGGTTTGTGTAACGGACTGCTATTCCAAAGGTCGCGGGTTCGATTCCCGCTCACATTTGTGTGTATGAACATATAATGTTTGATTTGGTCTGGGTGTTTCTATGTATAATAAGTATGTATTTACAAAAAAAAAGTATATATGTATTTATATCAGTTATCTAGTACCCATAGTACAAGCTCTGCTTAGTTTGGGACTAGATGGCGTTGTGTGAATGTGGTAGAATATTATTATTATTAAAATTAAGAATTTATATCAAAAATAGGTAAACATTTAAATTGATTTTTCATATCATGCACGAAAAGTTTCATACGTATTAATGATTATTAAATTATATAATTATTCAATTCGTCGAATATAAAAATTAAGCTGAAACCCGACTCGCCGTGATAGTACTACCGTGGTACTTGTCTGCCTTTTACTAGAGTGCAATTTAATAGCCAGAGGCGGAGGGAGAGTAGTCTCGCTTGCACGCTGTGTATACATGCATGCTTACCTGCCTGCTTGCTTGCTCTTGGTTAAGGTAGTGGGTATTTTGTAAACGGTAGGTTGTTAGGTTCAAAATTTCAATAATAACTCGGATGTTTAATAGTCGTAATTCGTATTTACGATATTTCGGATTGTTATTGATTCGAATTTTTAATAATTCGGCATTTTGGAATACGGCATTCAGACAATTGTAATCATGAATTATGAAATTTAGGTTTTTATTAGGTGCTAGGATCTATGATAAATCGTATAACTGATTTTCGGTATTTCGAATTATTCGGCATTATAAAAACCGGAATTTTGAAATTCGTGATTATTATCGCAGTTAAGTTTATCGTATTTATGTAGTATTTTTTTAAATAAGTAGATACATTGGTGCGCGGCGCCCGTAGCATTTGCTACTCTTTCTACGTGGCTTATCTGCCGCTGGTTGTAAGCCCAAGTTGAGATTCATATTTTGTGATAGAATTTAGTGAGACGATAACGAATTGAGTCATTTTTGGCGACTCAAGTGATATCTGATAAAATTTATCACAAATGCGATAATTATGTCATAGCTTAAAATTTGTTCTAATGAATACATTTATCACTCATAAGACGTGGAGAATGCTTATCTGTTTCAACTGTTTCTTCCGTACATTATGTATGTAACACATTGTTGAGATGGATAAAACAGAAATAGTTCATCCAAGAACTTTATCAATTCATATTACCTATGGGGTCTACCAATAAGAACGTCCTGGTTTAAAAATTAAATAAAACACACAATTTTTTATGAAAAATGCATCCCATTGATTTTTTTGATAGATAATTTTATGCCATTTATGTTTTAAATAATATATCGGCTATATGACCGCCGCGGCTCTTTGCAGACGGTCACCCGCTCACGCCAATTTTCGATGACGCGGTGCACCATTTCGGCCGGTATGTCGGCTATGGCTCGTCGAATGCTGGTTTTTAGGTCACGAATTGTAGCTAGATTATTGCTGTACACTTTAGATTAAACGTAACCGCAAAGAAAATAGTTTAAAGGTCACACGATCTTGGTGGCCAACTGATCGGTCCATTTCTCGAAATTAACGACTCATCAAACTTTCCACGCAATAATTCCATGTTCAATCGAGTAATGTGAGGTGGTGCACCGTCTTGTTAAAAATAAAGGTTGTCTGCATCAATATCATCAAATTCCGGAAAGAAATATTCGGTTAACATCGAGTTATAGCGCTCGCCATTCAGAGTAACAGGGTTTCCTTCGTCACTTTCAAAGAAGTTTTGGACAATTTCCAAGCGTTGGTTTAAAGTGAAACGTGACATGATAAAATGGCAAACCTTACTGAACACAAATGTCAAGAGACGTCAAAGATCCATCATCAAACATGGCCACTATGAGCTGTTAAAACCAGGTCATCCCTATTGGTAGACCCGTTACGTAATATGTTTAGTATTAGAAAGTATTATACCATAAGTAGGAAAAGTCTACCATAACGTAGGTTAATCGTGGGAGAGGCCTGCTTCGGAACAAATGGGCAGGCTCGACCCGAGTGATTTCATGGGCTCGCAGAAAAGTTCAGAAAACCACCAATAATAATAATTTTACACACGGCCGTCTGATGCCAAACTAGGCAGAGCCTGCACTATGCTAACCAGTCTGCTGATAAATATGTAACTTATACATTTCTAAATACATACCAGTACATATTATAGATAAACTACAACCAGAAACAAAACAAATGACCATGCTGATTACACAATTATTTGTTCTGGGTGGGAATCTAACCGACGACCTCTTGTGTAGCAGTCAGGGCTACTAACCACTAGACCAACAGGCCAGTCGACCAGCCACTGTTAAGTAATTCTTCCGTTGCCCCTTCTTCCTCTAACCTAATTCTGTAGGAGCTAGCACTAAGAGGGTGGCAGCGCATTTGTGTCTCTTCAGTTTTAGGTGACCATGAGAGGCGGTAGTCACTTACCATCAGGTGACTGGTATGCTCGTTACTCCCTCTTTTATAAAAAAGAAGAAACTCGAACCATTATCGTAACAGTTTCAATCAACAGAAAACAGGTATATCGGAGGTGGTTTTTAAGGCCTAAATTTAGTGTCTAAACCGACATGGCGTTTGGCTTCTAAGACCTAAAATATTAGTAGGTAATGCAGAAAACCAGATACAGGACAATGGAGATCTCTTACTCTGATCTAATCTAGAAGTAGTTATATCTTGGACCTTAGTTCTCTTAATGTAATCTAAAAATATTTCTAGATATAATAATATTTAAACTTACCCTTGACACGTTTTAGCCTCCTTTGGGTCGCAAGTATCAAAGAAGTGGGGTCTAGGTGACCCCACTATCGTCTTCAGCAGCTGCACAATTGTAAGATTGATCAGCAATCCGAACAAATACTCCTTATACCAGCATAGCGCTTGCTCTTTGGATTTTACTATCTTGTCACTATGGTACTTACGTTCTACTATTAACATCTGCAAAACAAAACTACAATTAAAATCTTTACAGTTTTATATTTACTGAAAGAACTGGATAAATATTCTAATTGGCCTGCGCGAAAGGTTTTTAAGTAAATATCTTTAAGGGAGTTGCATACCCATATACTTATCAGAGTAAGAACCTTCATAACGCGACTTAGAATCAATAGTTGCTAAGTAGTTCGGCTAGTCTTCACTAGATGGTGCTAAAGTAAGTATTGATTGTATGAAGATGTCGGATATACTAATGTTGTAGTAACACATAAATATTTGAATAATACCGAGCTCTGATATTTACGAGCTATAAATTGTGTCTCTTTGGTTCTGCTAAATACAATCAAAGCAATAATAATCACTTAGGTATCCTAGAATAGGATCAGAGTGGCCAAATATGTATAAATATTATTTTCCTTCCTTGAGGGTGACGGCTGCTTTACTTATATACCCCACAATCCACGATCACAACAATTAGGGTCCCTAGGTAACTCGCATGATGTCGTTAACACTGTCCCTTTTAATATAAAGTGCTGGAACTTAGTGTTTAATCTATAGATACTTACAACTATAAGAGGTAGTACGATGTTTGTCAACAATAACAGTTTCCAACTAATCGTGTCTCCAGTGTAGGGGTACGATAACGCTGGATCCTTACACGTAAAACCGAGCTGTCCAGCAGGCAATAGTCGTAGTTCTATCACAAGAAAGAGCAGAAGACCTAGAAAGAAAGAAGTGCAGCATATTAAGTTCAAAATATTTGCTAATATTTAAAATGTTTGCATTAAAGTGGGTGGGATACAAAACTGCAACTTATTTAATCACGAGTAACCTGGATAATTACTTTTTAAAGGTATTCTGTATCCATGTATTTACGACTTGGTATTTAATCTGGTAAGCGAAAAGTAAGATTTACTTGGGTTTTCCTATCTTTTGAAATTAGCATAATGGACCTCGCAATGCTTTCTGAGCTGCTTTATCTAAGTTTATTATTATAAATGCGAGTGAGAACTGTATTACTGTATACGCAATGGGAATCGCGATCTTGATGATAATGGTTTAACGGTAACAAACCAAAAAAGAGTAAATTTTTGTAGTAAAAATAATATATATTTATTGACTTCAAGAGTTTTTTTAAATCTTCATTCGTAGTCCTTTTGAAACAATTATAAACAGATTTTATTGATTACTAGTTGGTTCCCGCGACTTCGTTCGCGTGGAATTTAAAAAGCGCTGCCTTAGTGGGTTCGATTCCCGGACCGGGCAAAATTTTATAGGGTTTTTCTGAGGGGAAAAATAGCTTAAGTTACTCCTTATAAAGACACCTGGTAGTAAAATATTATCAATATAGGTCGTTTTGAAGATTACCCGGTTTGTTACAAACCGACAGACACAAAAAATATATAAACGGGTTTTTATACATAGGTATCATGCAAATATGTGTGAGCATGAAAAAAACCTATTATTTTGACATTACATACAGACACTTCAATTTTATTTATTTGTATAGATGATATTGAAAATCACCCGTAAGCCATAAAAATTAGTTTCTTTTTTGAAAAATAATAATATGAAGTCAGTTTTTCTTTTTGTACGCTTAGATCTTTCAAACTACGCAACAGATTTTAATTAAATACGTTCATTTACGCTGACTGCACGGATGGCGTAGTGGTTTAAGCGGTCGCCACGCCGCTTCCTACTGCGCCTAGTGTTGTGGGTTCAAACCCCACATGGAACGACACTTTGTGTGATCCACAAATTGTTGTTCTGAGTCTGGGTGTTCTTTGTGTCCGTTTCATATATGTTTGTAATGTAAAGTCCCCCGTGACACAGGAATGTATTCCTACTGCGGGAGTTGTCTTTTTAAAAAGAAAAAAAAAAAAAAAAAAAAGCTCACGACCTCTGAACCTCGACATCTGTCGAGATACATTATATCAGAGATATTTCCGTACATACCGTGACTTACCTCATTTAAATTGAAATGAGCTATGTACAATACCGTGTTTATTTTTATAACCAGAACAAAAACAGTAACAGTACGCTAACTACGTTCCTAAGCAGCGAGAGAGTACATTTTTTGTAGTCGTGGACTAGCAATTACCGCTACTGGTGGTAACTTTTCAGACTTGCCAAGGTTATTTCATACATTTATTAGTCATTCCACAATTTAGCCGTGTGCTCCACAAAAGTGCTCCTATTAAAATGTATCAGTTACATTAACTGAAGTGGTTTATTCTGCAAATAGGTTACTAGAACACTTTACAAGTCTAGTTTGACTTAAATAGGACCTTAAGATATTATTTATAATGATGCTATACTTTAAAATAAAATAGTCCACTGCGGCAGCTTGCTGGACATAGACTCCTCCTTAGAAAGGGCGTTTTGGCCTATTATACCAGAGGGGTTGGTACAGGGCTCGTTTCAAGTTTGCCTTCTCTTTACAGTGCTGTTATCCTGCAGAATTTGCTCCCTTAGTCGGCTCTTATGACACTCACGGGATGGACAAGCTACTTAGCACAATTTTATTTAAAATTGTGCAACTAAAAGTTGTTACTTTGTCTCCGTACTTTTATTTGGGTTCAGGTTCCTTTATATTCATGTGCCATGTCAAGCGACCTTGGGATGTCGTTTCGTGCAATTGGGTTTTTCAAAAAGTCCTATTTAATAGAGCTTGACCAGGTCAATAACTATTTTTTTTTAAATAACAATAAATTTATTTAATTGAGAGACCATAGCTTTTTCAATACATCAAAATTTGAAAAACCTAATACACTAAATGAGACGATCCATAAAGGCTCTCGAAAACATCGTTCACGAAATGAAAGTGATGAAACTGTATATGCCGAAAGCTATCATAATTAGCGCAATTTTATGATTTATTTTAAGAATAAATATAACAGGCAAACAAACAAACAAGCACGCGTTATCACTTGTGCTGAAATGAAATGATGATTTTTGTCAAAATACATAATTGTGAATATTCTAATGCAAAAATTACTACGCGCCTAAAACCTGCTCACGTGTTTGATTAGTTGTTGAAGATAAGAAATGTTATGATTTGCCTGATAACAAGCATACAAGACGTGTGTATGCTACGTGAAAAGAATCTCTGAGGAAACTCAATAGACCAATCAATACAATCTCAACCTACTTCAATACTACTTCTGGCTGATTATTGCAACCTCTTTTTACTTTAAGCCACCGAGAAACTAAATTTTAGTCTGGACACCAAATTAATCACTGAATATATATATAACTTCGTGAATATAGGTAGGTAATGTATGGCAGAGAGATAAGAACGAGTTTAATAAAATACAACAAAAAATACAGTGTAGTCCGATTATATCCATCTGTTGTTTACCTAATTATATCTATACTTAAATTATAAATTTGTTGGTGAGATGCAATATTCGTAATATCAGGGACATAACCAGGATTCAAACCAGTAGGGTTTGAATTGAAAAATTCCTTTAGCTTGGATAGCCTTTTTATTGAAGAAGTCTGTAAGCTATATAACTTCACCGTATAATCTGAGCTGAGCGCATCGATGAAAATAGTTGCAAAAACAGGGAAAAAGTATTCCTTTTTAGGAAAATAATTACGATTATAAGAAATAATCACTTTTATTTAGAATAGGTATTTCTCTGAGAAATTTGTGTAACAAACAATTAAATATAGAGAATTCCTTCTGAATCACACACAGAATTGTCATCTTTTAAGTCACTTGGATTAACAGCTCTTTGCATACAAATTACTTAAAATATAATAAAATTAACCATAAAAATTCAAAAGTACATCTATTATTAACTTATGTGAGCTAGTAAAACATGTCGATGAGAACACAAAAGTTTACGTTAACGTTTAAAGTTAACCTAAACAAAACTCAATGCATGTCATGTGTAAAATGTCAATTGAAATCCAGGCAATGACTGAAGTATGGAATCTAATAATTTAAGTACATTCAGTGCACTACACTCATCTTATTCAAAGATCCCTAAATTGAGATGGGTGGGAGTGAGATAGAATTTTATTTTTATTTTATTTTGTTCGGAATACCAACAGCACAAATAATGCAAGGTAAAACATTATAATAAAGTAACAAAGAAGAAAAAACTACGCAGAACAACAGCACTGCAGAGAGAAGGAAAACTTGACACAAACCCTATACCAAACCATCTGGCCAGCGTGGTATAGTAGGCCAAAACCTCCTTTCTAAGGAGAGGCTTATGTCCAGCAGTGGACTATTAAAGGCTGTTGATGAGATGATGATGATGACAATGAAGCTATTCACAGGTATTCGCAAATAGATTCCAAGTGTGAAACAACAGTTCAAATAACTTACCAACAACAACAAAAAAAAAGTACATTTAAAAAAAATACTTAATAGGAATGTCATTTTTGGAAACAAAAAAAAAAGCATGTTTTTTTGATATGAAGGTCTGGATCTGAAGAGCTCAAACTCGCTACTCAATTTATGCATATCATTTACAGATTTACTGGCTCGAATAATAAAGGTTTTTTTTCAGTAGTTGGTATTGGTTTGAGGTACTGCTAAGGGTGGATTATGACTAGTGCCTTTCCTCGAGAAGAATCGAGCAATCTATATCTCCGTTAATGATTTTTAATAATGTAACGATTTAGAAAATGGTTACTGCACTAGTATAAGAACATATTCAATATTAGTGAATTTGGGCCCATGAAACCTTTAATGCTTTAAATTACTTAATGAATATATTATATTTGCTTTGATTAAACTAGTATTATTCTATTTTTCTTTTTCTTCTTTAAATTATATTCTATTATTCTAGATAGGTTGAAATATTATGCTTATCTATAAATTTTAAAACGAAAAACAGGCTTTTTATGCATCTAGTATAATTTATTTCTATATATATGTGTAATTATATTTGTATTACATTATAACTTATATGCATAATATTTGTAGATTTTGCTTAGTTTTAGATAAACAATTATTTACAATCATTGATACAATCGTAACCTCGGTGCACCTACCCTACAAGATTTCTACACCACCTAAAGGTTGGCTGGTAGAGAATGCCCAGGGCATTAAGTCCGCCGATGTACATAAGTGCATGAAGATGTAAAATAAATAAATAAATATAATTAATAATATGGTGATAACTTTTGTTGCATAGTTACATCATCAATCCAATAATTAATTTGTATAGTGGTATACCATCCATAGTTTTTAGGCATGCTTAGTAAGAAGAATAAAAATAGTTAAATAAAAAAGTTAATTACTAAACAGACACAGAGAACAGTTAGATCTCTCAAAAAAAAATACAAACCTCTATGCCAACGGTTCGTTTTTGACCAAACTAATTTAACTTTTTGAATCATTCTAACTCCTTTACACACTATTTAAATCTATTTAGAACAAGGAAAATACACAAACGGGTTTTTATGAATACTTTTTACAGGTCTAATCAATTCAGTAATGACTCAGATATTTTTTTAATAAATTAATAACTGTCATTTTACTTTGTTTACACCGGTATGAATTTTATTTTTACTTTCACTTCTTGAGGTAGACCAGTTAGTCACATAATTTAACCACAATAGAAAATATATCTAGCTTATTCACGTCTCTGTCTCATTAAACGTACGCACAGTAACACATCACATATAAGAAATAGTTTCACACGAACTGAAGTTTGAATGGCAATTGGAAAACACAAAACACTTGGTAATACCGACATCTGTACAATAGTTCAGAAATAGTTGTTTACTTCTACCGTAAATCAACTTAATTACTTAAAATGTAAAGGGATATTAAAGAAAAACTATTCAAAATATAAATAAAGCTCCGATTTTAAATACTTGTTTCGATTATGTTATTTCTGATTGTTTATATGCAATGGAAATTGAATTGTTAAACTACGGTCAATCTACTGTTACTGAACGAAATACTGAAAAATGTGACAGAAGGCTTCTGTTTACGAAGATTGCTTTAAGTATTTCATTTTTTATCCATTATTAATCTATTCGTGTTAGTACAGAGATTTTTCAACAGATGTCGCTTGTTTAAGTTTTTCATTTGCATTATTTTATTACTTTTTTTTAAATAATGACCTACCTAATCCTAATGACCTACCTAATCTGATAAAAGATAATCAAGAGATAGTACTATTTGCGGATGACACTTCACTTTTATTTAAACTGAAATGTCAGCAATCAGTTACGGACGATGTGAATAACACTCTCCAAGGTCGTGAACTGGTTCAACGTTAATAACTTACTTTTAAACGAGAAAAAAGTAAATGTATTACATTTTCATCACATCTAATGTTAAGCAGATAAAAATCAATGATCTGATAAATGGAAAGGAGTTGGATCTTGTGGACACCACAAGTTTTTGGGTCTCAACTCTAGACTAAATTGCAGGGGGCCCACGCATTGTTGAATTTTAGAATATACTCAACTCTGCAGCATACGCGGTTTATAAAATTAATCAATTAACCGATGTAGAAACAGCTAGACTAGTGTATTTTAGCTATTTTCATAGTCTAATGTCATACGGTATTTTGTTGTGGGGAAATGCTGCTGACATTCAGAGTATATTTATGTTGCAAAAGAGAGCTATTCATGCAATTTATAATCTCATAGACAGTCACTGAGGGATAAGTTTAAAGAAATTGGTATTGACAGTCACATCTAATCTCATGTAAAGAAATCTATGAATTAATATTCATTATTCACAAAGTTTAGCGACATTCATATTATAAACACTAGAAATAAAGATAAACTCGTGTTGCCAACGACTAGACTACAAAAAGTAAGCAAGTCTTTTCGATGTCAGGGTGTGCGATTCTACAATAAAATGCCAAGCAAAAGTCATGAATGAAGTATTAACAAATTTAAGTTCTTAGTTAAATAAAAACTATGTGAAAATGCTTACTATACAGTTACAGATAATTTAGATGACAAATTTGCTTGGGATTGATGCTGCTCACTCCCACATTTGAAAGTGATAAACGTTTTTTTTTGTTGCAATTCGTAATTGTTGATTTGTTTATTTGAAATTGAATTGTATAGTTTTTTTTTGTGTAAGTATGTAAATGTGAGTATAGTGTAGGCTTGTTATGTTAGTTCATATTTTAGTAACTTTCTGGTGGTTTTGTGTGTTTCCGCGGCCCACTTAAGGTCCTTCAAGCGGTAGTGTCGTGTTGCGGGTTGTTGATCCTGACTATATTGGTTAGGCTATACAATGGCTGGGGCTCGTATACCGTCTGTATGGACGGGCCGACTCAATACTATGGTCCTTTCTTCAAAAGGCCAACCCACACCCTATACTGCACTCAAATAGTTATCTTTACCATTGTACACGGACTTAAAAAAAAGACACCTCTGTGGTTTGTTTCGGTGTTTCTTCTCAGAGCGAGTCTTAGGAAATGCCGGCGTCTAAAGTCCGAGTTGTAAAAATATCTGAGAAGATTTACTAACAGAAATAGATATCATTTCATTTCATTTTATCAAATCCAATTAGTTGAGTAATTTAAACCGTAACTGAAAAAGTCTAACAATATTTACACTAAAAAGCAAAACTTTTCGAAAAAAATCAAGTAAGCACACATTCACTTTTTATGATCTCCTATTATTTATCTAATCTATACTAATATTATAAAGCTGAACAGTTTGTTTGTTTGTTTGAACGCGCTAATCTCAGGAACTACTGGTCCGATTTGAAAAATTGTTTCAGTGTTAGATAGCCCATTTATCGAGGAAGGCTATAGGCTATATATCATCACGCTAATACCAATAGGAGCGGAGCACCAATGAAGAATGTTTCAAAAACGGAGAAAATTTATTACTATTGAGAGACGCAGATGAAGTTGCGCAGGTCAGCTAGTTTTTAATAATTTGTCCCCGTTTTTGCAACATTATTTATTGGTGCTCCGCTCCTATTAGTAAATAGGCTATCTCACATTGAAAGATTTTTTCAAATCGGACCAGTAGCTCCTGAGATTATCGCGTTCAAACAAACAAACAAACTCTTCAGATTTATAAGGTTAGTATAGATAAAGCTACTAAAACGCACTTCTTCACACACGATCTTAGTTTCATAATAGACACAGATATGAAGTTAGTCTGGAAAACGAATTTATCTTGACAAGTACTCACAGAAATAAATGAAGATAGAAATAGCTACCACTTGTTTTGGTGCTTTACTGTATTATAGATCTAAACAGACTTTAATACGTAAGTTACGGTTTGCGTGGAACATTAAACTAGGCTCATGTTTACAGCAATAAATGACTATACAGACCGCAAATCCTTTACGACTAAACACAGTTAATCAAAATGTGAGCCCAACTACTAACAAAAGCTTTAGTTTACCAACCAAGCACTCCAAATACTTTATTTTTAAGATGTATTTAATTGACGAATGAGACAACGATAGGTAAATATTAAATAGTTTTCAGGTAATTTTTAGATTACTTGAACGGAGGCCAGACAAATTTTGGATGTACCTACACACCTATATTCCCGAAGAACATTCATCAGATGGGAAAATCAGGACTACTCATAGACATAATATATAGATAGAGGAAGGAAGCGAGTCACGATCCGTAGCGGTTGGTAGAAAGTTGCAACTTGCACCTCTTCACTGATTTGTTAACCCGTAGATGTCACCGTCTTCTTTTTCTTTCTACCGACATCGCTATTCCCCTTACAGGCATTCCAATACCTTCTCCTCTCTATCTGTATTATCTCTATGTGACTACATATATTGAGACGAGTGAGAACGGAGGTATTGCCATAAAATTGATGTTGCTGATAAAGATGGATTAGAGCATAGATAGAATCAAAAATTCAAGCAGGTCACGGTCACGTATCTTTATTTTAATTGAATGTGATTTAATGTGAACATAGCGTTCAAAATAAGTCTTACAAAGACTTTGATAAAGTAGTCTCGTTGTCTCCGATTTGTGGGCGACAATCTGATTCAGTTGGAACCATAAAGATATCTTACATCTTATGTAGTTCTCGTTTGTTCTCGCGTAGTACGAATATATCACTGCGTGGGAAGCAGAAAATGATTACGAAAACATTTGTAATTTCTACTTTCAAACAAATGAGACTTATTTATATAATTTGTAGTTACAACTTTTATAAACAGTTCTGAACACATTTCAATGCATCAAATGCACACACGGCACTCTGATCCCAATCTAGGCAGAGAGCTACGATAGTAGCGAAATATTGGTTATGAAATGTATGTGATCGCATATGTATTGTGAGTCACAAAACATATTGGGTCTAGTTACGATTGTCACAATTTGTGACAATCGTAACTAGACCCAATATTACGCGTGTATTCTGTCATTACATTTCAGGAACAACATCATCAACAGTCCACTGCTGGACATAAGCTTCTCCTTAGAAAGGAGGTTTTGGTCTACTATACCACGCTGGCCAGACGGGTTGGTATAGGGTTTGTGTCAAGTTTTCCTTCTCTCTACAGTGCTGTTGTTCTGCGTAGTTTTTTCCGTTAGTCGGCTCTTACGACACCCAAGGAATGAATAGGGGTAGTGACACTCTGTATTCTTAATCCGTCACCACAAGCACGTCAGGAACAACAATAGCCGGCTACCCGGAGCAAAAACACTCACAATGTCTTATTTCCTTCTATAACCTTTACATAATAAGTTATATGGATTATAATGAACAATGGGTGATTGTTTACGATATATGTTTTAACACTCGGAACATAAGCCCACGGTGTTGGCTATAAAACTTACTCTAATGTTACGACTACTGTTTGAGACTACAATAGCCTGTTTCTTGATAAAAAGGTTGATACTTTTTTGGTGCTTGCGGGCAAGAACGTAAAAGAAACCAACTGCTATGCCTATGTTCTTTGAAATTTTCAGTCGTGAGGCTGTTTCAAAATATGCTTTTAAAAATAAGTACTTCGCGTGTATATAAATTTGGTTTCTAACTAAAAAATATAATAGAATTGTGTCTATAAAAATACATTTTTCTTAACAAAAATCGCGTGGAATACTAACACTTTCTTTACTTGCATACATTTGATTATCCTATCATCCATCCTAATATTTTGTTTTTTATTAGGAATATATCTTGTGTCGCCGGGGACTTTACAAACATACATGAAATGGAGACAAAGAACACCCAGACTCAGAACAACAATTTGTGGATCACACCAAGTGTCGTTCCATGTTGGAATCGGACACACAACACTTAGCGTAGTAGTAAGCAGCGTGGCGACCGCTTAAACCACTACCCCATCCGTGCAGTCAAACCTACCGAATTACCCATAAAACACCTACATGCAATGAATGTGAATGTTGTAGTCGAATTTTTCAGTGTATAAC